GACGAGTTACCAGTGCCAGTGTTGGATGATGCTGGTTGTGATGGTGACGAGTTACCAGTGCCAGTGTTGGATGATGCTGGTTGTGAGCCAGTGTTACTTGGTTCTGAAGTGATTGGGATAGACGACAATTCTGAAGGAATGCTGCTTGGTCCTGAAGAGGGTTGCGAAGCACTGGTGCTATTTTGGTATGGTGGAACTCCCACAGATGAGGATAAATCAGTTGATGAAGAGCTTGGTGGTTCTGAGGAGCTTGGAGATTCTGAGGAGCTTGGAGATTCTGAACTGCTTGGTGGTTCCGATGAGCTGCTTGGTGGCTCGGAAGAAGAACTTGGTGGTTCCGATGAACTGCTTGGTGGCTCAGATGAGCTTGGAGATTCTGAGGAGCTTGGGGATTCTGAAGAACTTGGTGGCTCAGATGAAGAGCTTGGAGGTTCAGATGAGCTTGGAGATTCTAAGCTGCTTGGAGATTCTGAGCTGCTTGGTGGTTCCGATGAAGAACTTGGAGGTTCAGATGAGCTTGGAGATTCTAAGCTGCTTGGAGATTCTGAGCTGCTTGGAGATTCTGAGCTGCTTGGTGGTTCCGATGAAGAACTTGGAGATTCTGAACTGCTTGGTGGTTCCGATGAGCTGCTTGGTGGCTCGGATGAAGAGCTTGGAGATTCCGATGAGCTTGGTGGTTCCGATGAACTGCTTGGTGGCTCAGATGAAGAAATTGGTGGCTCGGAAGAGCTTGGAGATTCCGATGAGCTTGGTGGTTCCGATGAACTGCTTGGTGGCTCAGATGAAGAAATTGGTGGCTCGGAAGAAGAGCTTGGAGATTCCGATGAGCTTGGAGATTCTGAGCTGCTTGGTGGTTCCGATGAACTGCTTGGTTGTTCCGATGAGCTTGGAGATTCTGAGCTGCTTGGTTGTTCCGATGAGCTGCTTGGTGGCTCGGATGAAGAACTTGGTGGTTCTGAGGAGCTTGGAGGTTCTGAGGAGCTGCTTGGTGGTTCCGACGGAGTGATAGGATCCCATTCAATAACAGTAGCAGTCTTTCCCGGAGTAGCAGTAATAGTAGTGGTCCACGTTGAAACACCAGTGTAGCTTGACGTAACAGTTGTGGTTGGAATAGGAACTTCAACCTCAATGGTTTTGGTGTTTCCCGGCGCGGTGTTGTATGGTAAAGTAGTGACCAATGTAGTAGATCCGTAATACGTAACAGTGGTGACCACGACTTCGTTACCATTAGCACCAGCGTCGTTATTATTGTATGGTGACCAATAAGTAGTTTGTGAGTTGTCAGTGGGGAAAACACTGCCAGCACAATAGTATCTGTTTGTGAATTGTGTGGTTAATCTTTGACCAGTTGGAACTGAGACCAAAATGTCCAAATATGGTCTGTATCCAGCAGGGATGTTGTTGTAGTTGATAGTGTAAGAACTTCCACTACAGGTGGCAGAGGCTGAAATTGCATCAGCTGTTTCTGGCAACAACCAAGCGTTCAATTGATTTGTAATGGCTTTGTGAACAGAATTACAGTCAAGGGTACCTCCAGTGACTGTGATACCCAAAGTACCACTACTATACCCATTACGACAATTTCCAGCAAGCAAGTACAATTGTTGTTTGTTTAACGAAGGGACAACTCTATTGTAGAATACAATGTTATCAGTAGAGCCACCAGTGTTTGTGTTGACACCACTTTGGAAATTTGCAGTTGTTGTCAATTGTTTGTCACCGTCGGTGAATGTGACTTGATTTGTACCAGGGGTGAAACATTTTGAGTCTTGCAAATCGACATCTCCAGCGGACCCACCAACGTTGAAAGTGACAGGGAAGTGCACCGATCCTGTTGCATCAGTGCTGGGCTTCACATTGTTACTAGCAACACATTTCAATTGCGAATAAGGAACAACCAAATCACCAGGAGCAAATTGACAAGTAGCATACACTGTATCACCCACATCTAAATCGACACTAGGTTGTGAAGTTGTGAACTTGAAAACACAAGGCATGTTCAATGTGAAAGTATCACCTGGCTGAACATTTGAACCCAAAATCTGCCAGGACAAGGTTGCAACCCAACTTGGAGTAGCAGGTGTGGAGTAACGATACGATCCTCCATTTTGAAAAACTAAACTATCAAAACTTTGAAAGACATTTGTAACTTCAGCAGCGAGTGTGAGTGTTGTTGTTAATGAGAAAGCCGCGAAAAGGGCCACAAACGAGTGCAAGTTCTTCATTTGAAAATGAGTTTGGGGGTTAAAAAAAGAAAAAAGGCAATTTCTAGCAATTAGAAAGAGGTGATTACTTGGAAGTCTTTATATACTTTTCTGAGTCGCACTTGTGAGCCAGTTGAGTGCCAATTGAGTGCCAATTGAGGCTTTTTCATTTCTTGTTGAGCACCCTGGGGACTGGTACAAAAACCAAATTGCACTGCACGACTTCTTATATGTACATTTTAGGCTGCAAATGCTCATTTATCCGAGAAATATTATTTTTCTTTACTTTGGAACACAAAATGCACGAGAATTTCAAGTTCAACAACATAGATGTGTGTGTGTGTGTACCCAGTGTACGTATTCAAAAGGTAATTTCATGAGCAACAAAATATAGAGTTTGGCTAAACCTTATTTTTTGAAATTAACGCCCGCCTCTAAGGGTTCAATGACTCTAAAATTGGAGACTAATGTTTCGTCAATTGTAAAATTTGCTCAAATTTGTAGGGATGAGGACGTATTTAATACATGAATTCACATGCAAGGGTGCTACTGCATGTTAGAAAATAGGGTCTAGACATTGTATATAATCTTCTCAGTAAAGAATAGGGTGTAATCTAAAAATAGAAAACTCCTTCTGTTGGCATTTGTTTCACTGTTGATTTATCCCTGTTTATTGTCTGAAAATTTGCTCAAATCGAGCTGAATTCGTAATTTTGCGTGTGTTCTCATCTCACCGGCACTTGTCGAAAGGGAATTGGTGTTACAAACTTGTACAAAAGGGATTTACAAGAAACGAAGCTTGTATGTCCTTTGTTTTTTGTTTTTTTTTTTTTCCTTTTTTTTCTTTTTTTTGGCCTTGTTGAAGCGTTGAAGAACTATGACAGAATTGAGTTTTTGACGATTATAAAATTTCAGAAAACATACCGCAGATCGTAAGCACTAGTAAGAAAGATATATATCGGAGGAATTTAGATTTTCTTTTTGGATTTGCCATGATGACTATGTTATTGCTATTTGCTGTTACGTAATCAGTTTTGCTAGTTTTTGTAAGGCGTTTTCATTTTCTTTTCTTAGGCTTTCGCTCGCATTAGGCGAATCTTCTCTTTGTGTAAAAGTGAAGACTTAGAGAAGCAGATTTCCGGTTTTGTGTAGCTTTTAAAGGTAAGAATTTTATTTCTTCTTTTTTTCGGCTGTTTTGTTTTTACTTTGTCTGTTTGTTTGTTTGTTTGTTTGTTGTTTTAGTCTATACATTTAGACGAAAGCTTACTTAAGCAAAAGGGTCTTTTACGTTTTTAGTCTAACTCTACCACCCCTATTACTAAGCGTGTTCGGATAACTTTATGCAGTACATGCGTATAAGCAATCGTAAAACTGCATGTGCAAGCATCGCTTACGAGATGGCAATGCATATTTACGCTGTATGAAAGGGTTCATCAACACTAGCACATAGTGATAGGGTATATGGTTAGAATTTGCGTGTAAGGGGGGGTCGGAGTGGGGGGGGGCGCAGCGGCTATTTTTGAAACCTACTCTAGTCACATGTCCGTGTGGCTCTCCCCATGAACAAACTTGCCATAGAATTGCTATTACTGAGCTGCTTTAAGCTAGCACACAACTTTGTGATGCGGATAAACAATTACCAATTCCTTCTCTAGGGTTTTCCTGCGCATGCAACTTTGCCGCCTTGCATATAAAATTTTTTCGACAAAATTTCATTCAACGTATCTGTGCAGATCAGCGAGAAACCGTAAATGGATCAGCACGCCTTTCAAGGACGTTTTTAGAGCTTACGAGAAGCGGATATCAATAGAGAAACGACGAAGAGGTTTAATTTGAAATATGATATCTTCTTTTCCAATTTATTCTATGCAGATCCCACTTGTTCCAAACTCAGCGAGCTTCGTTACGACGCTCGGAAAAACCTACCAATTTTTCCTTTGTAGTGACAAGCAGGACAAAACCATGAAGCTCCTATTTGGCTCTCATCTATACGAACGTTCCCATTCGATTACTTTATATGAAACATCAACCCCCCATTGCAGCAAGCACAAGCTTTCAAGAGCAACTGTAAAACCACTAAGTGAAATTCAGAATTTAACCATTTCAAAACAGAGAACTTTGCTCATAACCTTAAGCCCCTTTTTCCTATTGCACAGGGCGTAGCTTGCTTTCACCAGGTCTCTTTGTGGCAGGTTTCGGTGTACTACTAACTTGCAAGCCAATAGCTCCTTTCAATTGCTGAGAAACTGGTCGGAGTTTATGTAAAGTGACCTATTTTTAGCTTGAAATTTCAACTGTGGAGCGTGTTAAAAGTTGGCAAAGGAAGAGCTCTTTGGGTATCAGCTGGGGGCATTGTTTCTAGCTTTCGTATGTGAAAGAAACGTATGAAGATTGATCTGTGGCTCTTTTTGTCCTGTGCAAGAATGTGCCGCCATACCATATACCATACTTGTAGGGAATATTGTTCTTCCCGGACGAATAAAATACACCTAGTATTTATTTATTTGTTTATTTTTTTGTTTCTTTTTTTTGTAAATTGGAAATTTTAGCCGAATGTGTTCAAAGCAACTCTCAAGGACAGAACCTTATTGGCGTTCGCTCTCCATCTACCAAACACCCTTGGATATATATTCTGGTTTTGAGAAATGTGGCCTGAGCTGTTCTGTAGATCCAACTTTTAGAAACTGAATCCCGAGTTTGTAGTCAGAGCCAAATCACGACCACTTTTCATCCTACATTGTAAGAAAGACTGATGAAGTTATAAAACAATCTAAGTGCATTTGTTTGCTAAGCATGTACTAGACGTAGGTTTGAATGCATATAATTGGTGGCAGCTCAAAACAGGGGGAATTTACTTGTATGACTAGTGTGGTTAATGCAATCGCTACCATGTTTTGGATGTGGTCATCGTGTACACCAAGTCCTGTCAAAAGACTAGCTGCTGAGATCGTCGAAAGATTCCACCGATATCAGATCATATATATATATATATATATGTGTGTGTGTGTGTGTGTGTGTATCAGTCCTGAATTTGGAGGAACAAGCGTATAACTACGGTAATCTCCTTGAAAAGTTATGTATTACTGTTTCCCATAAAGTACCCAGAGGTGGGATGGATTACTGGAAATTAGAACACATTTACATTTAATTTTTTTTGTTCCATTTCTTTAATTTGTCTTTTTTTGATTTAATTTGGCAACCAAATCTCCACATTTCAACGACCGTCCAAAACTAACTACTAACTACCAACTACTAACTACTATTACTTTACTTTGCTCTACTTTGTTGTCATGTCAACAACATCACTCACACAAAAGAGAAAGTATGACCTAATTATCCCTTAATTAACTTTGTTATACTGAGAACTTCATGTAAAACCATAAACACGCATACAAATATACCACACACGCACACATACGTATAAACGCAAATACATATATATATATACTGTACATCTTACTACAAGCTCCTCAAAGTCAACTCTCTTTTTCCAACAATTCTTGCACAACTATGGACTTCAATACAGCTTTGACTAATTTAGCACGTTTCAAAGACGCCATGGGAGGGCCGCGTAAGGAGCTTATGAATATTGACGACTTACAGGTCATTATTGAACAGAGTGGCGTAACACCCGGTCCAGCAGAAGCTGAATTACAAGCCAACTTCAACGTATTTTACCAACAAGTTGATCGGAAAAACCAACCCGTTTTTGGCCAATTTGTTACTCATATTTGCAATGTTGCCCAGTTTACCAAAGCACCTTACCCAATCGATCCGACTTCAGAAATTGGGCAACAATTGAGAAAGGTTATAAGCTGCATTCACGATTATTTAAATTTCGATGATCCCAAAACTATGAAATTAGCCAGAAATATCTTTCAGATGCTGTTGTTTTTCTACTTGGATATCAATCCAGGCAATGCTGCATCATGGGTTCCGTTTACATAAACAGCAAAAGAGCCACGCCCCTATCTTCACTTTATATCTAGCAGGTCTCCATTCTAAATGTATTGTAAATTCAGTTCAACGTTTCTCCCTCATACTTGTAGAGACCATCTTTCGCTACTCTTTTTGTCTCCTGTATATATATATATTCATGAGCACCTTTTGTTTTACCCTTACCACTATTGTGTGCCTTTATTTAGCAACCAAACTCGGCAACTTGAACGTTTCTCATAGTCTTTGCACACCGGTCCCCCATTCTCCAAGAAATGCATGATTCCATAGCCATGGACTTTACCACAGTATTGACTTATTTGGCACGTTTCAAAGAATCCCCTTAGTGTTCACCCATCAAGATGTTTTAAATATGCGCCACTTACGACTGTTCATTGACCTGAATACTTTAGCAATTGGAACAGAAGAAGCCAGCTTACAAGCCAAGCTCAAAGAGATACTGCAACAAGTCAATCCTGAAAAATGACCCCTTTGTTTCAATTTGTGGTTGACTTTTGTGTCGCGGAGTTATTTAGAAGATGTGCGTGGGCAGGGCGCAGTGCCAGCGATCGACGGAGAAAAAGATCACGAACAAACATCTCATCAATTGGTTAGAAGCTGCACTGTTTACCGTTTTCCAATCTACACGATACCTGGCCAACGGAACATATCATAATCAGCCATGGTTGTTGACACTACATATTACGATATTTTAGGCGTGGAGCCCACTGCCAACGAGCAAGAGCTTCGAAAAGCGTATCGAAAGCAAGCAATCAAACTTCACCCGGATAAGAATGGAAACGATCCAAAAGCAGCGGAAAAGTTCCAGGACTTGGGTGAAGCTTATGGGATCTTGTCCAATGCCGACTCGAGAAAAGTTTACGACGAGTATGGTGTGGAAGGAATGAAGGAGAAGAATGTGCAAGGGCAAGATATTGATCCTAGTGAATTCTTTGAGGTTATATTTGGTGGTGTTGCATTCAAGGACTGGATTGGTGAGTTGGGTATGTTTAATGATATTACCAAGTCTGCTGAAGTGTTCGATTTGGATGAAGACAATTCCGGTCTGGATGTGGCTTCTTCTGGTGGTGAGACTGTGGTTCTGGGCAAAGCAGATGGTGGTGGTGGTAGTGGTAGTGGTAGTGGTAGTGGTGCCTCACCCGTTTCAGCCGGAGTTTCTCATGGCGAGAGTCTGAAATCTTCTACCCACTTGCAATTGCATTCACATGAACATAAAGGAGAGTTGTCATCGGATGAGTTGAAGAGAAAGAAGAAGCAAAAGCTCACCAAGGAACAAAGAGAGGAGATTTTGAGAATACAAGAGGAAGCTAGAGAGGCTAAGCTCAAGAGGATCCAGGACTTGTCTGTTATATTGAAAGAGAGATTGGACAATTATAGAGCCGCTGTGATGAATAAAGAAGGATTGCAACATTTCACCACAAAGTTGAAACAGGAGCTTGACGACATGAAGATTGAAAGTTTTGGTATACAATTGCTACACTTGATTGGAAAAATATACACCAACCAAGCAAATGCCACCCTAAAAGCCGCCAAGAGTTTTGGTATCACCAAAATCTACACTTCTGTGAAATCATCTACAGAAACCGTCAAGAATGGGTATAGCATCATAAAATCGGCCTTGGACACGCAAGAGACAATGGAAAAGGTGATGAAAGAGCAAGAGGCTTTCCAATTGAAGCAAGAACAAGGATATACCCCAACTCAGGAGGAAATGTTTCAACAAGCTGAAAGAGAACGATTTGTTACTGGTAAATTTCTTGCAACTGCTTGGTCATTGGTGAAATTTGAAGTGACCAACGTGCTAAATAAAGTATGCCAAACTGTATTGAATGAAAAGGGGATTGGTAAAAAGGAAAAGGTTGCGAGAGCTAATGCATTGTTGTATATTGGAACGCAATTGTTGAATGAGCAGAGATCGGCTGATGAGGATGAAGAGGCTAGAATATTTGAGGAGATGATGGCGGATGCAAAGATGAAGAAAGCTAATAAAAAGAAACAACATACTTTCTTTTAAATAGAGACGAATGGATAGATGTTTTAGAGAACAGTTGTAGAGGAAAGCGTGGTGATTAGTAGTACTTCTCTGGTGAGTCTCTTGCTTAATAATCCGCCCCAGGGTAGTGCGCACATTACAAAACAATCATTCTGTTCGCACCGAGAAACCGAATAAAAAAAGAAGAAAAAAAAAGAAATGAAAAACGAAAATTTAAAGATTATTAAATAAGCAGCTCCAGTCATCTATTGTTTCTCCTTAGATCAGCAACAACTCATCTATATCCATTAGGCTACATACACCGCTATACCACTGCTTGCAAAATGGTTGACTCGAAACAGGTACTCAAGCTATACAAACAACTTCTCAACAAAGCTTATAAATTTGACAATTACAATTTCCGTGAATACTCAAAACGCAGAGTACATGACGCATTCAAAGAACACAAGTACCTAACTGATGAACTGCAGATAAATAAGTTTTACAATGAAGGTATTGACAATCTAGCGTTGTTGACGAGACAGACTACGATTTCTCAGTTGTATACATTTGACAAGTTGGTGGTTGAGCCGTTGAAGAAGCATCATTAATGGAGCTTTAGTGGCTTTATACCACACAGTTGGCAATTCTTATATATAGTATATATTGTTTTTGAATGACATGAGTCACCCATTTTTTTAGAGAATCAGTTTACGTAGAGTGTTATCTTCTCAAACTTTTATATTTCTAGTCTAACTAGATCCACTAACTACTAGTTTTTGTAAATGGCTCATAAATACTTGCAAGCTGACATCGTCAGTCAAGACAATGGCCCCACCAGCACCACCCAATCCCAGACCGCCAGTCAATTCGTTGGTGTTGTAAGTAACACTAGGATTCAACTTTGAGTACAAGAATCTAGCTTGTGAACCACCTTCCTCAGTATCAATGAATCTAGGCAAGGGGTACCTATCAGCCAACAACTCAGCGGCTTCTTGTTTTGGTTCATCCAACAACTCCTTGAAATTGGCATACTCTTCTTGATCCTGGTACCCAGCTTTACGCCACGCGGCAATTGTCTTTCCGTGGAAGATCAAAATGTGGAAAAATGTATCCAATAACAAGATACGATCATCTCTAATGGACACTGAGTCCAACAAAACTGCCTCGGGCTCACCTTCCAACGTAAACGAGGTTAATGTAGGTTGGATCATAATCAACGAGTTGTTTGTGTCCTCAGTCAATAAAACGTGTCTATAAAACACAGTTTCATCAGGTGAGTTGTTGAAAACTTGTAAAAATTGTGATCTTCGCAAATAGTAAATGAATTGCGGGAATAGTTGAAACTGCTGTCCCAAACGGAAACTCTCCTCCTGGTCCTTTCGATAATCGGCAAATTTCTGACACAAACGAATAAGCATACGGTCAATCCATCTAAGAACATCAGCACCGTCATCTTGTTCAGCTTTGAATAAAGTGACCCTCGCCATCAAAACAGCGGCCGCCTCTTGATCAAAGGAGTTGGTGAGTGTTTGTTCATCACTGGTCAAGTAGTTGGATACGGTGGTGACTCTCGTTCTATAGGTACCGCTTGCATGCTGGTAGTGCGTGATGAATTGTACATAGCTTTGAGCAGTTGGGGGCAATTGTTGTGTGTTTGCTACATCGAAAAACACCGCGTATGTGTGTCTTGGTGACGTGGCACAAAGTCTATAGCTGGATGTTCCACCAAGACCCAATTCGTTTTCCGAAACGTTGGCTGATTTGACCCCCAATGACGATGCATGACCAATAAGTCCACTCACTTTCAATTCCTTTGAGGTTCTAATTTCAAAAGAAGCATTGAATCCCATCAACAAATACCCTTCTTCATCCTTGTTGAACAATCTCAAAAATGATCTCTTGAAAATAGATGTGGTGAATGCATCAGATAGTAACAAGGTACCACCGGTGGTATTGCACAAGTTTTTCATCTCCAACATACCTATTTGATCATAACAACCAGCGAAAATATCCACTGCGTGACTATTTTTCACCGCCTTGGCAGCAATTGCATCGTAAAACTTGACCGCCTTTTTGAAATGTTTGGCATTATCCTTGTCTATATCCGAATGCGATCTAATTGGCTCCTTCAACTGGTTTCCAACAATCATACCTGGGTTCAAAGTTCCCGGTCCAGCAGAAAACAACATGACTCTGGCCCCAAATCCAGGAAAGGTTAAACCCAACAAATTGACAGCAACATTCAAGGCACTACCAGTACATCTCAAAGGTCTAGCCCCATTAGCAACAGCCCACGGGTCTTTACTCAAATTCTCCAAAATAGTCGTCAATTGAAACTCGATATCTTCCAAGGGCAAGAAAAATCTCGTCAATGAGTTTGCCATTGGTTGCTGTGGGTGCTGTTGTTGATTCAAGATTGGAGCCACTGGATTATTCAACATTTCACTGATCTGTTTATCAGTGTACTCTTTATCACCACGAAAGATATAACTCTTGTTGATTTTTTCCGATCCCAAGTCATGCACTTGAACCATGGTTCCATAGGTAATCAATCCAATCAATGCATTTGGTGGCAAATGGTTCAACCCAACAATGATATTCTCAATCAACGCTTGTAAATTATCTTCATCCTGACACAAGTCAATAACATAAGTGAAAATTGGTGGGTTCTGCACCGGTCTCGAATTGATGTATTCAACAGTAGAGCTAGTGTTTTGCAACTCCAATGGCAAATTCTCAGGACTTATACCGTGATAGTGCGCAGGCAATGGGTTCCTGCCTTGACACAATGGACAACGCCAAAACCCATTGGGGTCAACCGCACAATACGGATTCAAAATCGATTTACAAGTTTGGTTTGAGCAGTACACGGGATCGTATGCAGCAATAGGTAAGTCCTCACGCTGTTTCAATGGTGTGTATAATGCACCGGTGGGGACCACGATTTTGCCAGCTTCAATCTTGGTAGAGGGAAATGCGTTCCAAGCAAATCGAACACCGTTTATATCCTCTGCTTCTTCGAAATCCATTGTGTTATCAGTGTCTGAACAGAAGTTGGGGGTAGGGTAAGGAAGTGTGGATGGAAAATGAATTTTGTCAAACAAGTTCTGTTATCTGTGTTGCGGTCTGGTTGTTGTTGATACTTTTTTCTTCACAGATCGTATGCAATTTTTGTTTTCTGTTTTTTTTTTATTTTTTTTATTTTTTTTTTCGTTTCTGTTTCGTTGTTCAAAAAAATTGGAGAGAGGGAAAATATCGGTGTCGCAATAATTGCTAGTGTCGTAAACACGATTGCGACAATCAAATAAGTCATAAGAACAACATACACAAATCAACATCTTCGCTTCTGTTTAGGGGGGGGGGTTCTCATACAATCTATTACTCATTCGACTAAATACAAATTATTCATTCAACATTTCTTGCTTGGAAAGAGTGGTGATCATGCGTCTTGCTTCTCTTGATGCTCTGGCTGCACCAAAACATTGCCATCGTCCACTTTTTCCTGCTGAACAGTAACATTACTTTGCTCTCCCAGTGTCTCCTCCTCATTTCCAGCCAAACTCTCACCATTCTTCAAATCCTCTATATCTCCCAAAAGCTTTCTAATGTATCTTGAAGCAAGTTCAACCGTAGTCGCCTTAGAGGGAATACTAACTTCATCATGATACAGTTGGGGAATCAAAGAAGCTAAATCGGCAATACCCACGTTCATTCGGTTTCTTCTGCCTTGTTCAGCAATCTTATGTGATGCCTTCTTCACTGCTAGTTTCTCTGGTTTCTTGTTCAGTTTTGGTGATGAAGACGCACTACTACTATCTCCAGATGAAGACGATTTCGATACTGATGACTTGCGTGACTCATTCTTTTTCTTTCTAGGTTGCTTTTTGGTCTTTGTTAACTGCCCTTCTCCAGCTAACCTACCCATGGTAAATCCCATTAATGGCGGCTCATTTATCTCTCTAAGTTTGCCATTTGGTGGCAACATATCTGTGTCATTAGATTCAGTCTTACCTTCTGGTAAGGACGATTGAGGTAGCTTCTCAAGTTGATCAGTATTGCTGGTTGGTGTAGAAGATTTGGCTTTGACTGATGGAGAAATATAACTCTTGTTACTGGCAGGGAGAATGGGGGTTCCATGAGGGGTCCTTCTTTTGTGTTGCTGTTTGTGATCCTCCGATGACGTAGATGGACCATACATTGAGCTAGAGGTTCTTCTCTTGTCAGATGTTTGCGCATTCAACGCTGGCGATGTCAAAGGCTCAAAATTGACATTTGCTGGTGGTTGTTGCTGTTGTTGCGACTGTGCCTTCAGGCTCAATGATGACCCATTGGCACCTTTATCCAATGGTGTAACTGCAGGACTCACTAATGGGGTAAAGATTGCGTCTGGTCGAACATGCTGCGGGTGAGACAGGGGATCATTCTCCAAAAGATTTACAGTGTAAATTTTTCCCTGTGAATTTTGCCTGTGGTAAAGGTGTTGTTTATTGTACAGTTTCTCATTTTGGCCGGGTAGTATTGGTGAAGAAAACTCGTCCCTTTTGCGCTCTTCTTCTTTCTTCATTGCATTTATGGCTAACAAGCTAGGTGTTTGTTCGGTGGGGACATCGGGTGGAAATGCCGACGACACGTGGCCAGGCTCGGTATCGAAATTCAATTCCTCAGGAATCAGAAAGTTTAAGTTTTCAAGTCCAAATTCAAATTGAGGTTGCTGCAGTTGCAAGTTCTGTTGCGGTGGTGCTTGTGCTTGTGCTTGTGCGTGTGCGTGTGCGTGTGGAAGTGTGTGTGACTGAGAATGGCGGCTCGAGTGCAAGATTGGTACTCCACCACTTGGAGTAGAAACACTGGATCCACTATTTGGATGTCCTGAGGTATTGACATCATGATGGTGAAATGAAACTTCCTGAGCCTCCTGGTTCACGTGATCTAGATTCATGTGGTGATGCAAAGGTTGCAGTGAAGGTATAGTAGCATCTAAACGAAAGTTGTGGTGTGGGCTATGCATCTGATCATGTCCACCAAAGCTATGATGATGTTGATGCAGCTGCTGTTGTTGTTTTGACTGTTGCTGGGACTGCTGAGGGTGTCGATGTTGAAGTTGTTGCTGTTGTTGCTGTTGCTGTTGCTGATGCTGTTGCTGTTGCTGTTCATACATATTTTGCTCGAGCTCTTGCAAAAACATTTGTTCAGATTCAGTGAAATTTGATGGCGTTGTAGGATTCAAGTTGAGAGGGGTACTACCCATCTGGTTGCGTCCTGATATGTGTCTCTTCAAGCTTGTTGTATCACCTGGTGTGGAGTAATTGGAGTTATCATGTTGATGTGGAGTCGTGTGATGTGACTGGGTTGATGTTGTTGTTGTCTGGTCCAACTCAACAAAGTATGGTGATTTTCCAGGCGTATTTCCAGGGTACTGGCCGTTCATCTGAGTATCAGACGCGTACGGTGTGCCCCAAGTCAGCGGTTCCATTTGCAATGTGTTTGTATACTAATAGTTTTTGACGAAGGAACAACTGTCAATGGTTGTTCTATTTTTTTTGTTTCCTCTATGCGATTTTGTTCTGTTAGTTGAAGCACGTGCGTGTTTGCGTTTGTGTTTGTGTTTGTCTATGCTACGCTATGGGTACAAGTGGTGGTTCTCTACTGGGAACAACCTGTGCCTTCTTAAAATGTTGAGCAGATACGTCGAGATGGGTTTTCAAGAAGTTGGGGAAAGTATTATGGGTTTTTAGGTACGGTCTTGAGTTGAATTATTTTTGATAAAAATTTAAATTCCCTTTGTAGACGTTAATTCTCTTCCTTTTATTTTTTGTCTTACATTTAAAGAGCGCAAACAAATTGAGAGACATGGAGATAGATAGATAAGCATGAGATTATATCGACTTCTGATCATCTGTTCCATACCACCGTTTCCTCAAAAGTTGCTTACATTAGACGACCAGACCAACTGAGCCAAAACTGTAGCATCAGTTACCCTTCTGATTTGTGGGTAATGTGTACGTTTAATATCCCCCCCCTTCCCCCTAGGCATTGCATCGAGAACACAAAAAGAACTAAAAGTGGAAAAATCGCAGGAACAGACCCACGTGCATATGTCGGAAATATTAAGATTACGACACACACACACACACACACGTACACACGTACACACATAAAGAAATTATGCGACAAAGAAACTTTTGATATTCGAATTATAAAAACATTAGAAAAGCCCCAGAAAAGTATACAGGATGTATTTCAACTTCCTTGTGAGCGTATTACATTCATGGCAACTGGAGAGTTTGTAGAGTCCCCTATTGGTTTGGCAAAGCCTAAAGAGGAACACACAGCAAAGCATTAAAGTAGTTGAACGGTTTAAAGCTCAACGACCGGGGAGAGGCAAAAAAGGATTCCAGTAACGAGGCAGCGTCAACAGGGACTGGATGCTGGAGGAGATAATCCCAACAATTGATGGAAATAACTCTTTCCGGTCAAATCAAAACGGACTGCATACCTTCCCACAACAACAATTGTGGTAATAAGAGCAAACAGGTCAGCAAGGAGAGATAAGGAACTTGCAAATCATATTTCCCAACATAGTTATGTACAAGGTTTTCTATACACCAATGAGCTAACGGCGATAATGCAGTCCAATTACCGAGAGAGACAAAACAATTTCAAAGGATGTGTCATGGACACATGCATGGATCTGCTTGTGCTTGCACTTGCACTTGCAGCTTCTTACATACCCTTTCAGCTCCCGTAATTTAGAATCTATTTGGCAAGAAAATAATTAAAGTTTATACTTTGCAAACTACTTTGGACTATTCAAAGTGTAGGAAATGAAAACAGGATAAACTGGAATTATATAGACCAGAGAATATTAGAACGTTGAGTAAAGGTCAATGTGAATATTTTGAAAAAAAAAAAAAAAAAAAACCCTCGAGTGTCACTTCACCCCAGAGCTCAGTACTTTGGTGAATAGTGAGGTCACTGAAGGTTGAATGCAGGTCATTGTAAACGCTTTTCTTTTCCTTGTGTTTTTTTTTTTTGTCCAGCCAAGATCAGATGATGCGGATTGCAGAGCCAGATGATACACAAGGCATTGCCACTTTAAGTCTCTCCAGCAACCAATTTCAACTTTCGTAGAATTTCTCTTTATCGTGGTTTGCTTTTACTCTGCTTCTAGTTGCAGTTTAGATCATGCATGCATGGATGGATGTGAGGGGGTTGGACCACTTTTGTGATTGGATGTGGCACAAAATTAAAATGAAACCATTTTAAGCGCCATCAACGATTGACCTTCCTACCCCAATCCTAGGGTTAAAGAAAATATTATATTATTCTGTCCTATACTGCTTATGGCTCCAAGAATAATAGCCATGAACCGATCTTCCTACCTCTTGTGGATACGTGTTAAATAATATTACAATTGCATCAGATATTATAATTCCATCATGTTGTCTTCGCTAGTTGCAAAAAGAAAAAAGAAAAAGAAATAAACCAAACAAAGCGGCAACAAAAAAAAAAGAAAGTTGGAGAAATAGCACCATATTAGAGTAGAGATTGGGAGGGGACAAATTGTAATAGGCACTTGTATAATCTTTACACATATAAATATATAAATATGTAGATAATAATCACCTTTGGTTCTTTTGGCAAAATTTTTTTATGGTTATTTATTATTCCAAGTCACACTTACATTCAATAATAACATCAAAACAGAAGGATAGATATTTTGCAAGCTGACAACTACTTTGCAGATACTTTTGACTATAATATCTACATCACAGAAGTTAAATACACTTAAAATAACTCCCAAAGAAAAGGAACCAATTGTTTCGGCAAAAAATAAAAAAAAAAAAAAAAACCACCCAAAAAAAAAAAAACAATTTTTTTGGAAAAAAAAAAAAAAAAAAAAAAAAGAGAATTGCGCTTGAAGGATTTGATTTTGATTCTTTTTCTCCGTATTACTATTTTTTTTTTTTTTTTGACAGGCGGAAAAAAAAAAACAGAGAATTTAAACTAAACTAAACTAAACTAAACTAAACTAAACTAAACGAAACTAAACGAAACTGAGAACAAGAGTCACTGTATCAACAACATCGTCTAGTTACCAAATCTACACTGACCAAAGAGAAAAAAAAAAAATCGAAAGATTTTAAGAATAAGAGGGACAAGAGAACTGCAATCACTCCACCCTCGAAAGTATTTATCTCGGAAGTCGGAGCGTACCCATTGGGGTTAATAGAGAACATATTTCACCACTCGTCGTTAACAACGTATCTTCGCACTGCATTATTCTGTTTTCGTTTACATTTGGAAATCAATTTCACATACGATACTTGACATTTGAGGAAACCTTGTTGAAGCCATAGTCAGATCCACTCGTTTCCTCTAATCCATAACATCTGAAAAAAAAAACACGCGGTAAGATATCTCCACCCGCTGGTTTTCTCCACTCCGATGTCATTCAATGGTAACATGAGTATCCCAACTCACAACAAAAATTACAGTGGTAACATCTTTACCGCCAATGGCTACATGAACCCCACAGCTGTAAACTCTGGTATTCCACTGTCGGCTGGCACAAACCATCCTGGACTACAGTACTTTCAAGCGTATCCACAACCACAACAACCACAAGCTCAGCAGCTACCAACGTCAGTACACCCGCAACAAACTATTCAGGACTACTACACTACTTCCTCCTCCTCAAACAACACCCTTTCCAATGGGTCGGCGTCTTCGACGGCACCAACGTCAATCTCTGATATGCCATTGCCTGGACAACAACAACCGCAACAGCAGCATCAGCAATATAATCAACTGATGCTCAACCCATCCACAGCAAAGACGATTATGCCACAGATGATTTCGGGAACTGGAGCTTCGTCAAATCCTCCCATGCCTCTTGACCCAAATGTCACTACAAAATTCACAAACAACGATATACAAATACTACGCCAGTTGTTGATTGCCGGTGAAAAGTACAAGTGGAAACAAATTACAAGGGAGATTAACTCGTCAACAAACCATACACAGCATGTGTTGGCTGCAATAAACAAGAATCAACAGCATTTGCTGCAGATTCCGCATCTACAACAAAGTCTGCAACTGCAACTGCAACAACACCAGCAACTGCAACTGCAACTGCAACTTCAACTGCAACACAACCAACACCAAATGCATCAACAGGCGTTACTGTATGGCTATCAACAGCAGTCTCACATGATGTATAATGGAACCAACGTATTGCACAAGTCAAACTCAACGTCATCAGCCCATATGATCCCTCCACATCAAACCCAAAACACACCTCGTCATGGTAACATCGACTCCAGGTCGCCACACTCCAACAACCAAAATGGCCAACCATCAGCAGCAACACCATCAATAACTGCCACCACCAGAACCACTACCACAACCACATCTGCATCATCTCCATCACCAATGCCGTTGAAGAATGTGAGTCCTACTTTTGTGATGAAGCAGTACCAGCAATTGCTTGGGTTGCCCAGCAATCTGGTTTATTTCGGGACGTTGGGCTCGAGTTTGCCTTATGTTGTTGCTGCTAATGGATGGAGTGATATTGATCAGGAGGCTTACAATTATCAGTTCAATATGGATGACGAGGAGTAGGTGCACGTTGTTTGAGGAGAGAAATGTTATGTTTCTGTATTATACTTTGTATTACTATATATATATGAACTTGTCCCATGATAAAGCTTCTCCAAACTCTACTTCAGTTATTCCTCCCGCCTGCAATCAACACAGTCTCCAGGGTCAACGCCGAGTTCGGTTTCTTCGTCATTTACAGTCCCCCCTTGGTTCAATAGACTTCCCTTACCGATCAAATGGTCGCCCACATGTGCACTAGCACCCTCGGTTCCAGCATCACCATCACCATCACCATTCTCACTCTTCCTCCTCCTCTCAACTTCATCAATCTTATTCTTAACCAAATTTTTCAAAAACTTGGCATCAGGAAACCCATCATACGAAACACGAGCCAAAACAGGGTCCAACCCATCGCCATTTCCATCTTTCTTAAACTTGCGCCGATAGATCAAATCGACATGATTGTCAATTTCAACGTATATCTGAAATATGCCGGGTGTCTCCACAATCGGTTGTAGTGAAACTTCAGCTACGGTATGCGGGTCAAATGTTTGGAATAGTTCTTGCGCATACCATACTGCTCGGTTGGTCCATTTGCATTTGGTGCAGAATTGGACTATGACACGGGGCTGCTTGGTGATTTGGTGTGTTGACATTGTATATCTTTTTGGAAACTGTGGATTGGAGTTTTCGTTGTCTTTTTCATTCATTTCTTATTTCACTTTTCACTTTTCACACATCACATTCACTTCACCAGAATGCTTTTCTTTATTGGAATTACGAGAGATATGAGGTTCCCAAGTATGTAATGCGCCATCTACACTGACTACCAGTCTATCAAATACGTCTATTACTCGTTATATATTCCCGTTATTTATTCAATACCGCAACCAATCATAATCTCCACTCAAGCCCGAGCCCGAGCCTTCAACAACCAGCTCATTATTATTATATGACAATTTTTGCAGCGGTGCACTGGCAAACGACGAAGTAGGTGATGGATTCGTTGCTGTGACGGGACTAGCAGATAGTGAATGTGCCAAGTTTCGCAGCAAGATACTTTCCGCCACTTTGGTGCTCGACTTGTTTCTTTTGATGCTGGGTCGACGTGCTTTTCGAACCCCCGCAGATGAAGAAGAAGAAGAGGAGGAGGAGGACGCCACAGTCGACTGTGATGCTGAGTTTGATGTGGCTGACGCAGCACCGCCACCACCACCACCACTTCCCGATTTCCGATCATCCTTGTCCTTCTTTAACGCAGTTGGGTTCAAGTCATCTCCATCGGTTTCATCCTTCTTATTGACGGTTGTACGCTGGCGTTTCTTGATTATATCCGTTTTAAGACTAAGTGGCCGTGTTACACCGTGCAATTTCAAAAATAACCCGCAGGCGTTGCATAGAGGTTGGCCCTGTGGATTGCGCCTCCATAATGGGGTGGTTTTTGTGTGGCAATTTGTACATGATTGTCCTGCATCGCTTGCCGAGGCGCCGTTGGTTCCAGTCCCGCTACCACCGCTATGGCCACCACTGTTGCTGTTTGTTGCTGTTGTTGATGTTGATGTTGTTGCTGCTCGTCCAGTGTCAACTTCACCACTATCGCCCAGGTTCTTATTTTTGCTCAGATGTTGTTTTGTCAGTTTTGTTCTTCTCGGTTTCTTGCCGCTTCCCGGAGGTGGCGATGGTCCATTCACATCGTCAAAGAAGTTATTGTGGCCCGTTTGGCCAATTTGACTAGGTAATGTGACTTTGAAAGCATCAGCATGGTTATTTAGCGATAAAGACTGGTTGTTTAAAAACTGTTCGTTTTGGTTCAAACTCCGTGAAAATTGGTGATTATTGTTGAGCTGTTGTGTTGGCGTAACCATGGCTGACCTACTATATATTGTATCTCCATGTATCAAATGATTTTGGAAGGTGTTTTGAGAATCGGCATAATCTGATATCGATACCAATGATTCCTGACGTAACAAGTTGGATGGGGTAGCTGTTATTGATCTTCTTGGGTTCACCGAAGCTGGAACGTGGTGACTGATGGAAGAAGACGAAGTGGAGAACTGCGTGCTTGATGGTATTATGGTTGATAATGAAGATGATAAAGACTCACCGCCGCCGTTTGTTGTTGGCGAGTGAACGAAATCGTCAAATAGAGGCTTTTCATAAGATGAGGCAAAACTATCGGGGAAAGATGAGTTCATGTTGACCTCGCGGAAGTTATCATTAGGGCCCTCAAATGCTAATGGATCCAAGGAGAATTCAAACGATGCTGCTGCAGGTGGTGCCGATGATGATGCTTGCGGGTAGTGTAATTGGGGGTGGTTCTGGTGGTGGCTGTGCTGAAAGTGGCCGCTGTTACTCTGAAAAGAGGAAGGAGTAAAAGCATCGCCTTGGTCTGCTGCTAAATTGTGTTGATCTTGATGTTGATGGTGTTGATTCAAAAAATCGAGTCCAAACTTGTCATAGTCGTGCAATTGCTGCGATAAATTGGATTTTGTTCTACTGTTTTGCTGTGCTATTCCTGAAGTCACTGCTGATAACAGTGGTGAGAACTGCGCCAGGCGTTTTCGCGGGATGTTGCTGATTGAGGTCATTCCGCCTCCTCCGCCTAAAAAGTCATCCGCAACTCGGTTATTGTTTCCCCTATTGGGTGAAGCAAAGTTTGTCGCACCTAATTTCTTGATATGAGCCACATAGTCGAAATCGTCATCCGTGATCATGCGGTCAGAACCGTGGTTTGGGTGGTGGGTTCTTGGTGATGCTGAAATTGTAGATGAGGTGTTAGTAGATTTATGGGACTTGAATAAATCCGATGAGTGTTGTTGCTGTCTCTGTTGCAAATGTTGCCTCTGTTGATCGGATTGATGTAATCCCGTTGGAGTCAGTACGTCGTTATGTTGATGATCACCAGGTGTGTTTAAATTTGCGTCAATGTCGTTAAACATGTCAAAGTCCTCAATCACATTGGACCATAAGGCTGAATTAGCATCGTCGTGATGCATAGCATCTTTTGAATTATACAACTCCATTTCCTTTTCCTCATGAAGATGCTTGTCCATCTCAAATCGTTTTCGATTATAGCTCGAGCTGCTTGTGAGATGCATCATTCTCCACGTCAAGTTCTCCATTCTTGTATTGTAGGGTAACGAGTCCCTTGCTTTATTGTACAATTTCCATAGGCTCTCAACATGATCGTATTCGTTGGTTAGTACTTGCGACAAATTGATGCCATTGTTGTGTGAATCTTTACCGCCATATATGCCATTTGGGTTAAACTTGAACTTCATATTTGCAGTGGGCGTTGATGGATGACTTGAGCGATGTTTGCTCGGAGAAGATACTTGGTGATGCGCGGTAGAGCTAGAGTTGGAGTTGTCAACCTCGACCCCTTGTTGTTGCTCTTCTTGTTGCTGCTTCTCGCGATGAGTGTTGTCGGATGGAGATTGATGCGCTTGCTGATTTTGATGTTGTTGCTGTTGCTGTTGATATAGCCTCCGTGCTTGTATTTGTGCCAGTAAGAATGACGACGGTGAGTCGTGATTACTGCTCATAGCTGGGGATGTGATGGACATTAAAGTGGTTTGAGTTATTTGTGTGGATCCGTTTATTTGCTCTGTATTACTGCTCTTAAATGTGTGTCTCTGACTTTATCTCTCGTGTGATGAGGCAAGTCTTATCGTGAATCAACTTGCAATGTCTCGTGCACCTGGCTAAACAAAGAACGGTGTGATTTTGATAGACCAAGAGCCAAAATGAAAGGGTGGTTAAGATATAAGTTTAGTATGATATGAAGACTTAGGGTTTAGTCGTCTGGTTGAAGCCCGGTTCCAAGGTCTATATGTGCGTATATCTTTGTGTGAGTGTTTCTTGATTTGATTGGACTAAGATAAAAAAAACAATCTGGTACTAAATAAAACTAAGATTAACTGAGACATACAAAGGTTTATATATACATATATAAACTTCTATTTATATACAACGACTAGCGTTATGGTCTGCAAATAGAGTGTATATATGTATATATATATATATACATATATATGTATGCAGAAAGGGATATTATCAATATCTATGCAATATATGTCTTGTGAAACGTTAGACACATGACAGAAAATAAAAAGCTTAATTCAAACGACAACAACCCAATACCCTTGCTGAGCTTTACCCAGTACTCTCCTTCTTCATCTGTTAGTTCAACGGGCAAGCGCCCTCATACGCAAAGGTCTAATTACAGCTACTACCCAGTAAAAATCACCAGCTTCGCTCGAGAACCCATTTTTGTGCTTACTGCCTATTGTTCTGTTTTTCCTTATTATTGTCTATCCACTTACAATAAGTGTTTATTTCTTTTTTATCTGCGTCTCACTGAAACTTGTGTACAGATATATATATATATACATGTATATATATGGTCTACTTTGTATTCGGAGAAATTAGGAAATAGTGGCTGTTGATTCAATATTGTCTTGGGGTCTCTTCTGCCACACGGGACTTCCACGGAAGCCTGTCTGTTGTTTTCTGACATTAATTTTTTCGCAACCGTACATATCTTTTATAAAAGCCGTTGTTTGACTCAACTTGCACTGCTGGTCTACTTGAGGGTAACAGACTTGCTGCTCAAAAGGGCTACTATACGTATTCCGCTCTCCTATGAGCTCTCAACTATGACGGTGAGCCGTTGCAACTACACAATAATACTTAGGCTGCACAGCTGAGCCGGCATTTGCACTTTTGTTTTGTGCTATTAAATTTCATTTGATATTACACAAACATAAAACATAAAAACTATATTCCATCACGCAATCGCTGAATTCTGATTGGACGATAAGAAAACAACACTCAAATACAGTTCTGCAGTATATGTATATGCACCAACTAACTATTCATACCAGATTATGGCCTCACTGAACAAGTGTGACGTAGGTCTCCATGCAACTTAAGCTGTCCCTATACTTGCTCTAACAAACAATATATCCCTAATATATGGTTATACTGCTTATACAGCCATTGGAATTGAGCACTTCGACAATACACCCTTGCAACCCATACAATTTGGACTGACCCCATCTCTTCAACTTTGCACTGTTTCTCTTATGATGCACCAAACTCTTCTGCTTTTGCTTCTTTGAATCATTGTCTGTATCCATATACGGTATATCAATCACATCCAAATCATTATCAATAAACTCCGACTCATACCGGTTTAGAAACACGGGTGTCAAACTCTTAAACCCAGCAGGAAGATTATCAAAATACATTGTTGAATTTATTGGGTCTTCAAATCGACTAGACTTGATAGTCCAATTGCATCGGTTCCACTTCATAAAACTGAGATCTTCAACAATACCTCCATTGTGGAGAACCACTTTATTCACCACACTGTATAATGCACCACTTCCTGATGTCCCGCACTGTAGTGGTTTTTGCAAATCGTACAATATATCAACTCCAAGCTTATAGTAGTTGTGAAACTTGCAATTCTTGAAATCCTTTCTGGCTTGTCCGTCACCATTACCACCATCGTCAGCACCACCACCACCTTTTTGTCCTTCTTCTTCTAAGCTGTCATCACTGAGGTAATTGTGTATTAACAAACGCGAGTCATGCTTGTTAAACCTGTCATCTGGCGGACCAAGTATGTCAATGACATCTTGTTGCGTTGATTTGCCAATTTCAATAGTGCCCTTATCACTCACCTTAATGACTCCAGTATCAAGATCAACTGCAAACTTTGAGCAACAATTTTGAGATATAGGTACTTGATCACTCTTATTGGCTCGATACTCTTTCCAAGTCTTTCCTCTGAATATTGCAATCGAATTGCACACTATATCGTTTGGGTTATCGTCCCAGTTGATCAATGTGTCCAACATTAGCTCACTTGATTCTTCGTTCAATCTATGGCATAGCTCTTCATTGACTATCTTGTACTTGAATGCAATCCCGGGATAGGAAAGAATATATGACTTGTTTGTTTTATTAAACACCCCTGGATATGTCGGTCCAAATAGCTTGTTGTAAATAAGTTGAAATGAAGGTCCACTTGAAACGAGTTTAGTTCGAGCTCCATTGTCAAAGGATCCATTCACATGCTGACTGCCATTAGATAAGTTTGATTTGACTATTTCTTCAATTGTCAAAGGCAGTCCCCTTGGCTCATCGACTACATCAAAATCCTTGTTATTGCCACTGCCATTCACACTCCCATTAGATTTTCCCTCACTGAAAACTTGCTCAAACTCATTCAAACTTTGATTCTTGTACATTAGTCGCAACGGTCCACCATTATTATTTCCATCCAAGTGCAAAAACTCAATCAAGCACAACACTTGCTCCATTCTGTTTTGGAAAGTAAGTCGAATGTCTAAATCAACAATTTGTACTAATATGGGTGACTCATAATACTTGGTTTCTGAGTAAATCACTTGATATTTGTAGTTGTATTTGTTTAATTCATTAATAACGTCGTACAACGTCGAGCCTAGCTTGATGTTGTTTCCAATGCCAACACCAGGGAGAATGCTTGTTTCGTGAATCATGCTAGCTCTATGGAAGGATGCAAATGGGTTGATATAAAGATCTCTTTATTGCCGTCGTCTCATCCTCTATTGTTTGATTGCGCGTGTAGTTATCTTTTGCTCTCCATGTTTTTCTTGTGCTTTTGTGTTCAAGAGTCACGTGAGACTAGGGAACTCATACGTGTATACTTTTCTCTATATAAGTATATCTCCCAACGAAATCTTGGACCTAACAGGTTCAATGGGAGCTGTCAATGAGGATTCATCGATAAGCTTAGAATGGTAAACATTCTTTACCGTATCTTTTTCATTTTCAATGAAGTAAAATTCTCCATTCAAGGGTTTTGATAAATCAGCAAGCTCAGTAGATTTGGTAGTTAGAGATTCACTGACCCCATTGTGATGGCAAGATTGGCAAAGGACGCTGTCACAGCTGCTGCTGCTAATGCTACTGCTACTGCTACTGCTACTTCCTTCGCTACCTTTGACATCGGCTGCCCACCACATAGGCGACATGTCTGTCAAACAGTTCAGACACCTTTTGCGGTGCGATGCGCCACGACTCTTTGAGTCACCACTGGTATTCGGGACTGACTTGCCAAAATACATGTTCCTGTGCTCAATGTAGTTTAGTGCTTTTGCATGAGGTCCACTTGACACCGCTCTATTCAGCTTCACTAGATCTTTAAGGTATAGTTGAATTATTGGCTTGGTTTCACTATCCCTACTAGCAACTCTCCTCCCCAACGTCCTGAAATTGAGAATGGTTTCTTTTGATTGATCATGTTTGGGACACACCAACATCGTTCTCAACTTCCCCACTTTTCCATCTACTTTAACTGCCGTTTGTGGTGGTTTCACTTCAGTATCCAATTTAAATCCCAACTTGTAATTTGGTGTATCTTGCGCACATGTAGGATGATAAAAACTTGGCGTCTCGCAAAGATCACACGGCACCAATGACCCATTGTACGCTTGACATATCCCACATTGAATCTTACAATTATTCAAATAAACCTTCAGGACATCGTCAAGTGACAAAAAACTGTGCGCAACATCTGTGCCTTTGGGCTCTTTGAAATTGGCATATTCACTATTGAATGCGGCACATAACAAATGACTCCATCTTCCATCAGATGTCGGTTTCAAGAAATCGGGCCTTACATGTGGTGAACCAAGAATCGACAATTCAAAATTCGTTTCATGTGCCAAACACAAACAGCACGAATAGATGGCACTGTGTATAGGCCTCATGTCATTCGTACACGGCTCACATAGCCACTCCTTCACGGGTTTCACTTTCTCTGGTAATGCATACCCAGCACACGATCCATGGACATTGACACCACAGTTGGCACAAATCAACATCTCCAGTAGTGCCGACTTTTCTGTGTCGTGCTCTCGACACACGCAGCATTTCCTCTCATGGGGCTTGAATGGTAACTCTATAGATGTCAAATGTGGCGTCTGGAGTGCAGAAAGCGGAGAGTATACATCTGCTAGTTGAACTTCTCTGTAGTGGTCAATAATGGGACTAAGTGTAGCCTTTGCGTCTTGAGCAGTTATCTTCTTCGGTACTCGAATCGACCTCGGAGCAAGGTACTTTGGACTGAAAAGTAGGTTCTTTGTTGATACTCCCAATCCTTTAGCTATCAATTCATCAATTCTAGGTAATGGTTTATCATCTTCTTCTCGCTCTTGTTTTGGGACTTTTGCCTCATGTTTAACTATTGAAGGCTCCACTTTGATAGATTTCGGTGCTGTAACGGACATGTTGACAGGTTTCTTTTTACCATCCGCCTTCTTTTCACTCACCGGCTCTTGTTTGATGTCAATGGCTCCGGCTCCCATCGGCTTGTTAGTTCTCACATCATCCTGCGATAGACTTGAATTGGTTGAATCAGCATAATGCAATACAGCATTGGCGTCACTCAAAAGCTCACTATCAACTCCCTTTCGCCATCCACTAGATTTAGATACCTTCTTGAGCACTTCCTCGGGACTCTCCCACACGACAGCGTACCTCCTCCATAATCTGGCACATCGAAAACACAATGCAACAACGTTGCCATTCTCATCCAACTTCTTTGCATCATGACCAGAAACCCTAAACCATTGGATTGAGTAATCTGTATTGCAGTGTTTGCAAAGAAATTTGGCATGCAGCTGCTGTATCTTGTCATTTTCATACGAGGAATCGTCATTTGCATTGGCCAAGTCATCGATAATTATATGCTCGGGCTTTTTCAGGGCTTGTTGCTCCTGCTTGACTGTATTATGCAGCTTCTTCGTCCGACCTTCAAAATTTCCCCAAATCTCTCGACCATTTTTTGACTTTTTCCAAAGATAGTAGAAACGCACCACTTCTTGTATCGGTTGGGTTTTGACTTTTTTCTGCACAAAATACAATTCATTTCCAAATTCCTTCACTCCAGATTCAAAACGCTTGACTTCTTCTCTATTGAACACGGGCTCTTTGAGTTTTTTCTTGTCTAATTTCAGTACATCGGCAAATGCAGCTTCCGCATCCCCATTGTGGATCATGTACTGATAAGTCACAGCGTCGCAGAAATTGGGTGAATTTGGAGAAAGACCAAGTGACTCAGCAATTGGAGCACATCTCGCCACAAATGCATCTAGATCTTGGAATCCATTGGCAATGTCCTTTTCTGATGACTTCCAAAGTAACGTGCACGTGACTCCAGCTCCGTCATCAACACCTCGCTCAATGTACCCTTTAGGGCGTGGTTGTAACCAGCTAGGGTACTCTCTAGGGTCAACGTCCTGATATTCTTTCGGAATTAGTAGCTTTTGAATCTCATCTTGTTTCTCTTTTCCCTTCGACTTGTTGTTTTGCGTCTTCTTCTTTGGTGATTTTTCCTCATCATAGTATACTATTGGGTGTCCATTGCATTCAGGGATATAAACGGCTTGATGCTTGGCCCCGACTCTAGTTGAAGCACGAGGATAGGGTGATTTATCATCCAAGTCCACAGCCTCTTCCAACTTGGCATTCAATCCTAAGTATCTCATACACCACTCTTCTTTTAGTCTCCGTTCTTCAAAAGTAACGTTAGCGTCATCTTCTAAAAACTCCTTTGCCATAAGCTCGTATCGCGGGAGCACTGCACTCGCATTGGTGCAAGCGTCGACAGATTGGGTCTTACTCAAATCCTCCACTTCGGCTTCTAATGACCCCAATGCACCCAATTCTTCCTCTAGACTTTCCTGGTTCGATGATTTGTTATCATGCAGAAGCATTAATATCTTTTTTTGATGATATTCAATCTCGTGCTTCTTTGTACAAACAGCACAGGACCATGAGAATCCACGACTGGGTTTCTTGAGCAAAGGTGGATCCAAACAGAACATGTGAAAATATTTGTTACATTCAACACAGCTTATTGAATCTGCACCATCGCACCACAACCCACAAATGTCACAATTGCAAGTGTTGGCTTTGAAAGAATTTACCAATGATTTTGTTCTATGTGTTTCGCAAAAGATGTACTGGAATCGCTTGTTCAATGCAATCAAGAAATTCTTCGACTTGCTGTTTTCCACTTGCGCATACTGTAAAAGGTTATTTGTCAGTAATACATCGTACGACCGTATCATGTACCGATCGTATAACCGATCAAAGTAAAAACAGTTGGGGTTTTGGACGTATGCTTCAATCGGGGAAATGCCACCAGTTGGAGTTTGTGACTTTGATGGAGCTCTATTGCGACCGTTCACTACTTGTGCTGTTCTTCTGTAGTAGTCGTCCTCTATGTCTTGTTTCAACTCAACATCCACTACGCCACGAAAGCTGACCAAAGGGCAGGTGTCAGAGTCCATTGTGGCGTACAACAATCGAGAATCGGAACTAGCTTTTGAAACATCTCTTGGCCTGAAAAACCATTGTACAAGAAATTGATATCCTTTGGAAGAGACCACCAGATTGCTTTCTGAGTGCGGAGCGGTATTTCCATCATTGTATTTTTGGTGAAGACTACTTGTGAAGCCTCGTATCCTTCCTATGTAATATGGTTCACCAGGGGGTTCACTAATCATGTAGATACATTGGCCCTTGGAAAGTGAAAACGGCTTATTGTTTTTACTTCTTTTGGTGGAGGTTGCATTATTATGGTGCGGACAGTATAATGTCTGAGTTTTCAAGTCTATGTACGAGTCTGTCAAGTCCAATTTGTTTGAAAAATAATCCTCTGGTCTTGGGGGTGCCTGCCAATTGTACGGAATCAGAGATGTGGGGCTATCGCTCCGTGACTTCACGAGTGCAGTTTCTGGTACCAGTAGCTTCTTTGTAGGAGGGTTCGTTTTCTTTCTTTTCTTGCTGGAGTTTGACCTCGGAGTTGAGATTGCACTTGAAGTAGTTGATAGCACTGATGACGTTGACAGATCATAATCTAGCTGCAGATCTAAGGAGTCGTTGTAAACCTTATTTATTGCCGCCTTTCTCTTTGGTCGGCTTGTGGTTTGGGACATTATCTGTGAAATGGTGGAAGAGGGGCTTGCCGAGTCCTGTCGTTCCAAAAAGTTTGATCAATGTCGAAATCTGATGATGCCGATAAAAGACAGAGCTTTCTTTCTCCACTTGTCTTGGGTGGCTGTGACCAGAATTGTCGATACTCGTCAAGTCGTCTGGAAAATTACTCAGGCCTTTTGTTTTTTTTGGGGGAGAAATGTTTTCATACAAGACAGGTGGGAGCATAACAATTTAACTTTACAAAAGCATCAAGTAGAGGAGCAGAGAGTAGAGACTTAGAGGATGAGGATGGCTCTGCCTTGGACTCCACGAGGCATTCGTTTTTGCTTCAGGAAGGATTTATTTGAAGGTGAATCGATGTCAAGCAGATTACAACATCTTAAGGTCTAGCTTGCAAGGATGTATGTTCCTCACAGTTGCTTGAATTGCTACTGAATACCTCGGCACCTATTCAAGGACCTTCTGCTAAAGACCACCTAAAGAGTAACATACATCTCTCCGTATCCTGTTGTCTGATATTGAGCCGGTGTCAAAGAGCGAAGAGAAAAAAAAAAAAAAAGAAAAATAAAAAAAAAAAATAACAAACATAAAACCGAAACCTGGATGTTCATTAGATTGAGGCCCCACCTACAAGCATACCTAAACGAGCAGAGCTAGTTGCACCATTCACCATGATTCAACTTGAAGAGCGCGATATTCCTGTGATTCCAGGTGATAGACTCGGTGACGAAGAGGCGCAGGAACTACGCCTAATGGTAGCGGAGCTATTAGGACGACGCAGCACTTCGTTTCCAGGCTCACAACCGGTGTCATTTGAAAGAAGGCACTTGGAAGAGACCCTCATGCAGAGGGATTACTTTGTGTGCGAGAAGTCGGATGGACTAAGGTGCCTTTTATTCATCGTCAATGACCCTCAAAAGGGAGAAGGTGTGTTTTTGATCACCCGGTCAAACGATTACTACTACATCCCCAATATCCATTTCCCGCTTTCTGTTAAAGAAACTAAAGATAACTTGACATATCACCACGGCACGCTTTTAGATGGCGAATTGGTTTTGGAGAATAAGAATGTTAGCGAGCCTGTTCTTCGATACTGCATTTTTGATGCTTTAGCTATCAATGGAAAATGTATAATCGATCGTCAATTACCCAAAAGGTTAGGCTACATCACAGAAAATGTCATGAAGCCGTTTGATCAGTTCAAAAGAATGAATCCTGAGGTTATAAATTCTCCTGATTTTCCATTCAAAGTGGGGTTTAAGTCGATGTTGACGTCGTATCATGCAGATGACGTCTTGAGCAAGATGGACCAGTTGTTTCATTCATCTGATGGATTGATATACACCTGCGCTGAAACGCCATACGTGTTTGGGACTGATTCGACATTACTAAAATGGAAACCAGCAGAGGAAAACACGGTTGATTTCCAGCTTGAATTTGTCTTCAATCAGTTTCAAGACCCCGATATGGATGAGAGAGACCCATCATCGACATACACCGACTACGACTCCAAACCCAATTTGATAAAATTGCGGGTATGGCAAGGATCCAATGTTCATACGGATTTCACCCAGTTGGACTTGACTGATGATGATTGGGAACGATTGAAGGCTTTAGGTGAGCCACTACAGGGTCGCATTGCAGAATGCCGTCAATCTTTGACAAGAAAGGGTTACTGGGAGATGTTGCGATTCAGAAATGACAAAAGCAGCGGAAACCACGTTAGTGTTGTTGAAAAGATCTTGCTAAGTATCAAAGACGGTGTTAAAGAGAAGGAAGTAATTGACAGTTGTAAAAAGATTGCACTGGCTTGGAAACGTCGAGAACAAGAACGCAAACGCAGACATTCAAATGGTGGGCCGGTGCCGCCTTCATCACATTCACATAATCAACACAGAGACTCTTCATATGACGAACAGCAACCCCCTTTGAAACGAGTGAGGCGTGATTCGGGAGCCCAGGAGCTGCTGTCTCGACAGCCACAGCCTCAAGAACAAAATGAGAATCAACTAGACGATATCCCAACCTACGAAGACAGTGACGAAGAGTAAGGAAATCTTGTATTAAACTTTTGTATTATATTGAATAACACACGTAAAATCATTGTTCTCCTCCGTTAGCCTCGTCTTCATCTTCATCATCCTCATCCTCACTAACAGCTTTTACATTCCATTGACAGCTGATATCCCATCTAGACCCCTTTGCATTTATACTTACGTACTTGACAAATTTTAAAACCGATGCATCGCGAGCCATTAATGTGAGGGAGTTCCAACTACACTGACTGGTGTAAAGCACACTATCCTCTTCCGAATCCTTGCTTGAACGATAAATGGCGGGATCGTCTTCATCATCGCCTTCGGAGGTGGTTTGTGCCATGCATAATTCGTAGCCACCAAATTCACCCGATTCCCAGCTATTTCCCTTAGTACCACTGTCTGCTGTCGGGGTGAGGTTTATTGTAGCCTCAAGTAGAATATCCTTCTCAAAATCCTTGTCGTTGGTGTCTGTATCTGCCGGAGTGGCTAAAATGAAGTCTTGTCCCGGTCTAAACCTGCGGGCCAAAATTTGTTCACTGGCGGGTGTGAAATCAGTTATAAACTTGAGCCATTTCTTGAAAGCCACCGACTTTAAGAATTCACAAGTTTGAACGAGTTTGGAGTCGGCTGCATTTAAGTTGCCTGATTTATCAAGTAACGTGAAGTTTGGTTGCTCTTGTGGACCGACTTCATTGATATACTTGATCTCTTCTTTAGACAATCCATGATGTGAGGTTCCATCAATGTACATAAACCGTTGTTTGTGTGGAGGTACTGCAATTTTCCAAGGGTGTTGTACTTCAGAGGAGGATTTCGGTGTTTCAGCATTAATTTCAACGTCTCGAAGTAGCTCCTTTAAGGAAGAGGCATACTCTTCATTGAAAAAATCCTTCAACTCCACAAGCGACTCTTCAGCAAAAAACTTGCACAATTTTTCAATGTTTGTAAGGTTGAGGTAAATTGGATTGATAAATTTTTTCAAGTAATTAATGTCTTGTTCACTAAGATGTTCGCATGCTTGAATGGTCTTTAACTCGAGTCGATTGATCTCGTTCCTGATGCTTTTGGGGAAATCAAATTCTTGCAACTCTTTGCTTTGAAGTTGCTGCAATGTGGACAATGCCTCGGTCTTTTCTTGCTCACCTTCAACGAATCCATCTTCTCCTGGTTGCGGGATGTGGAACCACCCTTGTATCGACAACCTGTGTTTGTCCTCCCTCACCTCTTCCACGTCATGGAAACTTAAACCTGGCTGCACGGTGAAAAATGCAATTTGATTAAATTGAGGAACTAGTTTACACTCGTAATCGGTGTGGGGAACATTAGGTACAACTGAGGGAAATAGTCTCAAGGCTCCTCCATATTGAGGTTTCCAAATTTTGTCGGGATCTGGCATATACAATATAAAACTAACCCTTCTGCTTCCAATGACATCATCATGGGTCAATAGATGGCAACCTCTGGTGTACGTGTTGATTGACATATCTGTCTTAACTCCACTCAATTTGCCACAACCTGTGATTTTGGAGATTACATCCCTAAACTCTTGAGAATAAATTGCAGATCGCAATTTATACAAGGAGGGCAATCGTGACAAATCACTCCAATCTAGTCCCGACAAGTTGGCAAGGTCTCCCAGCTGAAAGACTTTGTAGATGTCAGTTTCCTTCTTGGTGAATGCAATTTCAGACAACACTTCTTTCCTGACTTGGCGTAGCAATGTATCATCAATGAGATCCTTTATAGTTCCCCATTTATAAGGTGAGCTGTTCTTCACTTGGTTTTGAATTTCATTTTGGAAATCAGACTTCCAAATTTGACCATTGAAAAAGTGTTCAATATCTTCCTTGGTGAAGTTGGTATTTAGCTTCTTTGGAGATGATTCGTCCCGTGTGGGTGCCTCCTTCTCCTGTGGTCTCTTTGATGGTGTCATAGTCTGAAGGGAGTCGTGTTGTTTTAGGGGAGAAATAAATGGAAGAATTATTAGTCGTTCTTAATCTAGATCATCTGATAAATTCGGAACATCTAGAAAAAAATAAAAAAAAATTATATATAAATAACTATATACAACATGCGCTACCTCTTCCAGCTGCTGCACACTAAAACCTTTGCAACATTATTGGAACAGTTTGTAGAACAAACCACAAAAAGAGAAATTGACACTATTGCACGTGACTAGATTGACTCACTTTTTCAATTAATATTTTTTTTTAATTTTTTTTTTTTTTTTTTTTTTTCATCAACCCCGTTGTATGTAACTGAGTCAGAATAAATTTTAACTTCTTCCGGATATATATATATAATCACTTCCTGCTCGAATAGTCTCATTTTCATTCTTTTGGAATTGAAATTCAAATAAACTTTAGTCAATACAAATCTCAACAACTAGCTTACCCTGAAAGATGTCAAGATCACCATCATTAGGTTCGAGATCCTACAATTCCGTACTAGATTTCAAATCAACCACACCCACTCCCACCAGTCCGATAGGACTGTCGCAAAACAAACAACTTTCGAAAGGTTGGGTTGTGCAGAAGTTTGGTGGTACCTCGGTGGGTAAGTTTTCCAGTGAGATTGTTGACAATATTGTCAAGGACTTTGTGAAACTGAATCAGGTAGCCGTTGTATGTTCAGCTAGGTCGTCCAAAACAAAGAGCGAGGGTACAACTTCGCGGTTGATTAGACTGGCGGATTTGGCAGCCGATAACGAGGACTTTGGCGCACTATTAGATGTCATTGAAAAGGACCATGTTGACAATTGTGGCAGTTTGATTGAACTGAGTGTGATTAGGTCGCAATTGGTTGAAGATATCAAACTGGAGGTAAAGCATGCCCGTGACTTGCTACATGCGTGCCAAATCATTGGAGAGATTAGTCCTAGGTCGTTAGACTCGGTGATGTCAATTGGTGAAAAATTATCATGTATTTTCATGACGGCATTAATGAAGGATCACGGCTTAAAAGCAGTGTATATAGATTTATCTGACTTGATTCCGTTGAATTACGATTTCACCGATGGCTTTAATGATGAATTTTACAAGTTTATGGCGAGAGAAATCGGTTCGAGAATAAATCAAGCCACAGAGGGCGATCAGGATGTTGTTCCTGTTCTCACTGGATACTTTGGTATTGTTCCAGGTGGGTTACTCAATGGAGTTGGAAGAGGGTACACTGACTTGTGTGCAGCCTTGGCAGCTGTTGGGATTCAAGCGGATGAGTTGCAAATATGGAAAGAGGTGGATGGAATCTTCACTGCGGATCCAAGAAAAGTTCCCAATGCTAGATTATTGGATAGTGTCACTCCTGAAGAAGCGGCAGAGTTGACCTATTACGGAAGCGAAGTTATTCACCCATTTACCATGGAGCAAGTCATTAAGGCAAAAATCCCCATTAGAATCAAAAACGTCATCAATCCTCATGGGAAAGGAACAATTATATATCCGGACAATATTGCAAGGCGTGGTGAAGCCACTCCACCTCATCCACCTGCAGCATATGAAACATTACCTGTCAGTTACATCACTTCACACAAGAGGAGGTCTGCTACAGCAATCACTGCTAAGCAGGATATTGTTGTGGTCAATGTCCATTCAAATAAAAAGACATTGAGTCATGGATTTCTTGCGCATCTTTTCACCACTTTGGACAAGTATAAATTGGTGGTTGATTTGATATCCACCTCAGAAGTGCATGTGTCTATGGCACTTTCAGTCCAAGCTGATCAAGAACACCAATTGAAACATGCATTGTCTGAGTTGAGCAAGATGGGTACAGTAGACGTGACCAGAAAGATGACAATTGTTTCTCTTGTCGGCAAGCAAATGGTGAATTTTATTGGCATTGCCGGAAATATGTTCAAAGTGTTGGCTGATGAGAGAATTAACATTGAGATGATTAGTCAAGGAGCAAACGAAATAAATATCAGTGCAGTCATTAATGAAAAAGACACGCTAAGAGCATTGCAATCCATACACGCCAAGTTACTAGAAGGTAATTACGTTTACGAGGGATCAGAAAGTGGAGCCTCAGCTATTGATATACGTTTGGAAGCATTGAAGTTTGGAGAATGAAATTGTAAATAGACAAAACAATGAAACAAAGCAAAATGAAAACTTGCGTAGTACAGAGCCAGATATTTGCGTATACACGGATACAACTTTGTCAGTTAAATATCAAAATCACCGCCTTCTCTGTCAGTCTTGTTCTTGGCACCTTCGCTCAACTTCTCTTGTTGGTTTATCAACTCCTCGTACTCACCAACCATTCCACCCAATAACTCACTAGCCAATTTATGATAAGCCAATTGTGCTTTAATAAGTTCTAAAAATTCCTGCAAAGGTTTAGCATTCTCAATCACATTCTGCATAATATTGATTGCGTCTTCAACCGTATTGGCAAAATCATCCTCGGCAATTTCCATATCGACTCTCAACTTTGATTCCTTTGCGGGATTGGTACAATTGGTCAAGTTGTATCTGCTCAAGTCGTAATCAATACGTTTTTCCTCCACTTTTCTTTGGATTTTGTTGGATTGTGATATCAAGGACCGTAAAGTTGTAGTCAATGGTTTATTAAACTTCAGCTTGATCAATTGATCTTGACCCAATCTCGCATTAGCAATCTTGCTCAAGTTGGAAGAGTACAAGTCCAAACCCTTGATTAAAGGATCGCTTGCATCTGAACTCGAATCAGTCTCTTTGGTCAAGACACTGGCATCTGTGGCTCTACTCAATGCGTGGTACAATGTTTTAGGTGGCTTGGACTCGTTACTTCCGGCATTGATCAACGCTGCCTGTGCTTCTGCAGTAGTGGTTGCTTTACTCAAGTTGCTGAATCTAGTGGATACATTTTGACTAAATTCAGAGAATGATTCTTGTAAATTTGTGGGATAATCATATGACTCGTTCTCGTAATTGGAGGTAACCTTCAAGACATTCTTGTACAACAGTTCAATGTTGTTGCATTTGTTAGCCAAGTCAATGTATTCGGATGGTAATTGGGATATATCGTCTTGGTTTATTTTACCAATTCTTTCTTGAACCAATCTCGAGGTTCTTTGCGCCAATGGTACCACCTCCTTGTTGAATTCGGTGCTAATTCGATCTCCAAAAGATTTGATATCTTTGGTGAAATTTGAAAAGTTGAATGACATTGTGCAATGAGAACTCTTGGAGTGACCGTCTTGAAGCTTAAGGGGAATATGAATGGAGGATAGATACGTGTGTGTGTGTGTGTGTGTGTGTGCTTGCGAGTAATACAAGGGGCGGGGGGTGTTGTCTCTCTCTTTCTTTCAGGATAAAAAAAATAAAAAAAAAAAAAACTGGTGAGTGAGTGAATACGCGAAGTTTTAGATTGCGTTTTTATTACGTTGGCTTACAGTGCTACCAAATTTAATTGCAACTGGAGATAAAGGCTAACAGCAATCTTGAACCTAACTTCTACGTCAACAAGATAGACGTGACAAAACGACGCTGTGATTGCTATGTAACCACTAAGTACAGTTTCTCTTCTACATAGTGCATTTTACTCAAAACTTGTTGCCATTGTTGTAAAACTCCAAAACAGCATCGGTCAATCGTTTCCCACTTTCTATAATGTCCTCATCGTTGTTGAGAGGGGCATAGCATAATCTAAAGAAGTTGCTTCTTTCCAAGCTAAAATCTGGATCAACTGACATATTGTACCCAGGGACAACCAAGACCCCATGACTGATAATCTTCCACAATAATTGCTTTCCAACAGCAACTACTTCGTCACTTGAAACATTACCCTCAGCCGGGTCCAAAAACTTCACTTTGAAAGTAGCAAACATGCCTGCTTTTGGATCAATCACATCAACCAACCCCTTTTTGAACGCTTCTGATTTGTAAATTGAATGCAACAAGAGGTCTTTTCTGTGGGAATAAGTTGCCCGCATCTTTAAAATCCAGTTCAACCAGCCATCCAAACCTCCCAATTTGTCCCTAATAACATTGTTCACTACTGTTTGCGACAATCCCGACGCACCTCTGTTTACAACCTCGGAATAGTTGCGAATAGCATCGATAATCTTGGCATGAGCAATGACAAACCCAAGACGTAATCCGGGAGCAAATAACTTGGAAAATGTCTCGACTCTGATAACACGCCCGGTGGTGTCAATTTCCAAATATGACGGAGTCAAATGGTTGGTCAAGTAATCTTCAATAGTTATATCATTCTTTAAATCTGCGGGGTCCACTTGATCGTTGCTGGAAAATCTAGATGAGTCGTATTTTGGTAAAGTCAAGTATCCATAAGGGTCGTCTTCAATAATTACAAAATTATGTTCCTCTGCCAACTTGTAAACTTTACGACGGAACTCGAGTGTTTGTGTAAATCCAGTTGGGTTTTGTCCCGTGGAGATTGTGTACAACGCTTTGGGTTTGGGCAAGTTGGGTTTCTCTTTTGACCAATTTGTCAATAAATTCTCCAAGTAGTTATAATCAAGTCCATTTGAATCCTGTGACAAGTCTATTTTGAGTGGAACTGGAATACCACCGGCATTGTTTACAAATCTAAGAAAGGGTGTGAATGTAAACTCTTCAACAAGAACCACGTCTCCTTGGTCCAAAATAGCATCACATGCTTTGTTCAATCCATCACTTGCACCGGTAGTCACGATCAGGTTCCACTCATCGTATGCCGGTTTGTGGGTTTTAGAAATGAATTCCTTGGTGAATTGCAACAAGGGGTCGAGTCCAGACACTGGTCCGTATTGTAAACCCCTTGACAAATCAAGCAACTCTGGTGTGTCCGAATGTCTTGATATGCGGAAACTGTTGGATTTTTCCTCCTTCACTTGACCATTGGCCTCCTTTGCTTGACCATTGGCCTCCTTTGCTTGACCATTGGCTTCTTTAGAGTGCCCATTAAGGTGACTTTGCTTTGATTGGTGCTCAAATGGAAATTCAACTAAATTCACTTCGATAGAATCAATTGGGAAGAAACCATCATTAGGTGTACCGTACGATAACAACAAAGGCTTGGGGTGTGGTTTGAATCCAGCTGGTGGTTTATCTGATGGCACGTTTGCAAAATGACTTGATTTCCGTGATTGAGCTCTCTTGGAAATGAACTGGGAAGCGTCTGACATTGTACAATTGGGGGTGACTTGAAGTGGTACAGAGTTGTTTTTTTGGTAAAATTAGTTGACGCTGGATAGGCCTTTCCTTTTATAAACAATCTGATCGTGTCCCTCCTTTAATGGTGAAATATAAAAATTAGATTAGTAATTGGAGAGATTGGAGCCACACACTCGCACACACTCGCACACATGGGGAGTAGATACGTGGTTTGTGTAACTTGCCACAGTTTTATCTTTCAAGTTTAATTCCGTTTGTTGTGGTGTGTCGCATTTTATAATTCCTAAAACGGAGATAAAATTCCATGCCATATACTACCAAAGAAACTGTTCATTACTATACCAGAGATCTAGATATCCATCTCCACGTCATCATCCTCCAAATAGTTAACGCCTCTGGAAGCACTGTACTCGTCAATTACTCTCACCACGGATTCCTTGCACTCGCTAAACATGTCAACCACTCGCTCCAATTCCTCGGCCGAGTTGTCCTCTGTGTACGTGCTCAAGTATGCTTTTCGTTTAACCAAGAGATCATATTGTCTTAATATCCTGTTGAACACATCTATTATAGATGTATTATTTGATATTTGTATACCTTCGAGGTTTGTGTCCTTTACGAATGGCGATTTCTTACCATGCACCACCCCAACCGATCTCGAAGTCCAAGGCACATAATTGGTACGTGCTTGCACCTTCAATATTCCCTTGCGTATTTCATTTCGATCCAATTTCGATCCACTTATGAGGTAGTTCATCAAACTTATGTAGGCTATCTCCGACGATGACGCCAAGGATGAAGAAGTTGTCGACACACATCCACTGGTCTTGTACCTGTCATCTGACAACTCTAGAAACATGTCATACTCGTTTATGTAGTTGTGGTGGGATTGGGTACTGAAAGGTGCAACTGAAGTGGTGAGAAACTTCAAATCCGGAGTGGGGACTAGGCTCGACACTATTGACTCAATTGAGCTGTACATATAACCGGGGAACCGCATGGGGTTACTCACCGACGCACTAACAAATGCAATAAGTTTGTTTGTCCCCTGGAATGAAGTGGCATCTGACAATCTTTGATCTTGCAACGATCCCCTCTGGCTAAACACTGTGTTTTCAATAGTGTTCAATGCATCATTGTGAAATACAAACGTTGCATTGCTAAACTCGATCAATCTCTGTAACGTTAGCAAACTGTTGTAAGGTTGCACCACAACGTCACTGGTTTTTTCATTGGAGGGAAATATTGAATTGGTTGTGATGATTTTCTTGCTTGTATATCTATCTTGCAACACCTCTAATATCTTGGAGCCACATCCCAGTCCGGTACCACCCGCTACACTGTGAAACAATTGGAACTGGGATAAGTTGTCACACTTGTCTGCTTCCTTGTCTAATAGATTTAAAATGCTCTCGATATGCTCCGAACCGTACTTGTATCCATTTGACCAATTGTTTGCAGCACCATTACCGTGATCGCTTACATGTGTACTCCTTGGATTTAGCATAGGCAAGGTACTTAGCGCTTTCGTAACAACTGAAGGCTCAAGGTCAATTAGTACGGAACGGGGAGTATATGTGTTTGAATCTGAAAATGTAAAGAATAGCTCAGGATGATCTTCTCGATATAGTCGCTTAGAGCTAGTTGTGTTGCCGGAATTTGAATCTTGCAGGTCTGGCTGAGAGTCTGGAAAGGAGCCGTTATGTGACTGTGGTTGTGGATACGGTGTTGGAGTTCCATCTTTGTTTATCCCATGTTCCAGGGCCAATTGTTGCCAGTACTGCAAACCAACTTGGTTCCCACATTGTCCTGCTTGTATTGTAATGGTCTCCCTTTTCATGACAGTTAGTAATCAGGTCAAAGATCATGTCTAATGAGCGGGAGTAACACATACCCTGGCATGACAGTTAAGTTGTTCTTTAAGGAAAGAAGTCTGTCAAGCAGCAACGCGTTAAGTTACATCCTTCGTAATCTTTTTTTTTTTTGTTATTTTTTTTCTTTGTTTTGTTTACACTTTGAGGAAGGGGAAACATCAACAAAAATTATTACCACACAAAAAGCCATACCGGATTTATCAGGGCATTCTCAAAAGATGGTCTACTCCAAGTTCTACATGTTCTCTTTTTTAAAACGTAACAAGTGTTTTGTATTTTAGGTATTAAATAACGTATAAAATTTTTTTGAAACACAATGTAAGAAAAGTAAATCAACATAAATAATCAGCACTCTCACCAAAACCGGGAGACAGCAGCAAGTAATCAATTGTTGAAAGGTGGAAAAGTGTAAAGCAAAGATTCATTGTTTGTAGCATTATGTGCGCCATTCACTTGCTCTCTTGATATCACTTGTTGTGTTTAAATCTGACCTGCAGTCAAACCCTTTTGTTTTCAAGTGTATAATAATTATTATTGCTATCATCCATCACCAACAACCTCCAATCTCAACCAACTCTCTCTTTTGACTCGTGAATACCAACACTTTATTATTGAAAAGGAATAATAATCCGACGAAGAAAAAGTATGAAATGTAAAGCAACGACCAAAAAAAAAAAACAAAGAAAAAACCATAAAAGAAAACTCAAAGTTTATTCATATGCCCCTTTAAGTTGATCTCTTCTTTTTACACTTGCTTGGTCCACTAGTGGTGGTGACAGTGTTGAAAGAAGTGCCACTGAGAATGGAGCTAAGGTCAGCAGTGCCTGTAGTAATAGTTGGTGCTGGACCACCAGTTGGAGTGGTGGCATATGTTGAGGTGGTGGTAGTATCTTTACAGTTACCAAATGCAGCAGCCAATGCGTTAACAATGACTGATCTAAGTGTGTCCCAATTCAAGAAAGCTTTGATAAGTGATGGAATCAAACCAGAGTCAACCAAAGCATCAATCAATTGTCCAAGAGTGATCGCACCTGAGGAGAACAACCTGGAAATCAATTCACCACCAAAAGTGTAGAAGTCAGGATCAACAACCAAAGCTTCAACAACTTGGTTAGCCAAACCAGAGTTCTTTAATGATTCCATCAATGAGGTAAGAATATCTTGTGTGTCTCTAGCATAGACTGGAGAGGCGTATTCAGCTCCCATTCTACCAATTTCTCTCTTATCAACAGCAGAAGAAACGGCAGCAGCATTAACACCCAACAAGTTACCAATAACGTTTGGCAAGTTTTCAATAAATTGTCCAACCAACTTGAAAATTTGGGCATAGAAAGCACAATCGTTAATAAGGTTTTGTACAACATCAACAGCCAATCCAGAGTCGTTCAAAGACTTCAACAAGGTGTCCAAGTTAATCCAACCATTCTTAAGAGCAGCAACAACAACATTGATAGTAATGTTTGACAAAGTTGGGTCTGAGATAAGGTATTCGATAACACCTGGAGCCAAGTTGGTGTCTTTAACAATAGCCAAGATATCAGTGACAATCTGGGATTCTCTTTTCACGACTTCGGCTTCAGATAACAATGATCTCTTGGTGTTGTAGTGTTCCATGTTGTGAAGGGCATTGTTGGCAATTTCAAACTCTCTTGGAGTCAATTCCAATGGAGCTGAAGCGGCCGGCATAGCTGCAACTGTTGAGACAGCTGCTGTGAAGAATAATGTGACTGATGCAAAGTTGAACTTCATCGCGAATGGATAAGGTGAGAAAAAGGCTAGTGAGTTAACTGATGATGAGAAAGCGAAAAGAAAAGAAAAGAAAAGAGAAAGAGGTTTAGATTTTAGCTAGGAGGGAATTTTCAATCCTATTTATGTGGAATCAGCTTGCGTATAGTAAGCCTCAGCCAGATGAACCCTTTTCTCATTCTCCTCACCTTATGTTTTCCAATTAACCAACTTGAGTAAATATGTAGAAAATGCTATTACGAAACCCTATTGTTTACTAAGACCCCCTTGACGTATTTGGAGAATTTAAAGTTTACCCAAAGTAGAAAATAGAAGATTTGGAGGTAGATCTAATTTTGAGAACCGCCACAAACAGAGATCTCCTTGGCAGGTTCACAATGCCTCAAAGGTTGGATTTCGCAGCATCAAACCTCCATACATTTTGTTGCAAACACAAAGAGAAGTAAGACGGGAAAAAACAAAAAAGCAAAATAAAATAAAAATAAAAAGAAAAACTTCACTTTCATTACCCTTTTGGGAAATTTCATGAATTATTAACATTTCTAAACTTAGTTAACAAGCACAACAACAATGCGCACACTTTGCTCTTGATTTCTCGTCTACAGACCCCATTGTGGGTGACAACAATGGATGTCGGGTTGTGCGGACTTTACGAACAGCAGTGTTGTTTGAACCCGTATAGTTACAGTATTTTGGAAAAACTCGGTGTAATGTAATTGACCACCTAATGTCATTCCAATATACAACACGCATGAGTAATGAGAGGACACGCTTATGACTAAAACACGCCACTCACACGCGCTCCCTAGCGTTTGGTATTAAGCAAATAATGAAACGCAGTACTTGTTGATTGAAGCTATTGACAAAACGTAAAAGCTCAAGACTTTTCAAATAATCGGTCTCACTTTACGACGAAGGCCTAGAACATGTTTGCCTTGTTTCGAAACATAATTTGACCATAGTTGAAATCTCTTTGGCAATAGATTTTACCCCAAACTTTTCAAAAAAAAAAACAAAAAACAAAAAAAAATTGACGAGTAGGTAGCGCTCTCCTCTTCTTTCCAAAAAAGGAAACTTTTTCTTTTTGTGTGTGTTGTTTCGGTTGTAACAAGAATCGGTATGCCTGAGGTTGAAATCTTTTATAACCAAAAGTCCCCCCTTTCTAAAACCAATAATTGACACATTCGCATTCCTTTTTTTGAAGCTCACATCCTATACCTAGGAAGGTAAGATGTGATTTTTTTTTTTTTTTTTTGGGAATCTCCGAAAGAGAGAAAGCTTGCGGATTGAAAACACTTCCGCCTTTGTTGTTTATTCCGTGCACAACAAAAGTAAGCTTTCTTCTGTACCGAAATCTCGGAAGAGGACGACGTATGCAAACCTTAACCCGAGTGTATTCTCTGGAGTACTCTTCAATCCTCCTGGACGGTGATTAGTCCTTTTCTTTACGCCACCTTCACAGCAACAAAGGTTGGTAGCTCATGTTTGATCACGTGATTTTATTCACAAGGGATTCCTTACCTTGCTTGTAGAATTTTGCTGGTTATACATATAGTCCCCATAACTTGAATTTGACCTCTAGTCTGTGGACCATCCATTGTTGAAGACGTATCAATTTTTTTATCGAATCCGAAAGCCCAAAATTTTGCCATAATGTTGCGGCAAATAAATTAAGCAAGACTTTAAGCGGCACTAAACCCCCCCCCCCCCCCAAAGAAAGAAAAAGAAAAAGAAGTTGCAGTAAATGTGGCATTGTATCTCATAGAGTCGGGGACAAACTTACAGAAAGGACATATGTTGATAGAGTCAACACGCGCTAGATAGCGCAACTTGAGAAGTGTTGTGAACCCGAAAAAAGCTCTTAATTGAATAGAAGTTCCTTAAAAAAGAACGGTTTCTCTTAAATCCGACTTACTCCGTTGGGCGAGAGAACAAACCAAAATTCTCGGTAATAAGCAATCGGATTTCAATGAGAAAGTGTTATGCTTAAAAAAAATATACCTCTGGATAAGCTATTTATTATACGATGCAGAGAGGGAACATATGCCATTACGCGAGTAAAGCGTTATTTTGACTTGTATTATTATATTTTGTAGTCCCCTTAGATAGATTGAACTTTTTAAAATCGATTTCAGCTGGGGTTAACGGTTATTGAACTGGATAAAGAATGTTACAGCCACTCCATTAGCTTCCATACCCCTACAATCTCAAGGCGAACGTGGTATCTCTTAAATCAGTGCAAAATCAACCTCAAGGTGAAGAAGTCGGAGGTGTGAGTGTGAGTTTCTTTACAGAGATAACGAAGCTTTCGGAAGAGATAGAAATCTGGATTAGCCGGAAAAAAAAAAAAAGAAACAGACTAAAAAACTATTACACAAAATTTATAGAACATTTCTTTTTCTATGAAAACTCATTTCAAGTGGATCCTTGGGGAGAAGATTTAATGAATTTGAATTAGCAAGGGGTGTTATATCATCTTCATTTACATCGCCATCTCTAGCAGCAGTATCGTATCAGAGGCTACGGTGAATTTCCCTTCTCAAGGAGCTCAGACAGCAGCTATCAACTACAGAATTATTCACCAATAATGGCATCTTTATATGGAGTTTTATTTATCCTTGCTGTGGCTTACGCCTTGGTATTATACTTGGTGAATTTGATTCCACATGTATCTATCAAGTATGTTGGATTCCTTTCATTGAGAGGTGTAACTATAAAGACAAAAACAACAACTGTGCACATTGGAAAGATTGCTCTCCAGATTAACGCATTTGGACCCAGGGATGAAACCTTGAAGTGGATATCGCTAGTGTTGATGGACGTCAATATTGCTTGCTTGAAAGATAATTCGGCACTGAATCGTCACACAAGCAAGGAACAAGCATCATTTAAAGCTGAAACAATATCAAACGACAAATCCATCAAAGACAAGCTCCAATTTCGTGTGCCAAATTTCATTTTCAACTACATTTTGCAAACGGAGCTCATCAACAAGATCAATTTTCTAATCATCAGATCTACTATTTATCACGAAAGCACTCATGAGCACTTTTGTGCGTCCCTAGAGTTCACAAGACTCGAGGCAAGAATTTCCAAATGCCACAATCTCAGAGTCACCGCCACATTATTCAATGGGTTGATATTTGAAAATGAAAACAAGGACAATAAACTTGACTTGTTTAGAAACGTGGAGTTTTTTGTAAACTGTGTGGTCATAACATCGTGCGACGTGAATAAAACAAATATGATTAGAGTCAATCTTGAGGAGTTCAAAACCTCCTTGTCAATTGGAAGGTTGAATATCCCCATGGATTATATCTCGACAAGGAAGCAACCACAAACAAAGCCCCAAGCAAAACAGCCAGTGACTCCAGGAGAAGATGCACCAGCAAAGGAAGTCACAAATGTGATGCAATACCAGCAATTATTGAGAGATTTATTGTCGTTATACTCCTTAACAGAGATTCGTTTGGAAGATTTCACGTTGTCCCACAAGACTGTTTCCATAAACCTTTCCAATTTTGTCTTTTCATTGGAGAAGGTTGTCAGAACAACTGCCCTCTCGACGTTGAAGCTTCACATTTACTTGACTTCATTCAAATTTTACCATTTGGATACCAAATGTGTGGAGCTACCTTCTGGAACTGTCAGTTACGAGGTATGTCCTATGGCAACTCTTCGAGTTGCACAAGCATTGCTCAACCATGACGAGCATTCGAACGAGCACATAAATTTCAAATTCGGAATAACATTGACCAACCTAGTTTTTGATGTTTATTACGACCAGCAAGATATCTTGTTTGGAATATTGAGAGACAAAATTGTACGCCAACGGATGAATAAAATGAGGACTGCAGCCGGGGTTCATCGCAAAGAAGAGGTGATGAAAAAGTTGAATCTCGCTTCAAAGATGTTGAAAGATGTATCCACGAAAATTGTTATAGTCGACACAAAGTTAAATGTCCACTTGCCTAAAATTGGCCTGACGAGAGAGGATGTCTTTAATCGTTATTCCAGCGCAAACACCATAGTCACGTTCTCTGTGACAGATTTGGAACATAGAGTGTCAACAAGTGCGCAAACAAAAGCGTTGAAGGGAAGAGGCAGAGTCGAAAAGCGTCTCATCCACTCTTTTCTCAAGATCAAGAACCTCAAGGGTGAAGCAGAGGGCAACTTGGCTCAATTATCCAAGATCAATTTTCTACTTTCTTATGATTTAGATCGCTTCAAGCTTGCTGTACGATTATCAAGCAAAGCAATCAATTTTAGATCGGTTAATGACATCTTCTTTTATTTGGTGAGACAATTCCGAAACCGACAACGAATCTACTTCAACAAAAAGTTTGATGAGTGGTTGAAAACCCTTGAGAGCAATGGCGCGCCCGATCAACCAAACAATGCAGAACGTTTCTCGTATGGGGATCTCAACAACCCAGCTGGTAAAAATCAAGAAGACGAACTTATCAAGATTTTTGAAGTGTTGCCGCCATACGTATCCTCGGTCAAGGTAGATCTTTCCTCATTGGCGTTTGACATAAAGAGTAAAGAGGAGTTACCAAGCTACAAGATGTACGATTATCGGATTGGGAAAGAAATTGACTTGAAAGATTACCGTCGTGGAATCTCGTTAAAAGTGACAGACGTTTCAGCAATCTACAAAAGAGCACACGAACAGGTGCAACTATCGGTAGGGTTGGTTCAATCGGCAACGCTAAGCGAGTACGCGCACGAGTATATGATTGCGAACAACGATGATAATGAACCTTCTTCACTGAGTGACTCGGACCTAGATGATGTTTCGAGTATAAGTACATTGGACTCCACAACGGCTGAATACAATGACTACGATTCGGATGGGTTGGGCAGTGGCACTGACACGTATGGTGTAAAGAATATCCTTTCAATTCGAAACATAAATATCGCAAATGATACCTCCAAGTCCGAGGATAGAGACCCAAACAAGCTTATAGTGACTGTTCCAGAAGTTGATGGACATGTGGATACGTTCTTCCTCTGGTGCATATTCTATGCAAAGACGTTGCTCCAAAGATTTGCCCCTACAGTTGAATCGAACTGCTCAAAAGAGCAAATGAAGCAAATCACCGGTCCAAAAAAGAAAATCAAGCTTGATGTATTTTTGGAGTCGGTCACCATCTCTTTAAGACTCCCAAATAACGTGGATGTGCTTATTGAGTTTGACCGTTCACGACTTCAAAACGTTTTTGTTTTGAAGAATGCGGATGTCAGAAACATTCGAATGTATGTTATTCACCCCAGCACTAAGCTATGGGCGAGAATAGTGGTAATCAAAGAAGCCAAATTTAGCATTGATGTGTCGAAAACGCTCCACGAAGCGGCATTTGAATTGCAAACGAAATCTATATTGTTCAATGTTCCAAACAGATTTGCCATTTACACGGTTATCGACAATACTATTTCTTTTGCCAAATCCATAAAGCAATTGCTGCATAATTTCAAGTACTTCAATTTTGGAGTTGACAAATTTGAGCGTGTATACCCAACAGCAAAGGATGCATTGGTGTTCCCGCATGTTAGGATCAAAACATCGGTATTGGGACTTTCGCTTGAAAATGACCCCTTTGAGAATGAATTGGCAATGATTTTCGAATTGGGTATGATTGAACAACGAGTAAGGTGTAGAAAATTGGAGGCATTTGAGGCAAAGTGCCAAGAGATCAGAGCCAATGCGCAGCCGGATATCGAGGATCAAGTTGAGCTTTCAGACGTACCCGGCCCGATGATGGGTAGTCGAAAGGGACTGTTTAGAAAGGGTACAAGCTGCCCGACGTCCAAACACAGCCCATTACGAAATGAGGCTAGTTATCATGATGAAACTTCTTCAAACGAGGTTAACTCAACTGGTACAAGAAAGAAGTTCATGGGAACGTTCCTGAGAAAAAGACGTAACAATGCACACCTAAAGAATCATATCGGCGACTCAGCAGATTCAGAATTTGAGGACGAGAGCAAACCTAAATTGACCAAGGAGCAAGCTGAGGAAGAAATCCGACAGGCAAGAGAGAGACTCGAGCACAATTTCTCACTTTCGTGGATGAGAAAGTTTAGATCTTTCAAAGATCTCCGTAACAAGGATTGGAAAGAGAGAAGGGAGGAGATCTGGGGAAAAGACGATCCAACAGATATCATGAAATCAAAGTACGACATTGTGGAGTATGCAGATGGTCCTAGCTTGACAACATCGTTATTCCAAGATGTGGATTTGACTCTAGACAGATTCAAAGGCGGAGATATTGATGAATTCTTGTACACTTACGAAAAGAAGCAACCAAAGGAAAAATATTCAATCTTGGTGCCTTTGTCGATTGACTTAAAGGCCAGAAATTTTCACATGTTTTTGAAAGACTATCCATTACCATTGGCGTCATTCCCAACGAATAGCAATCCTCAGATTCCAACTGTTCATATCAAGTCCAACTTGGTTGTGAATGAACATTTATACAAAAGAAAAGAAGAGCTTCGTTATATATTTGTTCCATTCTCGTGGGTTGTGTTTGACAACGGAGTTTCAGACAATTTCTATTCCGTTTATATCCCCAGGACTTTAACAACAGTCAAATTTGCTGCTGATTTCCAATGCGACTTGAATACTGATCGAGCTTGTATTGTGGGATGGTCCAAATCTTACCAGCCAGCATTGAGTACAATGGGCCAAGCGTTTGAAAACTTTTCCAAACCGGCGATTGATGATAGTCCAATTGGAATATGGGACAAGTTGCCATTAATCATGCATGGAAAGTACAAATTCAATATTGCAAATGAACTTTGCTTGCACATGAAGAGTGGAAGATCACCCTACAAGTTGGTTGGGTTGGATGCAGGGTTTGTTTTTAACTGGAAAAACAACGTCGACCTCACGATTGACGGAACCATAGACCCAAGGAGATTAGTTGTGATCACTAGTGATGACTTTATTTTTGCAGTCCCCAACTACTCCATGAATGAAAAGCATACTTGGAGTTTATATTATGATGGACGTGCAGACTTTGCACCAAGCAGTGATCCAGAAGGGAAGAAATATCACAAACGTGTCATTCGACTCAGCTCTAATGATAGAGTCGAATGGTGTTTAGGAATGATGTTTGAAAGAAACAAACACTTTTCCCACCGTCTTTCAGACCAAGAGGAAAGAACGTCAGAGTTTTTGCCGCATTATAAAGTCCAGATCACTAATCCGGCTAATGAGTACCATCCTGATTCTTACGATGGCTACAGAGCGGATTATGTGCATATGGCACTCTCGGTAATTTCGCGGTCCCGTAATGGTCAGGCTTTCAATGCAGCATTCTTGACTCCTTTGGCATTTCACCACTTTTTTTACTGGTGGGATACTGTTGCTCACTACTCACCTACTCCTGTGCGACTGGGGAAACTATTTTCCGATGGTAAAAAGAAGCCCAAGATTAAGTTGAGCCCTCATTTGTTTACGGTAAAGTATCAATTGGTATTCAATCCGGTGACCATTTCACACTTGTACATCCACTCGAGTAATGAAATGCAGGGAAAGAAGAATAGGGTGGCATTCACAGGATTAAAGGGCAAATTTGACATCTGTGAGATCGACCTCCACCAGAGGAAGCAATTGTTGACCTATGTGAACCAGAAGTTGAACAAGCGCACTCAAGTCAAGCACTTGAAAATGAATCAAGCAGAGATCAACGTTGAAAGAGCCGATGTCAGAATCTTGAATGCGTTGTTTCCAGATCAATCAGTCAGTGGCAAATTGTTGTCGTATTTGATGGGTGATGCTACTTCCGATTCTCTGAGCGGTCATCATCGTGGACCAGCGCACGCGTCCAAGTTTACAAGATGGATTGAGAGCGTCGATGTGCCAGACGGAGATTTATCATGGGTTGATCCGGAAGATTTTATTGAATTGGAGGTGAACGAGCCATTATCGCCTTATCCAAAGATAACGATACTACCTTTCTTTGCGACACCAAAGCTTAGTTATTTCCGTGAGTTCACTTTACATGAAGATGGTCCGTATCCTTTTGGGAATGAAAAAATACACAATTGTATAATGGACATGGAGAAGCCCAGTGGCGTGCAATCTCGCATCTTATCTGAAAGAGTAGAGACACTTAAAAATGAGCTCTTGAGGAAGCAACAACAATTTAGTCGTATGAAGTCCCAGTCTGAGTCCCTGAATGTTCAACATATGTCGGATGTGGAGACTGACATTCAATTGCTACAGGAGAAGATTGACGTTATCAATCAAGCCCACAAGAACTTCACGGAAGAGGATTTGAAAATGACCAACAACTTTGATGATCCTGATAATCTTACTGCGTTGCTGAAGCAACAGTCGGGCTTGTCTGCTTACTCGAGTCATAGAGATAGAGATGAACTTCTCGAGGCAGCAAACTTTGTATCGATCGCCGAGTTCCACAATAGGTTTATTGTACACAACTTGCAAATGAAATGGGATGATAATGTGCGTGTTTATTTCATAAACTATCTTGAGAGAATAAGCGATCGGAGGAACCATGTTTATTATATGACAAGGATGGCAATAGATCTTGTTAAAAATGTGATTAGCGAATCAGAAAGAATGGATGTGGAAGATTTGAATTTCAGCGACAGAACATTTACCAATTTCAGAGGAGGGATTGAAGCGATGGAAGGGTTTGCCGAAGCTTTGGATGTTTTACAAAACCCTGATGTTGAGGAAGCTGAGCACAAATACTTGATAAAGTTGATTCATCCACAAATTCAATTGACAAGTAGAAAGGCGCCAGATACCACTGTCATTGTCACCTCGAGAGACTTGGACATAAAGGTGGTTGATATCAATCAAAAAGATTTGGTAAATGTGTTAACAGACAGCTCGGAAGTGACAGCCAAAGTGGAGTCTAGAATTGGGGTTATGTTTAGAGATGAGCAAATATTTGTTGTGACAAAGGATGATGTTGCGCATTTGGGTGCAAAGTCAAAGTTTGCAAAAGGGGGATACATGAATTCAACATCACTGTGGCCCCCTTGGTTCGAATGTGAGGTTTGCTACAAGGGAACGTGGGCTCAAGAGTTTCTTGTTGCTGAAAGAAATACGGTTGCTCTTGTTTACAAATCGCCAAATAATTTGTTCCTCAATGCAAAGAATTTGGAACGACATAATGAGGTGGTTGTGTTTATCAACAAGTTTGTGGTTAATGCTACGTCCACCCAATATTCCAGCATTTATTATGTCATCACTGAACTATTACTTTCGGGTGAGACAAAGGATAGTCTTCAGTCGAGGTTGGCAAAAGTCGTGGCCATCTCCGATGCGTCGGATTTCAAAGGTTTGGATGTAAAAGTGAAAGACTTGCAAACAACGATTAGGGAACTCAAAGATTTGGTTCTAACATTCCATCAAAGGGGGACCACCACATTGACTGAAACAGAGCTGAAATATTTGCAAATCTTGGAGTTGGAAATGGAGAAACTGAAGTTGGAACTACTTTTGATTATGAAACTTCTAGGCACAAGAAATAAATCTAAATCTAAAGAGACGACAAAGTTTTGGCACATTCTCACAGATCAAGTTATTTGGCATTTCCTCACTGATGACAGAAAGCCGTTTGTTGATATCGCATGTACCGGAATAGTATTTTCGCGTGTTGAATCTATTGAAGGAGCTAATCACAATGATTTTGAGATCAAGATGTTGCAAGGGTTCAATTTGCAAGAGAATAGCCAATTCCCAGTCTTGCTTTCTCCATTACTTCCAAAAGGTGAAACCACATTTGACGACCATGGAAGACCAATTGTGAAAATGACTTGGGATCTACTGGCATTAGTAGGTGGCATACCCATTATTAAGCATGCGAAATTAGATGTACTTCCTTTGCGATTTGAGCTTGACTACCCAACAGCAAAAATGCTCCAATCTTATTTGTTCCCAAAGGATGACGATGAAGATGATGACGATAGTGAGGATACAGATGACGAGAGTATGTACTCGTCCTCCGAGGAAACTTTTGAAGATGCAGCTTCTGCAAGGTCTTCTTTGATGAGCAACAATGAAACCTCAAAGAGTTCGTGGAGAAGGTTATTATCAAGACGCAAGCCATTGGGTTCGAAAACGAGTTCAGATAATTTTGGAGGAAGCTCATCGAATGGAACTTCAAGTCCGTCCAGCTCTGCCCAGGAATCACGTGACTCACACTTTTCCAGTTCTCCAGGCTCCCACATTGGTCGTTTCCAAGATAAGACAGCAACAAAGGTTACAAAATTGGGTAGAGGTCAACGTCGACTGCAAGCTGTAAACAACAACGATGTTTTGGATGATGAGATCAATACTTTGATTTCTCGGTCATTGAAATACAAGTCAATAGTTGATGTTGAGATTTCGAATTTTGATTTCATGGTTAGTTTTCTGGGCCCGAAAACTTTGCACTTGTTGAATGTGAATCAATTGATTTTGTCTGTACCGGCTTTGAAATACCAGTACAAGATCTGGTCAGCAGAGGACTTTATGAACAAGTTGAAGAAGGACATTATAAAGGTTATCTTGCTGCATAGTGGTAAGATATTGGGCAACAAGTTCCAGCACAAGAAAAAACTTACGTCTTCGAAACCATTGAAACAGATTGGCAACTATGACGGCTTTCTCACTTTAGAGGAATTGCAGAACCAGAGTGAGCAAACCGATCGTGCAGATGCAGATCTTTCACCACAAGTTTCGCGAGCACATTATCATAATCACAACCGAAACAGACAACATATTGTCAGACATGGTGAGGCGGATGACGAAACATTCAAGACATACTTGGATGGAGGAGAAGCAGAGAGGGTGTTTACTAATCCAAGAGAGGACAAGGTTGCAGGAGATGTGGATGCACCATAGCGGAGTTATACAGTTGAGTTATGTAGTGTATGTGTACGCATTGCCATTAGAGTATACAAGCTATTTATAGCATCCTCTCGTGGTGGTGTCTGAGTTAAAATTCCGAAATCTCCTAGAAATAAATTTTGACAAGGGAAAAACAAGAAGAAGATATCTAAAGAAAACAAAAAAACAAAAAAAACAAAAAGAACAAAAATAAAACCCGCTCTAAGTTAAACTTCGTAAACAAGGGAGAGAGAGTAGTATTCACAATCATTGGCGGTTAAAAGCAAAAGGATCAAACCCATTTACAACAGAAGACCAAACAGAGAGGATCAATACAATTAATCCCTACTACATTTGCTTTGTACCTCAACTACTTAAAGGCGTTCCCCACTTCTAGCCTTGGGCCGTGAGATTTGATGTCACAATGGCTTTCTTTGCAAATTTAAAGGACAGGGCCATCAACACTTTCAATGAGGTGATTTTGGATAGAAAAGTTGGAGGCGACGGATTAACAGCGGAGCAGAAGTTTTGTCAAAAGTTCAAACTTCCAGAGGAGGAGAGGATTGTTCAGGAGTCCAATGTTGTACTTGTGTATAGCTCCGATCATTCCGATACTAGAACCAAGAAGCATGGACAACGCAGATACAACAGTTTTGAAGAGGATGAATATGAAGCACATTTCCAAGGTAGGTTGTATCTCACTCAACATTTTTTAATCTTCAAGGATAGTCACGATTATCGCGATTGCTCGTTCACTTTGCAACTATCAACCATTAAAAAGGTTGAAAGAGAGATGGCATCGTTTGACTTCAACTTAACACTAGCATTGACAACCATTAGCAAGTTGCATATCAAACTATACTTTAGTGGTGGAATACGGTCCGATAACGAGAGATTTGCTCAGAGCTTATCCATGGTCTTGAAAAAGAACCAGTCAAATATCAAAAAGCTCAAGCCTTTTATTCAAACTTGCTACTCAGAGTACCTTCTTTCAAAGAACAACGTGTCGAATGAAGTTGTCGAGAATACCCCACCAGGTGGATTGGGCTTGGCATTCAAGTTTCCCGGGAATGCGAAGGAATCCAAAGACAAGTTCAAGGTTAAATTGTGGTTTGATTTTTTTAAGGAAAATGGTCGAAATCTATCTTTAGTGAAAACTCCAATGTTTTACAAATTGATTAGAGTTGGATTGCCCAATAGATTGAGAGGTGAAATTTGGGAATTGTGTTGCGGCTCCATGTATTTGAGGTTAGATCACCAGGGCGAGTATGACAAATTGTTGCTGGATAACAAGGGCAAAATGTCTGTTGCTATTGAAGAAATTGAAAAGGATTTAAACAGATCGCTTCCTGAATATGCCGCCTACCAGAGTCCAGGGGGTATAGAGAGCTTGAGAAAGGTGTTGACAGCCTTTTCGTGGAGAAACCCAGAAGTTGGTTACTGTCAAGCAATGAATATTGTTGTTGCTGCCCTTTTGATTTACATGTCTGAAGAGCAGGCGTTCTGGTCACTTAATGTGTTGTGTGATAGAATCGTTCCTGGCTACTACTCCAAAACAATGTACGGCACATTGCTTGATCAGAGAGTATTTGAATCGTTGGTGCAGACCACCATGCCAGTACTTTGGGAACACATTTGCAAGAATGACATCCAGCTATCAGTGGTTTCATTACCATGGTTTTTGTCGCTATACTTATCATCGATGCCTTTGGTGTATGCGTTTAGAATATTGGACATTTTCTTTATGCAGGGCCCGAAAGTCTTGTTTCAAGTAGCGCTAGGTATATTGAAAGCCAACGGCGACGAGTTGTTAAAATCGGAAGACGATGGAACATTTATTTCAGTGATTAAGGAATACTTTCTTAATTTGGACACCTCTGCATTTCCAAATTCACCACAATTGAAATTCAGAAATACTACAAAGTTTCAAGAATTACTTGGCATTTCGTTTAAAGAGTTTGCCAATATTGATGATGAAACAATTAAGCAGCACAGAAGCAAACACAGAGATACTATTTTTCAAAACATTTCCACATTTGTCAAACGTACTGAGATCAGGCACTTGCCAAAAACTCCAAACATTTCACAGAGCACTCTTGATATCCTCTACGATCGGTTTTACTCCCAAGTGGAGGTATCGAATATTACCAAAGGTTCAGGCTCAAGCACAGTAGATTTCAAATCTTTTGTGAAATTTTTGTCTGAAGTGTGTGACTGGGTTCGTTTTGAGAAAGGCGAAGTAGAAGCACTTCCTGGGGACCATTTCTTGAAAAGATTGTTTAAAAGTTGGGATTCTGAGAATCAGGGTACATTGTCATTTGCTGACTTATTGGTGGGATTAAATTTGTTGGTTGAGGCAGATCTTATGACGGCAATGTCCAATTTCTTCAAACTTTATGACGTCAAACACAATAACAAGATTGACAGAGAAGGAATTTTGAGAATCTCTGAGGATCTTTTGTACATCACAACACCTTGGAAAGAGGGGCATTTGCTAGACGAAATCACTCGTACGGCAGTTGAAAATGAGGTTGCCGATGCAGTCTTGAAAAAACAAACTGCCTCAAAGGATGGTGATGCCCATGAAAATGAAAATACTGAGATTGACCTACCAGCTCATATAGAAGTGAACAAAGAAAAGCTCGCTGCAGAACAGACTGAAAGGTACTTGCAGGCTGCAAGCAACTTTATCAATCGTGCCTTTGAATATGCTCAGCCTGAGGAGGACGAGTTGCTTATCAAAGATCTTGCCATTGACGAAAAACTCAAACACAATGTGGCATTGGATCCATCACATCCAGTGTACCTCAACTTGGCCACGTTCAGAATGGTCATTTTGGCAGACGAGACTTATGAACTACTCTTTAGCTCTACTTTGAGAGATTCGATTCACTTGGATAGACCGTTAGATACTGCGTTTGACCCAATGAGAAATATTCGAGATATGTTTGATGGCTTATTGGCTGATGGTAAAAAAGTGGCGAACAAGGTAAGAATGAGAATGGATTCACGGGCCTCCCAGCAAAGCCACGATGGGTCAAGCTCGTCATCGCTTCGATCGAGTAGGACTAAAGCTGCCTCAACAATGGCCACTTCTCGTGAAGGAGAAGAAGAAGACGAGGAAAGAGACGATGATTTTGGTGCCATATCGATTGACGAAAAAGACAAAGATATGCTTTTAGCTACTGAAGCCCAATCGTTGGGGGACACAGCTCAAAGGCGCCCAGATATCAAAGAGCAATTGAAGAAATTGCACGAGATGGACAGTGAGTCAAAAGAGAAATTAGCCGATGGAGCCCTTGCTGATAAAGGCAAAGAGAACTTGATAGAGTTTGAGAGTTGAAGAAAAAAAATAAAAATAAAAATATAGGTGATGTGTGTTTAGCTTTGTCCTGCTGGACTAATCAATAAATATTAATTCTTCGATTGGAACAATTTTCTCAATTTTCCACCAAACTTCTTCTTTTCCTTTGGTGGTGGTGGTGGCGGTGCTTGGGCATCTTTGTCGGCCCTCATTGTAGAGAATCCACTTTGAGTTTGCGTTGACGATTGAGCAGCAGGAGCCGCGACTTTTGGAAGATGTTCGTCTGAGTCATTGAACCTTGATTTGAACCCTGTGGTGTTACCACTTGCACCGTTTTTCAAAGGCAAATCATCATCAGAATCTGCAAACCTCGAGGCAAAGCTACTGGGTGCTGCTCCACCAACATTGGCCCTTTGAGTAATTGCCTGTTGTTGGTTTTCATTGTTCTGAGCCACTAATGGACCAGATGCGTTTCTCAAAGTTGTTCTTGGTTGAGGCTTCGATTGAGTACCAGTGTTGTGGTCACGACTTGGACTTCTAGGTGGGACGTCATCACTCAATTCCTTCGTAAAAGACGATTGTTTCTTCAAGGGTCTAAATTCGGATCGTGGTCTCGATTGCGCTTTTGCGTAAAGGTCCGCAGCCTTTACCTTTGCAGGTGATACATATCCCTTCTGTAAAGCTGGATGGGGCGCAATTGGTTGCACATAAGTGCTGTTTCTCAAACTTCTGTTACTCATACTTTGGGGTAGGTTGTGTTGCGGTGGATGCATTTGCTGATGCTGCTGATACTGTTGTTGATGCTGCTGCTGATATTGTGTACCATGACCAGCCATGGATTGAGGTCTCATTGTAGATCTAAATTGCGAGTGCTGCTGGGGCGGTGGCTGTTGTTTCCGCAAAGTTTGTTGACTTAACCTCTTGGCAGGCGTTTTCTGCAATTGAGGGGAAGTTGCAAATTGGGGATATGCACCACCATTACTAGCTCCCAAATAAGCCAAATCGTTGCTATGAACATTCACTTGTGGTCTTGCGCTGGGGAAGGCTTGGTTTGGTAACTCAGAATTTGACAACTTCGAGTTCAATCTTGTGTTCTCGGCAGTTGTCAATGATAAATAGGCTTGCTTTGCAGCATTACTGTTTGCGTGTGCCGGTGAAGGACCCTGCTTGGCAGGAAGTTGTGAGTATGAGCTCGAGGATTTCATAGCCGACTTCATTGGTTTCTTGGCCAAATCATTTGAGTAAACAGATGATTTTGAGCTCAGAACTGTTGCAACTGTTGGAGGCAACAAAGTATCAGCGCTTTCAACTTTGCTGTTTATTGTGCCTGCATTAGGGTCATCGTCTGTATGCGGTTCGATAACTTCTGATGATACTTTGCCATCTCCTGCCACTCTGGTGCTAGTTTCGACAGCATTAGATCCATCATTCAATGCGGGTATTTCATCAACCAATTCGGACGAATTCATGCCGTATTGAGCAATCACTCTCATTTCAGAATCAGCATCCAATCTATCTGTATCGTCTGGTTTCCATGTCCTTGCTTTGTTGACTTCTTCACCTTCATCGTCGTAATCGCTGACCACTTCAATGTCACTAGCAAAGTTTTGCAGATGTGGCCTTGCAGTAGAGCCTTCATCATCGTCTGCGTTATCCACAATAACTGCAACCCTGATATTTCCCTCATCTTCAGGCAGAAATTCCGAGTCAGCAATATCTGCAGCATGATCGATGTTTCCTTCGCTTTGGGGTGGTTTTGGAACATTGTACACTACCGAATCATTTAAAGAGCTGGTACTAGCAGCGTTATTTTCGCTCAATATTGGTTGGTCTATTTCTTGCTCCAGTAATTCCGGTTCTGTTTGCTCCAAATTCTTCAACTTTTCTTCCTCACCCTCCTTATCATGCTCAAGTTCCTTTTTGTCTAATTCATCCACAGCTTTTGTTTTCTCAATTATAGGAATGTACTCGTCGTCATTAGCATATGACGACTCCTTTTTGTTCTCTATAGTGTTTTTTTCTATGGACGAGTCGTCAAGTTCCTTCTCTTTACGCTCATTTGCCAAGTTTTGCTCCCTCAATCGTTGATACTCCAATCTCTTTTCTTCAAGCTGCTTTGCCAATTGTTTCTCACGTTCAATTTCCGCTTCCAACGCCTTCAACTTGGCCTCTTGCGCCTGTGCAGTGTCAATCCTACCCAAGGAGTCTTCCAAGTTTATGTCTTCGTTCATTGATTGCATCTTCACTGGACTGCTGACATTTCTTATCAGTTGCACAGGCTTTTGCTGCAGCTTGATGTTCAACGAACTTGTTCTCGATGCAGGTTTCTTGTTTGCACTATTTCTCAAAGAGCCCGATCTCGACGATATAGGATTCAATCGCATTGAGTTGCTTCTGGCAACTTCCTTTTGAAATGTTGATTCAGGAACTTCTATCACCTTTATACCGGTTGGACTTGGTACGTATTTCTTAACCATCCGGACTGGAGCAGGTGGCACTGCACTTGCTTGAAAACCATGCCCTTGCAGGTGAGCAGTAGGTAAACGAAGATCTTGCATATTTGCCTTGTTGTTCAAATACACCTGCGTTGACTCTTCTGTAATCTCGTCTAGATATGAATCGTTGAAACTGTCGTCAACGTCGTAAACTTCAGGATGGTGTGAATTGTAGTAAGCAGCAGCCTGGCTAGTTGCACCTCTATTAATGGATCCTTGAGAAGAAAAGGAGCCATTGGAGAGGCGTCTCTGAGCAGGAGCTTGTGGCTGTTGTGGTTGAAAGCTGGATCTAGATCCCCTCTTCAATAGACTTCCATTTGAAGTGCTCAACGATGGCGTTCTTTGTTGAGTTTGTGGTTGTTGATACTGAAATGATTGTGACCGAGGAATACTTTGGCTTTGATTACCTTGTTTCATAGCATTTCCGATTGTCAAAGCAGCTGCCAATGCTCCAGCATGCGGCTTGTTTGGATTGTTTGTATTGGGATTCACGCCCGTGTAGGCTGTGCCACGAGGGTTTCTTGAGCTTCTATTTCTTGAAAACATAACACATACAAACCCAATTGATAGTCCGTGAAGGGAGTCAATGTTTGACTTTGTTATAGTTTGTTCAGTTTTACGTTAAAGCTGAGGAGTAGAAGGGGGGGCACGATGAAAGAAATCGGATTGCAGTAGTTAATAAATTTGATATCGAGTACTTTTGAGGATGCGATCCGCCCCCCTCCAAAGATTTTGATGTTCTCTCTTCTCTCTGTTGGTAACTGAACTGAAATTGCTTTTTGTGCCATACTACACGACAATGTGCATTGAGCAAGCGTTGACCCTTTCAATTTTGACAATTCAAGAGTAGTCGGTAATGGACACCTTGTATACAGAAAGATAGAGGCTCTTGCAAGAGAGAGCTGAAGTTCTTATCTAGCGAATAGTACGCCTTGTATTCTTATCGTACTCTATAGACCTCTTTCCCCTCATTTCCTCAGATACCGCGTGAGGGTGGGTACCTCCTTGGCGACGTTGTTAGTCTATTTAACCCCAAGAGGTTCGAGACCCATGTACCGGCATGCTGACCGTTCTTCACAAGCAATGCCAAAATTGGACGGACCGATATTAGAAATCCAGTTATAAAAAACCCTTGTAATAGCGGTAGCACAATTTGATCTTTAACAATGGCAAATATCACTATTCTAGGTGTAATTGGTTTCAATGGTTCAGGGTCTTCCAAATATTCTTCTTCTTCTTTGTCCACGTTTTCATTAAGAAGTTCGAGTTCACCATCGGTCAATTTTGGTAAAGGATTGTAATTTTTGGGGTTCAATGCAGAATGTCTTCCGTCTAGCTCTTTATTTCCAGCATATGCATTGAGTTGCCGCATAAACGACTGTTCAAATCTTAGATCAGGTATAGTGTACGACATGCTTGAACGCAGGAGGTGGTGTGAATACTAGGTCAGTGTTGTTGGTTGGCAAAACTGATGATGCTTTCGCTTGAGCCAAACAGAGCAGTGTTTGCGTGTGCAAGTGGCGCCAAAAGTTTATAAAAAAAAATACAAAAAAAAATATAAAATAATAAAAAGAACAAAAAAAAAAATTTACAAACCAAGAGCCACTCTATCACTGAGATCTATCTATACAAACTTCATCAACTACATAAGCTTGCAACATCATGGACAGAGACCAAGGACCATCAATCACAATACGAGATCAAGAGGAGAATCGGGTTGACTTTGTTTTGGGAAATGTTGATTTATCCGTGGCAAATGCTCTCAGAAGAACGATGCTCGCTGAAATTCCTACATTGGCCATTGACTTGGTGGAAATCGACATTAACACTTCAGTTCTTGCCGATGAATTTTTGGCTCATAGACTAGGACTTATACCTCTTATCAGTGAGGGTATAGAGAATTTGAAATACTCCAGGGATTGTACTTGCGACAACTATTGTTCTAGATGCGCAGTTACATATGAGTTGACGGCAAAGTGTGACACTGACTCAACCATGACTGTTTACGCAAAAGATCTTTTCAAAATTCCAAATGGTCTGGATTTGGGAAAGGTTGTTACAAAGAATGAGCTTGACAAAGGATCTATAATTTGCAAGTTGAGGAAACACCAACAATTGCACATAACGTGTATTGCCAAGAAGGGGATAGCCAAGGAACACGCCAAGTGGTCTCCCTGTGCTGCCATAGGGTTTGAATACGATCCATGGAATAAGCTAAAACATACAGATTACTGGTACGAAGTTGATGCTAATGAGGAGTGGCCCAAATCGAAAAATTGTGATTGGGAAGAACAGCCTGATCCCGAAGAAAAATTTGACTACAAAGCAAAACCAAACGACTTTTATTTTGATGTTGAAACAGTGGGGAATTTACCTCCCAATGAGGTTGTTGTTCAGGGTATTAATACCTTGCAAACAAAATTGGCATCGATTGTTATAGAGTTGGACAAGGGAAGAGTGGAGGCAAGCAATGTTGAAGATGGTGGTTTCACCACGTATGGTAGAACCGATTACGGTCACGGTGGAGAGACGCCAATGATTGGCGGTGCCACGCCGTACGGTGGTGGAGACAGCACTTTTGGAAACAATGGGTACGGTGGAGGTGCATGGAATTGAATATGTGTATAGAAGTGAGTTTTTTGTATGTATACAGTACTAACAATTTTCTTGATTCCATTTAATCAAATCGTCAAACTTGACAAGTTCTCCTCCGAATATATCAAGAGCACTACCGAATGTCAAGTCAACCTTCCCATGACTCAATTCTTCAACTAGTTGAAGGTCTTGAAGTGATTTGGCTCCTCCAGCGTAGACTATTTTGCCGTCAAAGTCGGAAGGACACCACTCGCCCAAACGTGAAACCAACTTTTCGTCAATACCTTTACACAAACCCTCAATGTCTGCCGCATGGATCAACAATTCGTCGCAGTACTGACTCACTTTCAACAAAAACTCTCTGCCTAATTTGTTTCCAGTTATGGTTTGCCATTTGTTCATTGCAACAAACCAGTCAATTTCCCCAGTTTCATTGATAACTGTTCTGCAACTCAAGTCCACTATCAAACGTTGCTTGCCCACTTTTTCACTAATGCTCCTTAACTTTTCAAAATCGAGCTCCATCTTATTCGTGTCGTTGTTTTGAGAAAAGAGCCAACTCGTGATTATGACGTGCGACGCACCTTTATCGAGCCATTCCTGTGCATTCTCCAAATTGATACCGCCTCCCACTTGTAAATTGTTTGGCCATGTCTTGCATGCCAATTCAGCGGCCTTGTCATTTTCCGGATTCAGGCCTAGTTTTATAACATGACACCCGTGGAGGTTGTTATTGGCGTACAATTCAGCATAATATGATGATGGTTTGGTCAGTACGAAATTCTCCGTGGTTTTATCTGCTTGTGATGAGGATTTGGCATCATCCTGCGTTAGCGTTCCACCAACAATCTGTTTTACTTGTCCCGAGTGGATATCTATACAGCCTCTAAATTTCGTCATTTGAGTGGTTGACGTTTATTTGTGGAAGGTGTTGATCTTTTTGCAATATTTTATGTGAAACTCTTTTCTTACTTTTTTTTTTTTTTTTCTTCGAGAAGATCATCTAACTGCAGACACTTTCTTTCATTATGAGCCAAGACGAAGATGCTGCATATCTAAAGGCTTTAGAAATACAGAGACGGAACTTCGAAGCCCAGTTTGGATCCATTGGTGATCTTGGATTCGATGATAAGTTAGACAAAGTGGAATCGGAAGCTACCTCCTCTTCGGATGAATCTTTAGATGACAAAGAGACAAACTTTGACGGCTTTAGCAGTGGAAGTGAAGACGACAGCTCATCGTTGGACTCAGAAGAAGAAAAAGAAGAAGAAGAAGAGGCGCTCGCAGAGGAGGAGGCGGGGCTGCCGCCAAAACCCAAGGTTGTCAAATTAAACACGACCACATCAGAACTCCCCCATGCGGTCCCTTCCAAGACCGAACGAAAGCTACTCAAATCGGGACGAGCAGCAACCCTTTCCGAGCTTGAAACAATCAACAAACGGGCCTCAAAACAGACTCTTAAACAAGCAAACAAACTAGCCAAGGAAGAGTCAGACAACCTTGAAAACGATTTGAAGTTGCAGCGATTATTAAAAGAATCCCACATCTTGGCAAACAACGTCGACCCACAATTCAGCGGTGCTGACCTAACTTTGAAAACTATAGACTTTGAAGATCCCACAGGCAAGTCGCGAAGGAGGATACTATCGTCACGAATGCTGGAATTGGCTTCTATCAACAAGACAAAAGATCGCAAATTGGAATCGATGCCGATGAATATGCGAAAGGGCATGATTGCTAAACGGGATGCTAGAGTGGCCAAGTATGAACAAGAAGCAAGAGAAGCGGGGATTGTGCTATCTAAGTTGAAAAAGGGACAAGTTCGAGACTTGAATGCAGGCCGTGGGTCAACATCATCTAGCGAGCGGTTGGGTTCTGGCAAATCCCTTGGTAACAAAGTGATGAAGCGTGAACGAGGATTGAAAATTAATGGTGTTGGGAAATCAACTAGGAATGGATTGGTTATATCTCAAAGCGATATCGATCGTATTAATAACCAAGGCAAAAGACGTGGCAAGAAGAGATGAAGTAGGTACCGATATTTATGGAGGAGTAGAAATTCTATAATACTACGTTACATTTATACCCCTATAATTTCCAAGTTATCGTTGGACTCATTACCCTCTATAGTCAACCCATGCTCATTTGCCAAATGTAAAACACAAATAAAGCAAAAACTAGTTGAAAGTTCCTTGACTTGCTCTGGGGTGTACATGGTTTTAACTTTTTTAATAACTTGGTTGAATTTGATTCTTCGAAGTTGCTGATCTCCGTCGTCCAGTTTATCATTATCAGTGGCATTGGACCCGGAAGCTACGCCGTCAAGTATAGCTTTCCAGATATTATCTTTCAAAAGCTTGATATCAACTCTTTTCGCAACTCGTGAGAAATTGACAAATTCTGTTCTTCGTTTACCAATGACACCCTCAGCAGTTGCTGGTTGAGAATTGAATTGGGATTCCCGAGTTGGACTCAATGCATGGGGTTCCTGTTGTCGGCCAACTCCACCATTATCAGGAGGTACATCTTCAAGAGCATCGTTGAAATCGATGCCATCGTAATCGTTGTCAAAATCTTCGTATTCTGCCTGGTGGAATGAGTGTGCCAATCGTTCTCTATCATCGGCTGTTTCTTGTTGTTCCTGTAATTCTCTTGCTTGATATTGTTCAGCAAAGAAATTCGAGTCGGTTAACTTGCTCTGATCTTTGGTGTCATACGCTGCTATTGGGGCCCTGGGGAAATACATTATTGGTGTATTTGGTTTTTGAATTAGACTGACTAGTCTCGAAGAGGTAAACCTGATATCATCCGGTAAAAGATTCTGTTCCTTAATTTCCTCAAAGGTGTCAGCGTCATATACTTCATAGATGTTGACTGATTTCAAGTTAATGAAATTGGGGTCCTTGTGCAGTTTGAATAGTAGATCTTCATCTGCATTCTCCGTGCTAAAGAAATCAATAGTGGAGAAATCCTTCTTCTTTTTAGGAGCCGTGATATCCGGTTTTTTCTCCTTGGCAAATTGGTCAATGTTGTTGGCTTTCTTGAAAGCAGACACTTTCCAATGTTCAGGTCCCGCCCAACTAATCTTTAATTTTTCATCAAAATAATTCATCAAGTCTTCATCCAACAATGCCGTATTAGTTTTAGCTGGAGTGTACTTGTCGGACGTCTCTTCGAATAATTTTTGCATAACACTTTCATTAACATGGTTGAGTAAATCGTTGTCATTGGACTGAAGATCCAGACCATCTTGATCACCAAAATCGTCAAATTGGAAATCGTTATCCATGTCAAATTCATTTTGTTCCATCTCAATATCTTGAACGTCATTCATTCGTGTGTTGAAATCGTTAAGTATGCTTTTGGCTTTATGCAAGTCATCCACGGCCGATTTGAACTCATTTAGAGAGGGACAAATTGTTTTTTCTTCGATTGGTAAATGATCATCAAACAAAATCTGCCCTAGATCCGATATGTCAACTTCTGCATCATCAACATCATCATCAACATCATCTGCATCATCATCTGCATCATGCCCGTCATGAACCGTGATGCCTTGTGAAGCCTGCAGTTCTTGAGCACTTCCGGTGGAAGTCGCATCAAAGACGACTCTACCCGATGCGTCTATACTCAATGTATTTAGCAATAGGCTTTTAGCACCTCCTTCGTCAAACTCAGCAAGTGCCTTCTTAAACAATGGATCTATTGCCAACTCTTGATCCAATTTCTTTATCCGTATGGTGTCAAAGTCGACGAGAGTCGATTCAACAACTTTGTTCACTTTACGCCTCTTTTTAGCGCCATCTTCATTGTCATCCTCGTTATCTGACGCTACTCGTTCGCCATCTATCACTTCGCCATCACCATCTAGATCATCGCCATTGGCACCAATACCACTGCCAGCTGAGTTACCATTTCTTGCCTTTTCGTTCTGCTTTGAAGCTAAACCACTCAACAATTTCCCAGTTTCCGTAGCGGCAGAATCTATTCTATTTGAATAAATCTTAATACACCCATCCAACGTTGCTGAAGCACGTTGGAAATTGATATGGTCACCATCTTTAATGACATTCAAATCGTGGAAATAATCAATCAAGGCAAATTGCCATGAGTTTTTGATATTGATCTTGTTATCCGTCGACATTTTGATCCATTCTTCGAAATTTGACAAGATTTGGTGCTTGTTTTCATTAAACCCAATACCAACTTCTTCAAATGATTCATTGCTCAAGTCGTCTTGAGCTAGACTGCGACTCACATGTCTCGTGTGGGAGACAACTCTATTCAGTATCACCCTCCTACCCGACGCGCTGCCAATAATCTGGTTGTTATTGCTAGATACGACACGGTTAGATTGGGGCGTTAGTCGAGAGGCATTGTGGTGATGGTGTGCATGATTTGAGGACAAGTTGCGGTGACTATTGATTCTGTGGTCTCCTTTAGATCGTTTCTTAGGTAGCACTTGAGCAGACATCTGTGTAGTGGGTGGTGTATGGAAAATCCGCAATGTAAGTAAGTATATGATGGTTAAGAGTGTATTTGTTTACACTTTTTTTTATTTTTTGTCTTTTTTTGGCTCTTTGTTGATCTAGAAGGGGTGGAGTGTCGCACTAAAAAAGATAGAAAAAAAATCAGTGTCGCGTATGTATGAGATGCGACAGTAGATTACACACTCTATTGTGTAGATTCAACAATGGTTGACCAATCACAGAGGTGTGTAAGAGCACGCATATTTGTTGCAGGTAGTACACCATCTGTAAAGGATATGGGGTTTGCAAAGGTCGTTCACAGGCAACAGCCTCTTTATTTAGTATGTTTGTATGTGAATATTTGCCATTGATGTGTATATGGTAGCGTAGTTCTAGTATATTCTCTTTCGCGGAAGAAGAAGAAAAAAAAAACGGTGATGAAAATTATTGAGAGTGAGAAAGAGGTGTCATTATTGGACCACTGATTTAATCATCATCTTGCCTTTTTACAACTAAACCCAATAGCTACACACACACACACACACACATATACACACATACACACACACACACATATACACATCTACATGAACAACTTATTACGAATAGTACCCTTGGCTCAGGGACTCGCTAAATCAACAACCCACAGCCGAACTATATCTAGATGTATGTCTACATATCTTGCCACCACAGCACGCCACAAATTACATCAACACCAGCCCATTTTGACAACGGCAAGTCCAACCATCACTTCCTCTAGATCTGTATCCAACTCAACGATATCTCTTTTGCAATCACAGGAACAGCATGCGAACAATGACTTGAACAATGCTGGTGCTCAGTATGAGTTTTACAAATCCCTCTTGGCTAATAACTACCCCCATATTGTCGTTCAAAGGTATGAGACACCTGGTATCGCTGCATCACCCGAGTGCACTCAGTTGTATATAGACGCTTTGAACAAGATTGGTAAAAAGGGAAGAGCAGATCAAGTGGCAAACGCTTTACATCAGAATAGCTTGCACGGTAATTTAGCTGCTGCCGGTATCGGTGCAGGTGCAGGTGCAGGTGCAGGTGCAGGTTCCCCTATTGGCAGTGGTGGCTTGCCTCACGGCTTTGGTTCTAGACACGAACCAGTACACGTTGTTGTTAGTGAATCTTTGTTGACGATTTTATCGAAATGGCTCAAATGGTTGATTCCAATCGCTTTGATCACGTATGGTGCCACCAATGCATTCAACTACCTTGTTGAGAATGGAACTATTTTCAAGAATGCAGAAGTCAATGACAAATCAGTTGATGTTAGTCAGAGCACAGTTAAATTCTCCGATGTACAGGGTTGCGATGAAGCAAGAGCCGAATTGGAAGAAATTGTCGATTTCTTAAAGGATCCTTCAAAGTTCACTGGATTGGGGGGTAAATTACCCAAAGGTGTGTTGTTGACTGGTCCTCCAGGTACGGGTAAAACATTGTTGGCAAGAGCAACTGCTGGTGAAGCTGGTGTGCCCTTTTTCTTTATGTCAGGTTCTGAGTTTGATGAGTTGTATGTTGGTGTTGGTGCCAAGAGAATTCGAGAATTATTTGGACAAGCTAGAGACAAATCCCCTGCAATCATATTTATTGATGAGTTGGATGCTATTGGAGGTAAAAGAAACCCCAAAGACCAAGCTTATGCAAAGCAAACATTGAATCAATTGTTGGTCGAATTGGATGGTTTTAGCCAAACCGAAGGGATCATTATTATTGGTGCCACCAATTTTCCTGAATCATTGGATAAGGCATTAACTAGACCAGGAAGATTTGATAAGGAGGTCATTGTTGATTTGCCAGATGTTAGAGGTCGCGTTGATATCTTGAAACATCACATGCGTAATGTTGAAACAGCTGATAATGTTGATCCTTCCATCATTGCCAGAGGAACTCCGGGACTCAGTGGTGCTGATCTTATGAATTTGGTAAACCAGGCGGCTGTCCATGCATCTCAATTATCTGCGCCTGCGGTGGACATGTCACACTTTGAATGGGCTAAGGATAAGATTCTTATGGGTGCTGCCAAGAAGAAGATGGTTATCACTGAAGAGTCTAGAACCAATACTGCTTATCATGAAGCAGGACATGCCATCATGGCTATGTTTTCTGCTGGTGCTACTCCGTTGTACAAGGCCACAATTTTACCTAGAGGAAGAGCATTGGGTATCACTTTCCAATTACCCGAGATGGATAAAGTTGACATGAGCAAAAAAGAATGCTTTGCTAGATTGGATGTTTGTATGGGTGGAAAAATTGCTGAAGAGATGATTAATGGTAAAGAAAATGTCACGTCTGGTTGTTCATCCGATTTGAGTAATGCCACTGGTGTAGCAAGAGCCATGGTTTTGTCGTATGGTATGAGTGACAAGATTGGTCCTGTGAAGTTGAGTGATGATTGGGAGAGTTGGTCACCGGAGATCAAGAATTTGGCCGATAATGAAGTGCGTGATTACCTTTTGAAGTCTGAAGAGAGAACTCGTAAATTGTTGCAGGATAAGAAATTGGAATTACAGCGCTTGGCGGAGGGGTTATTGGAGTATGAAACCTTGACCAAGGATGAAATGGATAAGATTGTACGCGGCGAAGCTATCAATAAGGAGAAAACTGTTAGCAATACCGTGATAAAGGGTCCATCTTCAAGTACCGATAAGATTAGAGATGGATTGAGCTTTAAGGTGAAGTAAAAGAATGTGTATAGAGAAAAAAACAAAAATAGCGTTATGTCATGTGAATGTCACGTGAATGTCACGTGAAATTCAATGAGCAAATTTTGACTTTTGTGAAATGCTTAACCAGCAAGGTTCCCAAAAAGGGGATACAGGAATGTGCTCAACCGGTTTACAATGGTGCGAGTATAAATATCTCCAAGAATTGCCCATTTTTCATCTTTCTGAACGGATCACTTTTGTTGTTCTTTTATTGCAATGCAAGTATTGTGGAGTATGACAACTTAACAAAGTTAATAGAGGGTCCATGATTACTATGCGAGTACATTGAACAAGCCGGAACGGCCGGATACCAATGTCAATCACTAGGCATTAGATCCTTTATCAATTTAGGCTTTCAACAAACAGGAAGTCCTACGAAGTGAGCCATTGGTTGACCAGTTTGTTTGAAAAAAAAGTGTGGATTCTTTCCCTTTGCCATTTCCGGTGTCGCACACTTTTTCAATTGCCGGAGTTAACAAAGGTTCGGAATTTAAGGAGAGACAGCAATTCAACGTTCTTAAAATTAGGGCATGGTACACGACTGTAGACACACACACACATGCACACACACACACCCCCCTTCTCCTCTTTGATATTTAAATAGACTCCACTTTCGTCACACCGTTTTTCCATTTCTCTAAATTTCCACCACACTGTTTTTTTTCTTTTCTTCACAGAAAGTAGAAAGTCTATACAAACACATTTCCAAAGTCTTACTTGCAAAAATGGTCAAAGCAGGTATGTTTGTGATCCAGGGATCAATTGAGTAGAAAGAAATAAAAGCAATTGGGATGTGCAAAAGTGATGCCAATTGAGACCCACCGTGGAGTCAATTGAGTGCTCTCTTGACCAATTGCTTACTTCGCATAAATTTCAAACCACATGTATACTAACTTTTCGAGCATCTAGTTGCTGTACTTAGAGGAGACTCCAACGTCTCTGGAGTTGTCAAATTTGAACAAACTTCTGAATCCGAGCCAACCACAATCAGCTGGGAAATTGCCGGTAACGATCCAAACGCATTGAGAGGATTCCACGTTCATGCTTTTGGTGACAACACCAATGGATGCACTTCAGCTGGTCCTCACTTCAACCCATTCAAGAAGACCCACGGTGCTCCAGAGGATGATGAGAGACATGTTGGTGACTTGGGTAACATTTCTACAGACTCTCAAGGTGTAGCCAAGGGAACCAAACAGGACTTGTTGATCAAATTGATTGGAGAAAATAGTATTTTGGGTAGAACTGTTGTTGTGCATGCTGGTACTGATGACTATGGTAAGGGTGGGTTTGAGGATTCAAAGACTACTGGACATGCTGGTGCCAGACCAGCATGTGGTGTCATTGGATTGTCAGAGTAAGTGGAAAAGAGAGTTACTTGTTTAAGTAGGCGTAATACATGAAGTATCATTAGAATGCAAGTTGTAGTTAAACTCTTTGTAAAGCGGTTTTGGTGTGTTGACTTCGCGCAGAGAAAACCTCCATACACAGAACCACGCTCTACACACACTCGACAATACAATATGAAGGACGGATCATTCAGTTATTTACATCTTTCCAATCCCAATATAGCAACGTATATCGAAACATGGCACAACGAGCCAATGCCATTTGACGATGTTGAACCTCCTCAAATAAACAACAAACTCCACAATGGTAATTTGAGGAATGGACGAGAGTTGCCTCTACTGTTGGACAATGACGACGAAGACTCACTCCAAGGTGGTCATGCTTTCGGTGCAGCAGGTACTGTGGGTGTTGGTGGAGCTGGCGGAGCTGGAGCTGGAGTGGTTGGAGGAGGAGAAGGAGGAGGAGGTAGAGGATTGACTGGAGTTGGCGGCTCTAGTGGTGCTCGCGGCTCATCACGCAGTCAGTGGATGGATTTACAATTGCATGAAGTGTTTAGAGATGATATCAAGCGATTCCGGGATTTGACTATATTGCCTAATATCGAGCAAAAGGATTTATGAAGTGAATGAGAGATGAATAACTGACTTGTTGGAAATGACTTTGAACCCAAATTATAAAAACGTCGCTATAGCGCCAACTTTTATCTAAATCCATCAAGCTATATACAATATCTATTCCTCCTCTTCTTCATCGGAGTCTTCCTCCATATTGATCTCGGGCATTTCAAAATCGGACTCAGCATCATCGTGTACTGGCGATGCAGCAGTTTGCACATCTGTCTCTACATTATATTCTTTGGGCTTTTCGGGAGCTGCGCTTACTGAGGAGTTGGGCTTGAATGAGAAATCAGCTTGAGTGGTTTCAATTTTCCTCTTTTTGAGGCTCTCTGGTGGGGAATCCTCTACTTCTCTCTTGATTAAACCACTAGAGTCTTGGGGCTCGATAGCTTGTTCCTGTTGTCTTTGTTCTTCGAGTAGCTTCAAAACTGCAGATTCTTTGGCGCTCGCTTGCTCCTGAGTCTCCTCGGTATCCAACACATCTTCTAAATCGTCTTCGAGTTCCACAGTGGTTGCAATGCGCTTAGGCAAAGGAGGTAACCTAGGATTGTTGAACACACTCAATAATTCATCATTAGGAATGATTGATGAGACAATAGGCAAAATATTGTGTCTGTCGTATCCCGGGTTCAATACTGCACCTCTTAAAAGATCCCTGAAGGATTCAGGTACGGTGGTTTCATAATTGGCGGCGGCGGCTTCAACACACTCCTGGACTACAAACTTGACGACCTTGTAATGCTGAGTTGGTGGTAACTCGGATCTTTTGATTACTTGGTGAAGAAATGTTCTCACTACGTTAAGCAACTGCTTGGATTTGGACTGGGTAAACAAGTGCTCATGCGAAAGAATATCTGAAAGTGGTGCTGACGACACATTCTTCTTTTTGCCCTTTTTCTGCTGCGATATAGATGCAGCTTTTTCCGGTTCAGCCTGTGTGGGTCTCACTTCCACTAAAGCCAAGGCAACATCGACAAAGGGGGTCATTAAAGTGTTGTCGGAAATCATTCCAACCAATTGTAGATAATCACTAACACAGCTCACTAAGTCCATGTATAGAGTCTCGTTTCCCAGCACTTTTGTGACCTTACCTGACTTGGACAATGGTACAATATACGCCAACGACGACCACAAAGAAGGCAAGTGAGGAATCAATGAGCCTTTAAACACCAAAAGGCTCCTCAACAAAGCTATGGCACTTTGGTAATTCACACTCAACATATCCTTTATCAATCCCTTAATCTCCTCATCTCTTATATCGCTTTTGAATGACAAGTACTTCAAGTTAACCGAGCATATTAACTCAACTAAAGCAAAAATTTTACCCAATGGAACCTTGACACTGGAAACTCCTTCATTTAAATATGCCCCTAACAACTTTGTTAAAACATAAACTCTAGAGCTAATCTGCAAGAGTGATTTGGGCCTGTTCAAATCAATCTCTAAACTGGGAAACACTTTAGTTGTCGATTGGGGCAACTTTTGCAACAAGTTCTTCAACTGCGAATCATCACGAAAGTTCAAAAACTCGTCGTAAATTTCAATGACACCTTTGATTTCAGCAATGATATTGTCTACATCATTTGCCCATTTGGATTCAGGCTCGTGTTTTTCAACCGTGGGCAAAATTGCCAATGCTTTACAGACGGAGGTTTGCAAATGGGTAGGGTACTCAACAAACTCACCACTTTGCATCAATGTGTACAATTTTTCACCAAACTTGTTTGCAAATGGTCTAAACGTGGTTGGATGGTGTTTGATGATTTGATAAAGCGATTTGATGCACAAGTTTGGAGCATATTGAAGGTGTTTCAAGTACAACGAGATGATGGTGGCTAGCTTTGGTGTCAAGATCTCTCTAGTCAATGCTGGTTTGTTTCTGATGATTTTAATCAACTTGTTTAAACATTCAACACACGATTTCAAAATAACCACATCGATGGTGTTGTTGTAAGATTCCAAGATTGTAATTAGCATAGTCATGAAATTTGCACCTTCATTGGCCAAGATGACGTAGTTGTCGCTCAAGACGTTGATGATGTTGATTCCACACCATTTGTTGTAAATGTTTGGTGTCCGACAAAGTTGCAATGTGCGCGAGATTAAATGCGTGAGGTCAGATTTTGAGATATGATCAAGGTGAGGCTTCTCATGGAGAATGGATAGGATTGGAATGAGCGAAGATGGAGAAGTTTTGATCTCCTCGAGGACTATGCTGAGAGACATTTGGTTACCAAAGAGGAACTACGGAACTTTACTACTCATCGCTGACATATTTCACACACACACAAAAAAAAATAAAAAAAAAATAAAAAAAAAAAACGTAAAATAAAATCAAATACAAAAAAAAATCTCAAATAGTGTCACTTTACAAATATCAAACTCTACTTTAACAAAATTTTAAACGTACCAATCTCAAACCCATTCAACTTGATTCCAACAGCTCCCCCCTTCTTCACTTCCAACTCTTCAAACGTCTCATTCTCTAACCCATTGGTCTTGATGACTTTATCAACTTTAAAATGTTTTTCATCAATAACCAACTCTCCTTTGCCAACACCTCCCAACGACTCGTAGATTCTGACAACAATCGACTTTTCGTTCTTGGACAACTCGCTATACTGACTAACGTCAACGTCATCCTCACCACGTTTTACGTGAGACAAGATCAACGATGACTTTTCATCAGTCTTCAATCTAATGGCATGCAAGTACGATGTGTCCATAGTCTTTGGGATCAACTTGTAGTTGAAATTGTAGCCCGCCTTGACAGTGTTGACGCCCAATGGTCCGCTGTGTGGGTAAATTGCATACTCAAACTTATGCTCACCCATATCGGCCTTGTTATCGGGAGCTTTAGCCGATCTGAGCAATGACAATCTAACCAAGTTTCCATGGATCGAGCCACCGTATTTGCTATTGTTCAAAATGGATACACCATAATTGTACTCACTCAAGTCCATGAATTTATGGTGACATACTTCGAATTTGGCCACATCCCATGACGTGTTGTAATGGGTTGGTCTTTTAGTGATTCCAAACTGGGTTTCATAACTTGCATCCAAAGAGGTGTTGATTGTAGTTGGGAATTGGACTTTTAAAAACTTGTACGTTTCGTGCCATTGAACAGTTGATGAAAATTTGATATAGTTGTTGACACTGCTCTCATCATTGATACCTGCTAATGAAATGACAGTTTCAATCGATGAGTTTGGTGAGATGTCGTGAGTGACAACAATCGATGACTCCAATGCGTCATCTGACAAAATCTTGCTCTTGGCGGAATCCAATAATTTAAACTTTTCCAATGAGTACAACTCGGTATCCCAAGCTGGGAAATTGAGGGGCTCATCGTCAAAAAGCAAGTACTGATTACCTCCTACAACCTTGTTGCCTTGCTTTGTTTGCGTGGTTGCAGTGGTGTCAATAATCTCCCTTTCGGCAACTGTGTCATAAAGCGAAGTGATGACACCATTGTATGAAATCTTGGCAATCAACAAGCCATTGGACAATACGTATCCATCATCATCCGACTTGACACTAGCTGGATGCTTGACCTTTTTGTTAACTTTAGTTTCCCCTCCAACATGGTCAACGGACACTTGAAGCTTGCCGTTTTTGACATGGCCATCCCTTTTGAAAGCATTGTACAACTCATCATCTTCACTGAGCTCAACAATTTCATTATGCCTATCCCAAGGCAAAGTATTGACAACTGAGTTATGTTTGGGCTTGCCAGAAGCCTCAAATGCTTTGAAAAGTAACTTGTCTGCCTTCTCTAATAACGCGGTCAACATTGGGAAAACCTCTTCATAGTACACCATTCCAATACAACTACCAGGCAATACATCATGGAATTGACACAAGCAAAGATCCTCCCACAAGTCGTTAATCTCCTTTGCAGGGTAATTGTACTTCTTGTTCTTGAGACTTACTAACCCCGCCACCAATTCCAAATCGTGCAATTTTATCTCTCCTTGTCTCATGAGTCTCTTAACTTGCGCTTGAACTGTGTAAGTACCACGATGGAACTCGAGATAGATTTCTCCAGTCCATGTTGGTAATGTCAGTCCATTGTTTGATTTTTCCAACAAGTGATCATAAAAGTCTTCAATTGAGACATCCAAAGCAACAGAAGGAAGTAATCCAACTTCGTTACTCAACCCTCTGCAACGTCTCAATTTTTCAATCATTTCCGGAGTTGGGCCTCCTCCTCCATCACCAAATCCATAAAGCAACAAACCAGTGGGGACATCTCTCAAATTCTTGTGCTGGTGTTGTGATCTCAGAACATCGCCAAAATTGGCTGCAGCCGTGTAGGTGTTGTCTGGAGGCATATGCACCAAAACCTGAGAGCCATTGATTCCCTTCCAATTGAATGTAGTGAGTGGGAATGAATTGATATTGTTCCAGGACAACTTTTGAGTCAAGAAACGGTCAATACCGGATAATTGGCAAATTTGGGGAATTTGTGAACTGTAACCAAAAGTATCTGGCAACCAAAAGATATTGGAACGGAATCCAAATTCAGCTTGAGTGAATCGTTGTCCCAAGATAAACTGTCTGAGTAAAGACTCTCCATTGGGTAAGTTGGTATCATTTTCAACCCATGATCCACCAAGGGGAATAAACTGGTTTCTTTTGAATTTCTCCTTGATGTCGTCAACAATTTCAGGGTAAGATTGTTTCAACCATTTAAACTGTTGCATCTGTGAAGCAACAAATACATATTCAGGATATTTGTCAGCAATCTTTAACTGAGTAGTCCAAGAACGAACAATTTTCCTCTTTGTTTCAGCAAATGGCCACTCCCACGCAGTGTCAATGTGGCAGTTTCCCACACCAAACACATCGACACGTTTGGTCTTGTTGGGGTACTCGTTAAACACCTCTTCAGAGTCAATTTTGTCACCAAGTAATTTAGTAGCCAATTTCCGACAATCTTTGATCGAGTCGACATTTTCTGGGTCAAATGTGTTCATAATCTTGGTACAAAGGTCAGCAGCTTGATACTTTTGCCATCCTCCAGGGAACTCTCTTGCTGCATCTCCCAAAATCCAAAAGTCCCAAAAGAGTCTTCGAGCCTCCAAATTGGGAACCACCAAGTGGGCCTTGTTCAAACGGAAATATCTGTTTGGGTCTGGTTCCCCATCAGCACCATTACCAAACATTCCATTACAAGCGACTTCAATGTAAAACAATTGTCTACCGGTTTTTCTAAACTTGTCGGGAATCTCAAACAAGTTACGATCACCACCAGTAAAAGCCTGCAATGGGAGACCGTTGGCGTCATAAATCAATGCCTCTGAACTAGAGTCCCACTCAATTTCCAACCCTTCGTACTTGAGCCACTCTTCAGGAATGTCCAAATGAAACTTGACCCAAAATGTTTTCCAACTGGGTCCAAAATTGTAACCCAACCCAATGTGTTCCCAGTTGACCTCATCAAACTTGATGTCGCGAAACAATGGTCTTTGAGTTTTACCCTCTTTGTCGTCAGGAACTTTCCAAGTTTGCAAGTTGCCAATCTCTGTTCTATGAATGTCATAGAATTTAGGCAAGTTTAAATTTGGGTATTGGCCACCGGTGTTTGTGAATTGACGCAATCGGTCTTCATAAAGATGGTCGATTGGTTTGAAATTTGGTTGATGATTGAAATTCTCGTATCCCATCGTTGCTAGTAGAGAGATGATAGCGGTAGAGAATAAAGAAAGTGGCTGTAATTGTAATAGATGCACAGAGAAAGAATAAAAAAAAAAGTAAAAAGGGGCGTGGAGGGGAAAAGGGGAAGGGGCGGATGACCGAGAGGAATACGGGGCGAGAAACAAAGCAAAGCAAGGCGAGAGACAAAGCAAAGCAAGACAAGACAAGGAGATAAAAAAAAAAAAACAAAAGAGAAAACGTGGAGAGGGAAAGAGAGAAAGAGAGAGAGAGAGAGAGAGAACGAGCAATAGAAAGAATAGCACCGAAATCTTTGACGTCATCAAATAGGAGTAAATGGTTGTTCATATATGTATCTACTCTATTCAATCACCACAACTTCTTCAACTTTTAAAACACCAGTCTTGGGGTCTGTTGTTGTGATTTCTTTTGTCGTGACTTGTCGTGCTTTACGTCTGGATGCATTGCTCAGTGATGGTGGTGGTGGTGGTGGTGGTGGAAGGGTTGGAAGATGAGATATCTCGTAAAACATGTAAAGGAGTGAGATTGTGACTAGTCCCGTGTATAGCCAGAACGCTTTACGACGGAACTTGTTGATAAGTCTGTCCAATGGCGTGTAGTATTTTTGATAAACTACCAACATAGTGCAGCCGGTGTTGTGATGGGAGTAGTTTATGTGATACTTTTTTGTGTTTTAGTAAGTAAGTAAGTAAGTAAGTTTCTTTATGGTTAAACTTTGTTTTGCTTGAAAGAATAAAAAAAACAAAAAATAAAGAGTAGGTAGTGTAAGTTGGCTAATAAACTGATAAGCAACGGAAATATTTGTGTGGCGCTATGTAAAGGGCAAAGGGCAAAGAGCAAAGAGCAAAGGGCAAAGAACAAAAAGAGGGAAAAAGTTCAACATACTTTTACCACTTCTTCTTTTTATTTGGAGACACAATTAGATCAGTTGCTAGCAGAGCCATACTTCAATTGCATCTCAACTTCGCATACTACTCCACCCACTTCCAATCCACTACTATAGCAAGAAAAATGGCCGACGATAAAGGATACATTGTCACCTTGAAGGATGACACCACCGATAAGGAAGCAGAATCGATCAAGAGCAAAATTCAACAATTGGGAGGTAAAATCACCAACGAGTTTAGTTTGATTAAGGGATTTTCAGTCAAATTGCCAAAGATCCATGCTGATGCCTTGCACAAAGAACATCCAAAGATTGCCAATGTTGAGGAAGACAAGGAAGTCCACACCCAATAAGCTTTTTTATATAGCATCTTTCAGTTATAGATTGAATAAATTGCGATAAATTTTACTTGTAATGCTTTACTGTGGCATTGGAGATTTTGTCTAAAAGTGTCTGTTCTCTAGCCGCAGGATCTGCACTATTGGACCTGCACTCTGTGAAACTGAGAACTGAGATCGGCAGAAGTTGAAAGAGAGATACTTGGGAAAGAATCTTAGCTCTGCTTTCAATAAAAACTCGGTGAGTTGTTGTCGCTTCATTTTCATTGCGTTGGTATTTTTTTTCTTTTTACGCATTCTTGATTTGGTTGCAATTGCAACACTCCAGATACCACGCTCACATCGCGTGCGTTTGGTGTTCTTCTAGAAGGGGACTAATTCACTGATTGATTGCAAAGAGTATAACATTCTTGAATACGTTCTGCCGTTCACAGTGTACAGAGCATCTCAACGTCAGGTTGTTTTGGTCAAATCTGCAGTCTTTTAATAATTTTGCGCGGAAACAAAAGACGCCAGGAAGCTACGACTGTACTTGGTTAGGATCTGTAGATATATAGACCCTTGGCTCTCATTCCACATTCTTTCCTACATATACAACATATACCAGCTATACTAAATGCAGGATTCACTTGTGGTCTAGATAGGCGCTGCACTTTTACCGCCATGCTTTTTTGATAGCAATTGAACCCCCCCCAGTCTTTTTGATTACGTCATTGATATGAGAGATGATATAAATCGTATACTTTCCCACAAATCGTCTCAGACAACTCCACTCTTTCCCTATTCATCAATTGATAATTTTCAAAGAATGGTTAATGCAGGTATGTTTGGATTAACCTAGTGGGAGGAGGTAATTCCATACTAACAAATTATGTACAGTTGCTGTGCTTAGAGGAGACTCCAACGTCTCTGGAGTTGTCAAATTTGAACAAACTTCTGAATCCGAGCCAACCACAATCAGCTGGGAAATTGCCGGTAACGATCCAAACGCATTGAGAGGATTCCACGTTCATGCTTTTGGTGACAACACCAATGGATGCACTTCAGCTGGTCCTCACTTCAACCCATTCAAGAAGACCCACGGTGCTCCAGAGGATGATGAGAGACATGTTGGTGACTTGGGTAACATTTCTACAGACTCTCAAGGTGTAGCCAAGGGAACCAAACAGGACTTGTTGATCAAATTGATTGGAGAAAATAGTATTTTGGGTAGAACTGTTGTTGTGCATGCTGGTACTGATGACTATGGTAAGGGTGGGTTTGAGGATTCAAAGACTACTGGACATGCTGGTGCCAGACCAGCTTGTGGTGTCATTGGATTGTCAGAGTGAGCCGACACTAACTTGATTGAAGTTTTTTTTTCAGGGGTAAAGTTATGAGAAGCTGTTTTATAGGTTGTTCACAACTCTAGAGAGGTATGGAAAAAGATTGAAAAGCTATTTATAGCAAGCTATTCTAATTGAACCCCCTTTGTGATCAATGTTTCGGTTGCAACAAACTCTTGATGCAACTTGACCAAATTGGCTCTAATCACTTCGAGCTCTTTCTCCTGATCGACAATCTGACCAATATGGACCTTCAAGTAATGCTGTTTCAAATACATGGGGAAAATCACCGCGTTTGAGTCACTAATTATACGTTGAATAGTATCATGGTTGGTTTCCAGTTTGAGCATGGTTGAGGTAGTAGCCACGAGTTTACGCTTCTCCACTTCCAATGCCTGGTAGCTGGAGATGGCTTTGTATTTCGTTGCTTTAGTTTTGTAAATTGTTGCCAAGTGGTGGAGCTCGGATGAGAGTTGGTTTCCAAGATCAGTCAATTTCTGTTGTTCCTGGTTGTAATCAATATCCGAATGCTGCTTGTGGTTGGATGCAGATCTGGTATCTGAGTTATTGGGCGGATGATGAGCTGAGGAGTGAGTAGTGTATGCCTGGTGTGAAGAGCTTGGATTTGGTAATGCTTGCGTCTGTGGCTGAGTTGGCTGTGTCGGATTGGTTGAAGACATCAACTTTGATTTTTCAGGAGGAACTAGTTTCGACAATGGCGTCAAGACTGATGTCATGTCTGATCCAGACGAAGATGAAAGGCGTTCAACTACGCGTGAGTGGGATGTGGAAGCTCTAGTGACACGCATCTTGGACAAGAGGATGGAGTGTTGTAGGGGATCAACAATGGTTATGTTTTTCTTGTAAATTTGCACAAATATCTTCACAAGTTTCTCCGTAATTTTTATTTTTCTTTTTTTTTTTTCATTTTTTTTTTGGTATGGCTGCGAAATGGGTACAATAGTCTTGCAACCAACATCAAGGAGAATAATTGTGGTACCTAGGTGACGAGATATGATTATGGGATATTGAGAGGTGTTGTGTGGACTTGAAATTACGAAAACTTAGAGTTCAAAAAATTGATTGCGGTTTACTTGCAACCACAATCGAGTACTTTCAGTGACTTCCAAAAGGAAACAAGTCATTGTGCATACTTGCTTGATCAAGAAAATAATTTATGCGACGTATTTTGATGTTAAAGCTTGGAAGTTTCCGCTGCATAAGCGTCTCATTGACTTCACTTGACTACACCAAAAGAGATGATCTGACTTTTCAAGTTGTAAAGCGGAATGTGTGACTTTGGTAAATAGTAGAGTGCACTTAGTCTGCGAGACCCCATAGTGTAATCCAATTTCGAGTATGCTCAGACATACTGGAATGCTGGAAAATGTTTGTGTATACTTCGTAATTACGTTTTCCCTGTGTTTTTAAGTTTGTGTAACTAGAAACAACTGCGCTTTGGTATCTCCGAATGTGCACAAGATGAACATATACATTCATATATTGATTGGCACGTAATTACACCAACGGAGGAAGACCAGATGTATCCACCGTCAAAAGTACTGTCTTGGAAGAATTATATGCCTCTCCATTTTATTCTCTTTACTTTGTTGACAGAGGCGGACTACAATTTACGGTGACTGGGTATCAACTAACAACCATTAAATGAGCAAGCTTGCTCAACTACAAAGCCATGTTTGCATCCAACTCATATACTTTCCACCTCTTCTGGTTGTTGTGAATTGTTGACAATTTTCTGGATCGGGGCTTTGTTTGTGTTTTTTTTTTCTTTTCTTTTTGATTTCAATTTTAGACGATAATCACCGAGGCGAGGAGAAAATTACCTGATTTGTATAGCTGGCTCGTTGGGAATAGATCAGTGAGTGCCAGAATCATGGAATGTGTATCTATAGAGTGGTTGTAGCTGTAAAAGTAGATTAAATACCAGTGCCCTGCTTGGAATAGACGATACTCAATTCCAAGGTGTTCTTCTCGTGTACTTTTTAGTGTCTTGTTTTAGATTTCACCAAAGAGGAAATTTTGACGCAAGATCCAAAATAAAACATACACAGTCACAACACAACATATGGAGAAAAGGGGCACGCCGCCACGCACACACATCATCTCACTTGACATTCTCTTTTACAAGGATCATATACCATCACAGCATCGAACCAACAACATACAGTGTCACAAGCATTGGGATTACTCCAGTCACCACCTTCCAGAGTTCCCCTCACTCCCCTCACTCCCCCCCCTCCACACACACACACTCGTATTTAACATATGATGTCATCCGGTATACTCACTGCAACCACCACCACCACCACCACCAACAACAACAATATACCATCATCTAGCATAAAGAACGACAAAAGCAACAGAGCCAGCACTCATCATGAACCAGTAAAAACAAACAACTCACCCTCGCAACAGCTTGAAACAAGTACAAACAAAAACAAACTGTCATCTCCTCCCCCATTGGTTCAGCAATCGCTGTCCTTTGCTCGTCGCTCGTCGCCAGTGCCAAAAGATTTAAAAATACTTTGCATAAACTTTAACCAAGATCATGGATGTTTTGCCGTTGGCCATGAGTTGGGATTCCTTGTTTACAATACAGATCCAATAGAGCTACGGGTCAAGCGGAATTTTGTAAGTGGTGGTAGCACACCATCCAGACACAACTTAAATGCGGCTAGCACAACAACTACAACTACCACTTCTGGGTCTGGTATTGGTCATATAACTATGTTGCATCGAACAAACTACTTAGCAATAGTTGGTGGAGGAACCAATCCGCGCTTCCCCACAAACAAGCTAGTGATTTGGGATGACTTGAAACGAAAGAACAGTTTGTCATTGGAATTCGACAGGCCAGTGCTAAACGTGCTTTTATCCAGGATCAAGATTGTTGTTGTTTTGATGGATGAGATTATAGTGTATTCATTTGCCTCGCCACCTCAAAAATTAATCAGTTTTGAAACTCATTCTAATGAATTGGGAATTGCTGATATGTCTGTTCTTACTTCGCAAAGGAAGCCGCGTGCATATTCTGATGCCAATGACAGGTTACAACCAGTAGCACGAGGAAGCCACGGTTCAGTGTCAAGCGCAGGGTCAACAACCAGCAATGTCTCAGTCAACAGTGCCACATCACTCAATAGCATTTTAAACCACAATAGTAAAAACCCCCATCAACCAAGCGCCATAATTGTGTTTCCCGGTAAAGCTACTGGACAGATTCAAATTGTTGATCTTGCGCAGCAACAACCAGGATCATCTATAATCAAGGCTCACAAGTCAACCATAAGAAACTTGTGCATAAACAAGACGGGAACCATGGTGGCCAGTGCATCAGTGTTGGGTACATTGATCCGAATTCACTCAACTATAACAACAAACCTACTTTATGAGTTTCGCCGGGGGATAGATAAAGCCGACATCACTTCGATGAAGTTTGGTCATGATGATTCCAAGCTTGCTGTATTGAGCGACAAGTACACTCTTCATATATTCAACTTGCGGGAGCAACAAGGGGTGGAGAATGACGTCCACGAGAACAAACAACATGCATTGAACAAGTATATCAACTTTCTTCCATCTACATTTATCCCGCAATATTTCAAAAGTACGTGGAGCTATTGCAGTGTCAACACCAACAAGTATCACCAACAAGAGCTGGAGTTGGATGAAGGTACATTGGGATGGGTTGGAGATGACGAAGTTGTTATTGTTTGGGAGAAGAAGAAAATATGGGAGAAGTACACCATTCGGAACAAGCATGATGAGTATGAGATAGTGAGGACTAGCTGGAAATCATTAGATAGTGAGTAGTGGAATTATATATATATATATATATATACATTTTACAAGGGGGATAATAACAACTTATTATTGCATTTTACACCCTGGTAACGTAGTGATGTCCCCAGTTACAATGTCTCGCATAGCAAGGGCAAATGTGACACTTTTTCTTCAACTTTTCTGAAATTTTGCAACTTTAACCATTTGGTACCGTGGAAGTTTCGAATAAACCGTAACGCATCCTGTTCAGTCCTGAAATTCATCTTGATTATGTTTATACCTTGCATGATATTAGAGTGTATGTACTGTATCGGAGGCACTCCATCATCGTCAGTGGATAAGTTGTAATTCCATAGGGATTCGATTGCTAAATCTTCTTTTAACCCAAATGGCCAATTGTGGACTATGATTGATTTTGTTCTGTTTGGAGCATCGATAAGTTGGGATAGTAGTGGGAAAGATTCGTCGTAGAGTGGAGATGAGACGGGCGTGGATGACGGCAATGCCTCTTGTGCAGTAGCTTTCAGTTTGATCTGATCTATTAGTGATTGGTGATTAGCCAGTTGCAATTTCGGAGGCACCAATTTGTCAATTACGTCAATAGGGTGTTGATATTGAGTTGCATACTGGATCCCATTGATCCATTTCCCTCCCGTTTCCAATTCATAGATTTTTGCATTCAAGTGTGATTTGAAAATTAGCAAATACTCATTTTGGAATTGGAGCAATTTGCCCACCCGTTTCTTCACCACTTCAAAGTTGTATTTTGGGTTTAGGGAATATGTCAACTTGTGCTCCAGCGGTAACAAGTTTTGGAAGTCGTGTTTCGTGATAAACAGTAGTGGACATTTGAAGGAAAGAATGTTTGAGGGAATGGATACGTTTCCCAATCTCAATGCATCAGCAGCTGGAAGTTTGCGTCGTGTTGAGGAATGAAACTGGAATAGGTCTGTGGAATCAAGATCCGACTCGGATTCATAAAGCTGTCGTGATATTTGCGGAATGGCTTGAGATGTTTGTAGCTTTGGGGCTGTTTCTTTATATAGAATGTTCATCAACTTTTTAGCATTGTTGGCCAGCATATTCAAGTTTTTGGAGTGGAAGATCACTCATGTGAGCTTTGATGAAATGTACTGCCAAAGAGAGAGAAAAATAGAAAAATAGAAAAATAGAAAAAAGAAAAAAGAAAAAAGAAAAAAAGAAAAAACACTTGCAGGTTTCCATTCTACATGGCACTTGCAAACAGCCACACTACGAAGAATCCAAAGATACATATCATTAGGGTGTGACACTATTCACTGATACCAACTCAAAGGAGAACACACAAAGACACATAATCATCACACTTCAACTCCCCTCGCAACCAAGTTCATCTTTTTGCGTCTTTTCGCCACTGGCTTGATACCTAAACCATTCAGACTATCGAGAGTCATTCTTGTATATAAATAACATAAGAAAAGGGCTTTCTTGAATCGACCATCTGTACATAAATAACAGCAAAGAGCCTAGTTGCACCCCATACATCTGCACATATTATCATCAAAGGTGTAATCAAAAGAAAAACTTCAGTATCCACACCACAGCTTTTTGTTAGAAATTGGCGCACGTTTCAAATCTTTTTCTTGTCAATTTTGTCCCTTTACTTGACTTTTGTTTTCAGTTTTGAATTTCCCTCAGATTAAGAACACACCACCACCGCAACAACAACAACAACAACCAGACTTCATTACCCAAAGCTAAGCTATGCCTTCGGATACAATTTGGTCTAGTGCTAGTACTTCCCCTATTCAATCAACGCCTCTGTTGTCCACAAACAACACATACAATAAAAACGCATTCAAATCTGTGTTGGACCAGGTTGACTCCGATGTTGCAAGGATCTTGAATTCAAATCCGTTAGACCCTATGGACAGACGGTTTTCTTTCAATGATGGCAGTGATATTGAAGACGACTTTTTTGGTTTGAAGAGGGGCGCCTTATCAGCGATAACGGCACCAGTGGGTGGAAACGACCATAAGTCGAACTCATCGCCTGTAAATAATGGGAACAGAATTAACTTTGGAACTGCTTCAATTAGCGGTGGCATTGCTAGTAGACATCCACCACAAGAAAGCTTTTTACAGAGATTTTCAAACGTTGTTGATGCTACAAGGGAGATTGAATTGGGTAATTTGTCCTTGGATGGATCGAGGAGAACGAGCTTCAACAATGACAGGTACGGAACGGGTTCTCTCAATGAAAATTTAAACATGCCGGTACCTCGTACTTCGAGACATCAATCCATTAGTGAAAAAATCGATAATTATAACAATAGCTCACCTATACAAGCCAATGTTTCAGTAAATGGCGACAATCCACCTGCAGAATTGAATAATACCACAGCAGCAGCAACGTCAACACATCTTCCTCAAACATTTTGGAATCCTGCAGCGGCAGCCTCGTTCACACCTTATAATCCCAACTTTCTGGAAAATGGCGTACCTACGCCACCTCCTATGCCATTTCAAAACGCATTCTTCCGTGGGCAGCAGTCGCAGCAGTCGCAAGAATCAGATGCAACCGCTGCCCCCAATTCTCCTCCCCTTGTACCCCCCCTTATGGTCCCATCACCACCACCACCCCCACCTCATATGATGGATCCCATGTTTGGCATGATGTATGGAAACTTTCCAATGCCGTTTCCTCCACCAATGCCTCCACCACAACCGCCATCACAAGCCAACAACGAGAAGGCCAATGACGATGATTCCTCTGACTCTGCCGACACTCCTGAAGTGAAAAAGGGCCAAGGTCCCATTGGAGTCGGACTCATGAATAGACTGTTTTCTCCTGCTGCTTTTATGCTTCCTTTCAATCCATATATGTACCAACAAGTCCCACACCCTCCTCCTCCACCACCACCACCACCACCATCAACACAGAATATGCCAGACGGGATGAGAATGACACTGCCACCTATGCCACCTTCGTCTTCGTCCGGTCAACTGGTCAACCTGCAGCTGCTGCACACCAAGGGTCACAAACCCCCAGCGGCAGCAGGTGCCGGATCGTCAGCACCCTCTTCTTCATCAGCATCGTCATCTGGAGCTGCCACATCCTCGAAAAAGAAGTCCCATAAAAAGCCGTTCATTTATCGTTCGCCACTCCTTGAAGAGGTGCGAGCCAACCAGAGGGAGTTTTTGCTTAAAGATATCTATAGCCATGGAGCTGAATTTACCAAAGATCAACACGGGTCGAGGTTTATCCAGACCAAGCTTCCTCAAGCTAGCGATGAGGAGAAGGAGGTGATATTTAAGGAGATTTGTGACATTTCATTTGACTTGATGACTGATGTATTTGGTAACTATGTTATGCAAAAGTATTTTGAATACGGTTCAAATGAACAAAAGCAAATTTTGTTGCAAAAAATGTTGGGTCACATTTATGAGTTGTCGTTGCAAACTTATGGATGTCGAGTTGTGCAGCGGGCTTTGGAATCATTGGAGGAGCCAGATCAGTTGAAGATTATCCTTGAATTGAAGGATAAGGTGCTTGTTTGTGCAACTGATCAAAATTCCAACCACGTGATTCAGAAAAGCATTGAGCTTATTGAGTTTGATAAAGTTCGGTTCATTTTGGATGCATTGCATAATCATCTTTACCATCTTTGTACTGATCAGTACGGATGTCGTGTGGTTCAACGATTGATTCATTTCGGCAGTGAGAAAGATAAGCAAACCATTTACAGTGAGATTCAGAGCCATGTTGGGTTTCTCATTACTCACAAGTTTGGCAATTATGTGATTCAAGCCTGTTTGGAGAATTCGCTACGCGAGCAGGATATTTTCAACACTGTAGTCTCCAAGTTTACCCATTTTGCCACCAACAAGTACGCGCTGAATGTGTGTGAAAAATTGGTTGATCTTGCGACGCAGGTGCAGATCCAGCGGATTTTGGAAGTTGTGATGCAAGGTAGTGAGTTGGAACGGATTATGGGTGATGAGTATGGGAATTATGTCGTGCAGAAAATCGTGTCTGTTCTTGATGGAGATAGTCCAGATAAGAAGAAGTTGGTGGTGAAGTTGCAGCTGTTGTTGTCGAGAAATAATAGTGGGAAAAAGAGTGTGGAGAAGATCTTGTCGTTGTGTGTTGAGAATAACGGAAATGGTTGAAGAGGGAGCTTGTAAATAAGAAGAAATTGGTTTGGGGGCATATATATTGGCAAAAAGAAAAGAGTAAATCAATTGTGTATAGTTTTGTAAATAAAGAATGACCTTGTGAATATGAAATTTGAGTCAGGTTGTATTGTCCATAAAATCTATAAACTCAAAAAGAAAAAGTGTCCACGTTTTTTTGAAAACAAAGCTCGCGATTAGGAAAGGAAGTGTAAAAGAAGCTTGTGCATGGGGTCATTTGAATGATCGAAGAAGTTCCCATTTGAATTTACTCCAATTCAGTCCTGTCTCTTGATCAGCTACATCCTCATTGCAAACTTGCCTGTATAGTTGTCTCACTTGCATAATGTTTACTTTTAAATCAGTGTGTTTGATTTGTAAGCTGTCGTACAATGTTATCCATTTCAATAGCATCGTTTCCTCAATTTTGATTATCTCATCATGTGAGATATACTTCACGTGTGCCTGTGCCTGTGTCTGTGCCTGTGTCAGAGTCAGAGTCGGCGAGGTGTTGGCTATTTCTGGACGAGGATGTGACTTGGATGCTGCATACATTTCCAACCCTTGGCCATCAAAACTGATTGATGAAGATTTGGATATCGTTACTGAAGTCAAGGGAGTTGATTTGACACCACCCTCCTTGTTTGCCTCTGGAGCCAACTTCAAGTTTGATTCCTTATCCTGATGTTGCGCGTTCTTCAAACTTAGCAACGAAGTCGCACTGCCATCTGAAGTCAACGAAGACCCGGCTTCGGAGTTTAAACTAGCCCCAATTGATCCACCAGGATGTTTCGATCCAAACAATTTTTTCCTCTTGATCAAATCCAGCTCGATTGCTTCCGAAAGGGCCAAAATCACAGAGTCTGCCAATATCAAAGACAAGGTGGTTGAAACCGTGGGAGCTGGCAAGCCATGTATGGCTACTTCGTTGTGAGAATTGGGCAATTCCGCCAATAACAAACTATGTATGCGGTTACTAATTGAAAGTGTTGAAAATTTGTTGCATGTGAGTAGTAAAATTGGTAAATCTGGAGATAAGTGAGGTAGTAAATTGATCAATTCCGGGGTGTTTCCTGAAGCTGTCAACATTATCAAACAATCTTTAGATTCATTGATGAGTCCTAGGTCTCCATGTAGTGCCTCCAGTGGATGTAAACTAGTCGCTTGTATACATAGTGAGTTGAGCGTGGCCACTAGTTTCAGTGCCAATTTGTGTGATTTGCCAATCCCTGTAATCACAATCTTACCGCCACGTGAATGGGTTTGGTACAAGGTGATTATTGAGGTGATTAAATTGTCGATGGAGAATAAATCTGTCGCGTATTGCTGCTGCAAATGGGCAATTGCTTCAGTCTGCAGTTTGATGGTGTTGAGGACCGATTGGTGACATTTGTTGACCATGGAAGAGCTGAGCTGTGACGGCGTCGAGCTTGCAATTGGAGTAGTTGGCTCTGAAGATGACAGAAACATGCTCAAAGGTTTTTGCTGGCGCGTATTTAAGAGATCTCCTTTGGATCTTGATGATGGTTAAATGTAAGTAGTTGCGAGGACAGGAGGTGGTGAGCAGATTCAAATCAAACTGTATTGGGGGCCCTTATATACGTTGCGCAGTGGTTGTAGTTACAGTTATATTCTTTTAAAGTTGACAGCTGTGTCCATGATATATATTTCAAATTTGACCCGTGCCATACAAAATATATAGTATAGCTCTATATGCACAAGCATGTTGTGAAATTTTAGTTTATTTCTTTTTTTTTTTTTCTTTCTTCTTTCTTCTTGTTGTACAGCTTTGATATATTGCACAAAGAGTTAATTCAAGAAGCCATAGATTGCAATTAGTAATCCACATGTAACCACCAATACCTTTCAACAGGCACGCCCTTTGAAGCACATGTAGGTACTGATATGTGATTGTCCCTTTTGGCTTTTTTTTTTGCTCTTTAGAGAGTTATGTGAATGTATAGGAGGGTTGTAGCTTAATTCCGCGTACGGGTTTTTACCACGTTTATTTGTTTGTCTCAAGGTAATCAGTTGTGCCTCGCTCCATTTAGTTTAGTCTTGTCCGAAGATCCTAACTCCGATACGGTGCAAGGAGCGGGTTTACTTCTACTAGAGTTATTGAGGTATTCCGATGTGAAACTCTGTGTTGTCGAAAGATATCTCTCTTATTTAACTTATGTACTGTGGCGTAACAAATTGGCGTAATTTTTATATTATATTATATTATATTGTATCGTGTACTATATTGTATTATATTATATTATATTGTATTATATTGTATTATATTGTATCGTGTATTGTATTATATTATATTATATTGTATTGTAACTGGACTCTCTTACTCCTATTGTTTGTAGTTTTAAAGCCACACAATTTTATTCTGAAATTTATCAATTAAATCTCTCGACTTTTTTTTTGCAAGATAAGAGAGAAAGTATCGGTCCGGAATTAATGCTATAAACTCCGACCATTACAAGTTCGGGCTGAGAAATTTCCACGTGGTAAATGTAACTGAGATCCGCGCAATGGATTGATATGAAGCCAAAGTGGCGGCGGAAAGCATACGAAACTTCAGCATTGTAATGTCTTGTAAAGCCAGATAATATGTTTTGAAATCTAGCTGGCAAATAATCAAGACATACTGGACCACAATCTACACTTTCAATTCACTCCAATAATCAAGGGAACCCCAAACATTCAAACAACAAGCCCACTGAGAGCTTCATCACATCCATGATTGCTCTCGCAATCGATAAGGGGAGGGGTTTGAGCGAGGGGTTTGAGCAAACCACTGCTTTGATATTCAAATGTCAGAGCACGTCCTCGAACTCAAGATATAAAAAATGCCAACTTCACCCTCTCGGAGTACACCAGTACCGGCTACGGTAACCTTCGTTATCCACTCAATTGTTGCATGAACAATTCGGCTTTACCGTCCACACTCGCGTGTCTTGCTCTACCTCCCACCGCGTAATAAAACAACAACAAAAAAAAAGAAAAAGGATCTGGTCCGACTTAAAGTTTGTTGCAAAGTTGATCCCTTAAAATTATACCCCCCCCCCCCCCAATGCCAACTGCAATAAATCTCCATTTGTTTAAAGATTTATCCCCACTACAGATAGTTCTCCTACTAGTCATAAAAATATACTCCATCAGCAATGTATCTCCAAGCGTATTGATTAAAATTGCCCGCTTGATTGAACACAAGTACACGATTAAACTGGACAACCAAAACTTGATAGTATTGTCTTCTCTAGAAAACCTTCGCGAGTACCTCAATGACGACTCGTGCTTTAGCCAGCTTTCACAAACATTAAAGCTAATCCAATCGATAGAGGACTTGGATCGTGAAATGAAGGAGTTCAAGGAATTGGCCACCACTAAACAGAAAACCAACACGAAAACATTTGCCCCTCTGTCATTGTTTGGAGCATTTATTATACAGGCGTGTACATTCTACGAGCAACTTGAATTTCATCAAATCATTTGCTTGTATCAACTGTTGGATCGATTTCGAGGAGTGCAACACGCTACTCTTCAGGGGAATGGAAATCTAGAGAGCGTTCTCGATGCGCAGCTAGCCAAGCTCAATGCAAACCCATCAAATGAAGTACACATATCAAGCTCAAAAGCTTACTTAGATCAGCTTATCAATGAACAGGTGACAATCCTAGAGACACTAGGTACACCGACACCACCATATCTAAAGGAGATCATGCGATTGATGAGCTCGACTAGAGGCTCAATCGGCAAAATGGTCTTTAATCATGTGCCAAACTACTACTACTACTTACAATACTTGGAAAACTTGGCCGAATTGGACTATAATGGGGCTGTTGATTCATTGCACCAGTACTTTGACTACATGGTTAGCAACAACTCCAAATACTTTTATCACTTTGCTTTGATTTCCAAAGCTTCCCTACACCAATACTTTGGTGAAGATCAAAAGGCAATCGATAGCATTGAAGCTGCCGTGAGTGTTGCTAGAGAGAACAAAGATAACGCAACTTTAACATACATATTGAGTTGGTTTTGTAATTTCATGCACCACAAACCATACTTGTGGGCACACCAGTCATTGTTTAACAAGAACAGCGGAGACAATTTATTGGATTTCATCATCAAGAAAAGCTCCACGGTGAGTCAACTGTTGCTTGCACTAAATTTAGGGTTTGAGACAATACACATGATGAACAATCTGCAGAGAGTTGCCACGTACACGTCTAATTTGGTAAAGACATTGTACGTTGCAGTGAATGATCTGAAGTCAACTTTCTCGCGTAGTGCTGCCGTTGCATCTACTGTTTGGAGTAGACTAGGCATAGCCTCATTGAGTGATGTTTACACTGACATCGCTCTTTGTTATTGCGAAAATTCTTCTGATCGTACTACTTTGGAAGCTAAAAAACTATACCGCCAATTTCAAAAGGGAATCAACTGTGGAGAGATGTACTTACAAATTCTGAGTTTATCGCCCCACGACAGTTCTCTACAAAATGTCATAAGAGTTCAAACTTTGCTAATGCAGATAAAGTTGTACTTGCAACAAAAGCGACTCAGAAAAGCAAAAGAAGTGATGGATCTACTTGTGGGTAGTAACATCAAAGACATAACATTAAGGAGTGAGGTGTCTTTCCTTGAAATCGAGATTGACATTGAGTACGCAAACTATAAACAAGCATTGAGCAAGATTGAAGCCATGCAAGATTGTGATGACTATACGCTACTAAGATTGAGCTTGTTAAAGTGTCAAATATTCAATCGTTCGGGCACTGTTCCGATGTCGCTACTAGTGCAAGTGATGTCCTTGAGCGACAAGTTTGGTTTTGCATCTCTCTTTATCGAAGCTACACTCTTACTTCTTGAAACTTTGCAAAAACATGGACACAAAGAGGAGGCTGAAAAATACGTTGATTCAGTGATGCCAATGGCGTTCACATGCGGTGATGAAAATCTCATTCGGTTGGCGCAGACGATTGGGAAGAAAGGAGTATATAAATAATGTAATCTTTCATTGCAATTGCCTTTTGACCTGTCTATGTACACACACGTTCACTTCCTCTTGCTGTGCTCTTCAGCGTCCAACCTTGCAAGAATGAGCAGCGCACTCTTCAATTGTATTACATTGGCGACTTGCTTGAAAAACCAAATGGGTGCACTCAAGACAGCAGTGACTGTACCAAGCCAGAAAAAGCCATAATAATGCAAGTAGATAGCCACGTAGAAAAACTCATTCACAGCACACACGACAAACAAGACTTTTCTATTCGTGTAGTACAATGAAAGTAATCTTGATTGAGATTCATCAACATTCTTGTGAGATGTGGATCCAGCAGACAACATTCCATACATGTGGATGTAATGGGAAGCCAAGTCCAAGCTGACCAACAACTGCCAAATGAAAAAATATCTTGGGTACAATACGGCCAAATAAATAATCAAACTGGTGGTGGCACAACGGTCGGTAACCATGTCCAAAACAGCTCCAAATCTGGTCCCTTGGTTGAATTTTCTTGCGGCATACCCATCAAACGCATCCAAAAAACCTGATATACCGTAAAAGATCAATGTAGCTACAGGGTGTCTGGGCATGAGAAGGAACGAAATTAATGCTGTGACGATCCGCAAGTACCCGATCAAATTGGGGATGTATAGAAATATGGTCTGTACTGTGACGTCTCGTGATGCGCCCAATCTGGTGGAAACGGGTTTAGCGCTCATGCTGATGTTGCTTTTGGTGATTAATATTCGTGGGTCAAATGCAAAGTCAGTGACGGATGTCCTCTCTCGGTATATTTCGGATAAAGCTGTCGGCACGGAAGCGGCGATGAAATAGGTAACAATTGTGACCCGATTTAAAGTGTAAACGTGCTGGTTGGTATGACTCTTGAGAAGATTGGGAAAACAAGCTAGTTCAACAAGTCTGAAAAAAAAAATAAAATAAAATGTAAAGCTCACTTGAGTAGTTTTTGTTCTTCCAGTGTTTGCACAGATTGTCAAGAGAGTTGAAATCCTCTTGATTAAATTTTCGCTCTTTTTCTCTTTGTTTGACGTCGGCAAAAGGAAAAAACAAAAGCCAAAAAAAAAAAAAAAAAAGAAATCACAGTCGTACTGGTTGACTGCAATTTCTACCAACCTCTCAATTCAATGACTGAATTTGTCCAATACGAGGTTGTTCTCACTTTGAGAGATAACAGTACAGCAAGAGGCACTATTTCCCAAGTTAACGAGGAACTGATTACGTTGAACAATGCGTTGACATCCACTGATCGCAAAATTCAACCACTGATTCGTTTCTTGAATTCTGAAGTTGCCGATTTGAAAGTGACACAGCTTCCTCCATTCAAATCCAAATCAAATGAGCTGAAAAAGAATAAGAAAACGAGAGCGGAGGATTTGGTTGATGACGCCATTGTCTACTCTTCAAAGCCATCTCGTTTTGGTACTCCCAAGCCAGAAAAGCAAAAGTCAAAATCTAAAACTAGAACTGATAGTTCAGATTTGGAACCTGAATCCATTGATAACGTCAAGAATAAGGAGTTTGACTTTGAGGCCAATTTAGCCATGTTTGACAAAAAGGCTGTTTTTGAAGACTTTAAGAAAAATGACCACACAAGCATCAATGATAGATTAGTGGGGCAGAATAAAGTGGAGAAACCGGCAACTCCAAAGAAACAAAAGTACGATAATGACGAGATGGTGTTGCAGGATGTTGCCAAAGATAATTGGGACCAGATTGGAAAATCACTAGAGAACACAAGAACCAACACGCCAAATGCCGATACTTCTAAAAGCCAAGGCCAGACACAACACCGTAATCAAGCAGACGCGAAAACAAAATCCTACAAGTTGGTTGAATCGGGAAATGGCGCCTCCATTCAGTCAGCCTCGCCTGTTCAGCTTTTAGAGATTGAGCGTTTATCATCGGACCATTTTGGTATTACACCAGCGGTGATGGCTGAAGTATGCGCCACGAATTTAAGCAAGCTAATTATTGACCGTTGTCTTGGAGGCTCGGTTCGATTGAGCAATAAGAAAAACCACAACTTACCTCCCTTGGTCCTTTTGTTGATTGGTAGTGGCAGGTGTGGTAGTAGAGCTTTTGCTACGGGGCGTCATTTAAACAATCATGGTGTTCGTGTACTAGCATTTGTAATCTCCTCAGATGAATCGGACACGGAATTGCATCATCAGTGGAAGATTTTTGAGTCAGTTGGAGGTAAGGTGGTGACATCCAGTTTTGATCTTTTGATTGATATAATACGAAACCAGTTGAATACACCAGTGGAACTAATAATAGATGCTCTACAAGGATACGATGACCATTTGGACGATGTGTTTTACGAACCACAAGATAAAAAGACATTGTCTTCGTTGATCAGCTGGTGTAACTCATCTGAGCAATCGAAGGTAATGTCATTGGATATTCCCTCGGGAATAGATGGTGGATCTGGTATACCTGACGATGAATTAAAAGTTGATTGCTCGTGGTGTATTTCCATGGGCTTGCCGCTCAATGGACTTCTTTTGGCTTACAAAAATGGCCATCTAAACGACGACATTACACACTACTTAATTGATGTGGGCATACCTAATAAGGTGTTCCAAGCCAAACCGAATTTACGGAAATTCGACAACTTCTGGTACACTGCTGAATCGTCGATCAAGTTGGATGTGGAAAGTATATAGTTTTTTTGTACATACAGCTGCTCACATAGAGAATTTAGAGACGAAAAAAAAAAAAAAAAAAAAAAAAAAAAAAAAAAAAAAAAAAAAAAAAAAAAAAAGACAAAAACAGATTCAAGAAATCTTCGTAAACATAGGAATAACAAGTTTTGACAAGACCTATTGCAAACCCGCCCGCCCCCCATTCATCAAAATCCACAATCGATTCTTTGTGATGTTCAATCAGCAAAGCAAGGACAAGTATAGCAATTGGGGTGCTTCATCCTCGTTTGGTGCGAGGGGTAATGGAATGAGCAAGCCACCTACAATATCGAAACCAGGAGCTGGAAATTTCTTTCCCTACAAAGAATCAAGCACTGATTCTAGGGGTGAGAAATTGACACTGGGCAAGAGCTTCAATCTCTTTGGTAACTCTTCAGATCAGAAAAAGCCGGATTTGTGGAGTCAAGTTCTGATGAAGGAATCGTTGTTTTATCCACTTGGTAAAAGTCAGACACTGACCACGAATGAGGATATTATTTTTGGATTACCTGGTGGCACACGAATTCATGAATCAAATGATTTAAATGATAAGCAAAACTTTTCTGGAAGTAAACCACCGCCAAGGAACCTAACCGTTCATAAAGGCAACGGCATACCAAATTTTCCAGTGGAAGGAAGCAACCAATCATCACTGACCTCGATTATAATACCATATAACAACAATAATAATTCAGCTCCACCCAGATCGAGACTCGGAAAGCTTTTCAGTTACTTCAAGAGAGACGCAAAGGAGAAAAGCAAAGCACATACAGTCTTCAAGGCACTGCATGTTACACCTAATACGTTGGCCAACCCTTCCTACAAAGCTATTGACACCAGACGAATTGGAAGCATGAGAAGGCTCGTCCTCAAAACAAAACCAGTAAAGTTTCATCTGATTGATGTGAATAAGGTGTTGGGCTCAAAGAGGGGGGTGGATGTCTCGACAAATATATCAGCAAACAAATTATTAGCCCCCGAGCTCAACAACGAGAACGCTATTGACGAGGTAGAGGAAGAGGTGGAATACAGACCTTTTACAGCGGATGTTACCGAAAAGAATGCAAACTCTGGTGCAGGAGCCAACTCCTCGGCAGAAGAAAAGCAAGACAAGAGTGAGACTACTGTAAAGCAGTATAACGGATATTGGACGTATCCTTCCGTTGACGAACTTTCGCAAATGGATTCTTCCAATCTAGAGAATGTACAAGATTTCATTATCGGAAGAGTTGGATATGGCCAAATTGCATACGACTATCCTGTTGATTTAACAAATATAGTTTCCAATGCTGATGGAAATGGAACTCTGATTGCTGAAGAGCTTTTTGATAACATTGTCACTATAAAACAATCGGCAGTATTGGTTTACAAGGATAATGAAGAGAAGCCTCCTTTGGGCAATGAGTTGAATGTACCTGCTACAATCACTCTCGAAGGTATCAAGCCAAAACCAAACGTGTCCATGAAAGATCACATCAACTACTTAAAATCCCAGATTGGGATGGAGTTTGTGACCTATGACCCAATAACATATGTGTGGGTGTTTAAAGTGAAGCATTTCAGTGTTTGGGGTTTGATTGATGAGGACGATCACAATCAAAAAGACTTGGTGCGATTGAAAAGGAAACAGGATTTGAAAGAAGCTGAAGCACTGGCTGAATATTCGAAGGTGTACTCAAACACCTGTCTTGATCAGGAAGTGAAGAAGCAAAAGTTGAATGAATACTCCAAAGGTGTCCCTGGCGGTTGGGGCTCGGCTTTTCAACTGGAAGACAGTTTGTTGAACTTGAAACGTTCTTATGTTACTGATGAAATTGCTGAAGTTTTGAATCGGTATAGGGATGTCGAAGATGACAACATTGTCAATGAAGTTGGCGGTATTACTATAGATTCCGAAACGGAAGGGGTGGAAGAGATTGACGATATCAAGGTAAATGCTTATGAGCCCGTTATTACTGATGTCTCTGTTTTTGATCAAATTAGAAACAAGTCCACTTTCCCAACTACTGATAACTGGTTGTTGCAATTGGAATTGGCAAATCAGTATAACTCTGCGATGGCACCGATGGCTCCTGAGCGGGATTTCCCAAAAGGTGAATTGAATATCAGTAAAGTCGACGAAATCCTTTTTGCAAGTGCGAAGAGGGGCAAAAACCGTGGTCTAAATGGCTCTAAAAAGACAAAAATTCCGTTGAAGGATGTTTCTGAAAGTGAAATCAAGTTTGTCGTTGATAGGTTGATCCGAAATTGTGAATTCACGAAGCTGTCTAATTTGATGCCACTGCTTGAACCTAGAGGATTAACTTTTGCCACTTTTTTTGACAAATCAGAGAATTCTGTACTTAATTTGCAGATTGAATTGGCGTCAATCTTGTTAGACAGCAGTGATGACGTGGACTCCAAAAAGCTAATCTCTTTCGGAGAATGGCTTCAAAAATATAACGAGACACAGATCAAGGAGCTACTTGAAACTCACCAATCGGATGATATGTATTGCATATTCCTCCATTTGTGTGGAAACCAGAGGGATGATGCTATCAAGAGGGCATTGGGGTCCAACAATTTGCACCTTGCGGCTATTCTTTCTGTGCAAGATTCGCAAGATGGTCTTCTCAAAGAGTTGTGTGCAGAACAGCTAGAGACATGGCAAAAACCAAGCTGGGAAGATTCCATCCCAAACTACCTATTTAAAATTCATCAACTTCTAAGTGGACAAATCGCTCACATTGAAGAGAGCTTGCCGTGGAGTGTCGTTATGGGTATTCACTTGTACTATGGTAATGTTGTGAGTGTAAATGGTTTGATTAATGAACTGATCTCCACCCTCCCCGAAGAAGACCCGACAGCAGATTTGTTTAGATTGTATGTGCGTGGAGTCAACTATACGTCTGTGCTGAGCTCCAAAGTAAGTGGTGTATTGAAGTGGCTTCTTTGCCTCGTGTTGGGCGATTTAAGCGATGATGGGTTATCTGTTGGGCTTGGGGATTCATTAGAGAATGCAGGTTTGTGGAAAGAAGCCTTGGTAGTATATTGTTCCATAAAGAATGAGAATTCAAAACTTGAGCTCATTCGAAATGTGATTATGACCAAGACTGAGGAAAAAAGCATTGATGAACATGATGAAAAGTATTTGACGACGGTTTTAAGAATACCAAAATCTCAAATCCTCGAGGCTAGGGCATTGGAGAGACAAAGTGCAGGTGATTACTGGAGCGAAGTGGATGCATTCATGGAAGTTGGGTTATGGAGCAAGGCGCATGAAACCATAGTTGTACGTCTAGGTCCACAGACTGTGATCAAGAATTGTGCAACGGATACCGCTAAACTTTTGGAAATCATTGGTCAGTTTCCCAAACACGGGTCGATTATCCCATCATGGAACGAGGGGGCTGGAATTTATCAAAACTACCTTAAACTAATCAGTAACAATGAGGATACGGAAGTTATTGTTTTTTTGTTGGGGGCATTGGCTGCTGTCAAACCACAAACAACCGAGCAGAAATTGGCTATCAACATCATAGCCAAGTTTGTTGGAGATTTGGCTTTGGAAAATAGACGGGTACCACATTCACAAATGCAGAAGTTGTTGGGCCTGCCTTTGGACGAGGTAAATAAAGCCTACTTCAAATTGAGACTATCTTAGAGCGTAAATAATTACAGTTCTTAGATAATGCATTATAGCGCTACCATAACATCGATTTTGGATTACAAATACAGAAAAAGCTTACCACTCTTGTCAAAAAAAAACAAAAAAAAACATCAGTATATACTCTTTAATCAAGATATGTCGCCTAGTCAACAAGCGCAGGACCTGATAAGCAGCAAGTTGAAAGAACAAGAACCAGAACACTGTCCTGGCCCGGAGTCTGAAACTGCAGGCAAAGACGATGCTTGCAAAGGATGTGCGAATCAGGAAATTTGCTCTTCACAAATACCAAAGGGTCCCGATCCAGATGTACCTTTGATCAACAGCAGGTTGAAAAACATCCAACACAAGATACTAGTCCTTTCAGGAAAAGGCGGTGTGGGGAAATCTACATTCACATCCATGCTATCGTGGGCTATTGCAGCAGACGAAGAGTTGGAAGTCGGTGCTATGGATTTAGATATATGTGGTCCATCACTACCGCGTATGCTAGGCGCAGGGGAGAATGAGAGCATACACCAATCCAATAGTGGTTGGAGTCCCGTTTTTGTTGCCGATAACTTGGGTCTAATGAGCATCTCTTTTATGCTTCCCGATAGTGATCTGGCGATAATATGGCGAGGAGCGAAAAAGAATGGCCTAATAAAACAGTTTTTGAAGGATGTGGATTGGGGTGAGCATTTGGATTACCTATTGGTAGATACTCCTCCTGGAACTAGTGATGAACATCTATCAGTTACGTCGTTAATGAGGGAAGTTGGTATTGATGGTGCCTTGATTGTTACCACGCCACAGGAAGTTGCCTTGTTAGACGTGCGAAAGGAAATCGACTTTTGCCGCAAGGCAAACATCAAAATTTTGGGTCTAGTTGAAAACATGTCTGGATTTGTATGTCCAAATTGTCAAGGAAAGAGTCAAATTTTCAAGGCTACAACTGGCGGTGGTGAGAAATTGTGCAAAGAATTGGGCATTGATTTTTTGGGATCAGTACCTTTGGATCCACGTATAGGTAGGGCTTGTGACGAAGGAGTGTCATTCTTTGATTTGTACCCTGACTCGCCGGCGTCTACGGCTATCTTGGATGTTGTGGATGCTTTGCGAGATAAAGTGGAGTTGAATATGAATGGGTTGAAGTTGGCATAGGATCAAAAGGCGAAGTTTTGGATACAGATATATAGAATCATCTTCAATATACTATTGGATGAAGCAACGATTTACAACGTTGTATTGCTAGCTTCGCTTCATGATCACTCTGTTTCCTCTCATTGGCTTTATTTCACAATTTCGAGGGAAACACGTTGTGATGCTAAAATTAGCCCTTCACAGAGATATAAAGAAATCAAAAATCAGTGGCAAACTAAACCTTAACTTTCCATAAGGGCTCCTAACCAGTGGATGAATCAAAAGTAAAAGAATGGAATAATCCATTTTATAGAAACAATTTGGTTGCTTTCCCTCTTTCAACCAAGGTTGTGTTACGAGAAAGTGAAGTAAAACAAGGGAGAGGTATCACATACTTGGTCATTCACAATGAGAGGATTTGACAGACTAGTGGAAGAAATATGGAACAGTAAACTGTTGTCCCCATTTTCAGCACTCAGCTACGACACTATAATCACTGTGTTTTGCGGGGACGGGGTTGACATGAAATGCAGCACGTATTTAGTTATTAATATACGCATAGCAATGTTAAAATTGAGTAGTAATTTCAGGTATTCGTATCACTAGAAGAATATATAGTTGGTTTAATCAGTGTGTGAAATTATTTGATCATGTATGACGCGCAATCAATCAAGTCAAGTCAAGTCACTGACAGAAACGCACTATCAGTACTCCTCACACACACACAGAGAGAGAGTTAAAGACATGGGCTTGCTATGTCAACTATAGAAGACATGATAAAGCTGGTTCCAGCTTTCAAAGAATCACGATTGAACTCTTTGTATTCCAACTTTCAGAAAAACAAGCAGTTGAACCCGGAAGGTTATCAAGCAAACATTCAAGCTTGGAAGTCCTTATTCACAACTTTAATAAAGTCAGACCAGTTTGAACCAGAGAGCTCTATATCGATCCCGACTTATCACCCAAGTCTAAAGGAGTCACTCAGCTTACACCCTTACAATGAGCCAAAAAATTTAGACAACATTTTACAAGAGTTTGTTAATGATCGGTTCTTGATCCCAGCATCACTCTACCTGGCTGCTAAAGAAAACTATCTCGTGACAATCAGCGGTCATTTCAGACTATATCAATATCTTTCAGTCAATGCGTGGCAACAATGGCGCGCACTAAAGAGTTATTCTGTTATGAAGCAAGGTAGGCTAGTGGATGAGCGTTTTATCCATTGGGATGAACTAGTTAGAATAGGGCAAAAGGTTGCTACAGTGATTGAAACAAAAATAAGAGGCGATACTTGCTCCAGCATCTTGTTCAACTACAATTTGTTATTTGATGAGTTGTCAAAGTACATTACTGTCACTAAAGTGGATTACGATTTATTATTGAAGTACTTGTCGCGTGACGTTGGATTACTTCAAACAAAAACCATCGATGAAGTTCTTTACATAAAGATATCACAAGAAGGGTTTATTCCAGAAGATGAGGCTATAGTTCAAATGAAACAAACGATCAAAAACCTTGAAACTAGGATCAAAGAGATTGAGACAAAGTTGAGTGCCATTGACTTCAAGTCGGTGTTGTGTCTACCAAAAGAGGCTCAAAAGTCGAGCTTGCGACAGAAAATGGCAACAAAGACAAACTTGGTGAAGCTTTTGAATAGGAATATGAGTCTTGAATTGGAAATGACTACCTTATTGCAGAAAATTGACGATTCAAGTTTCAACTTAGGCTACTTTTCAGTGTTGGAGAATAGTGCTAGGGCCTTGTCTAAAATTAACAGCAAGTTGAAGGTTGACGATGTTGACAGGGTGAAAGCCGATATCGATGAGGAGATTTCAAAAGAACAAGAAATCAGTGACGCTCTCGCTGGAGGTGCCAATGATGAAGATGTGGACAACGAGTTGAATAGGATGATAGAAGAGGAGGAAAAAGGTGACAAGTTGGAGCCTGTTAGTCAGGAAGAATCTGCTGAAAAGGAGAACGGAAACGAAAACAAAGATGGGGAACTTTTGAACAAGTTGGAGAATTTAACTGTCAAGGATGACATAAAAAAGAGTCCTCAAGAATCTCCTGCCAAAGTGGCCGCACTTGAATAATCGCAATCATAGGTACAAAGTATAACTAACACATTCAGCGTTAAGGCTTATTATACAGACATATAGCTTCTATCCTAAAATTTGTAGAATCTGTTGAGTCAAGTTATACAATTCCACTTTTGGATCTTCATATTGATCATCAGGATTGGCTTGTCCATTCCTGTCGTTTTGATTCAACTGCAGTTGGGAATTGCTCATTTGCTTGATACCTGTAAGTATTGCCTCATCCTCCTTGATAAAACTATTGAATTCAGGGCTGTTGCATTCCAACAATTGCAATATAGTCCACAAGGCAATATGCTCAAACGTCGCGCTTCCCAGCTCCAAAAATCTAATCAAAAATCCGTGAATACCTTCATTCGGATGTTGCCAGTTGTTTAAAATATATTGCTTGTGGTCGGGTGACACTCTTGAGCACAAATTGGCCAAGGCAGCAGCCGAGTTTCCACACACTTCCCCATTCTCAGAAAATGTTAGTGGGATCAAGACGTCAATAATGTGCGCTTCATACAACTTTGGTTTCAAGTCATCTGCCAATGCCAAAATTGCAAAACAAGCACTGATCTCCAGTTGCACCGATAATGGCACTTTAAGAACCAAATCCTTGCATTTATCAACAGCGCCAGCTGCCAACAAGGCAGTTCTGTTCTTCTCACTAGACGCTGCCAAATTTCTCAAAGTGGATACTGCATGACATTGAATCTCTTCCGAGTCAGTGTAATCTAACAAATCAACCAATGGTTTTAAAAAACCTGCTTCAATAATCAAAGCCTCGTTCAAAGGGTGGATGGAAATGTTCCTAATGCAAGCAACAGCAGCAAGAATTAATGGCTGGTGGTTACAGGTCAACAAATGAACCAAATGTGGTAAACCTCCAGCTCTTACAATCTCAACTTGATATCCACTATCTGAAGCCAAGTTTCGCAAAGCCAATGTAGCTTGGCATTGGACTCTGGGTGACGGACTATCCATCAAATTCACCAATTGACTAACAAGTTTAGGTTCAGTGTTTGCCAATTTCCTTCGATTGGCTTCATCCACAGCAATGTTGGACAATGCCGTTGTACAATAGTACTGGACATCAGCGTCGTCATTGGATAACAATGACACCAATACAGGTACTGCACCAGCATTCACCAACTCTTGTCTATTTTCACCCAGATGCGTCATATTCAAAAGTGCACCAGTCGCATTCCGTTGAACTCTGATATCCTTCAGCTTGGCCAACTTTGTTAAGGGTATCAATGCTCCGCTCTTGGCAATTTTGGATTTGTTATCATCTTGCGTGGCTAAATTGGTTATACACCCCACAGCATTACACTGAACTTCAATGTTTGTTGACATCATCTGTCTAATCAATGGTTCTAATCCACCCATTTCAACAATAAGAATCTTATTTTCGGTGTTTACTGCCAAATTACCCAAGGCACCACAAGCAGCTCTTTGCACCTCTGAATCGTTGGACTGAAGTAGAATCAAAATAGGCTCCAATACGTCCCTGTTTACCTCTCTGACATCCTTTTCGGTAATTTCAGCAAACGCCAACGCCGCACTCCTTTGCAAGTCGATATTCTCGGAGTACACCAATGTACTGAGAGCACGCAATGGCCCATTACTGAAAAAGTCCACATCCGACCTGTTTTCCAAGTACTGCAATAATGCAGATATTGCCTCCCTTTCATTCTCGGCTAACAAAAGTTGGTTTTGACTTCCATCTCCGCCGTGTCCGCTTAAACAACTACAGCATGCACCCATGTTTTGAGTAGTTTATGGTTTATATTTGATGATGACTGTTGGTGTGGAAAAGGGGGGTGGGGTTGCGTGGCAAGTAGTGAAAGTATTGACTGACTCGTTGAATTTTTCTGTTGATTGATTGCTGATTATTTCAATCAAATTGCCCTTGCTCCGCGTCTCCAAACTTCAAAAGAATTATTAGGTAGTGACGTGTGTATATCCGTCAGCGACTGTGAGTCTTAAATGAGGTGATGGACGAAGGTGTGAGTACACTGTAAGTTGAAGATTGGAGTGATAAATTGTCTTTGAAAGCTCGTGTAGTTCTATCTCTGGTTTCGTTTCGTTATCGTATTCATTCTCTTTCGCTTTCTCTTTTTCTGTCTCTCTCTCTCTCTCTCTCTCTCTCTCTCTCTGAGAAGTTTGTAAGTGTCGCATAACTGTTTGTCGCAAAGCTATTATATCTCTTATCACATGACCTTCACGCGCATGTCATGTGCTCCTCTACATCAAATATCCTCCATGAACAAAATTTAATTCTTTTCCAAAAACAAAAACCCAATCTGCAGTTACTTTTCTTTCGCAGCTCGTAAACATTCATAGGGACCTTACATTCCAGACTCTTGTTGAGTCGCTTTTATCTACTAACTAGAGCATTACGATGAAAAGCAGCACCTGGATTGATAGAACTAAGGAGCTTCTGCATGTCATAGCAGACCCTTTTTTACAAGATCATAACAAGACATGTTTGGACGAAAATACCGACCCCGAGTACTTTCTAAAAGAGTCTGAGAACAAGCTTGATGCGTTTATCAAAACCACTATAGTAAAATCAATGGATTCGTCTATATTCCTACCACCTGCAATTAGAGAACGTCGAAAAAGGAAACCAGAAGAGGATTTACAAAATGAATTGAAAGCAAAGCTTCGTCGCAGCGTGCAATCCTTGCGTGAAGCTAAAAAGGAGCCAATAGTGCCTTCTTTAAAAACTCAAGATCAAATTGACGAGGAGGAGATGGCGGAATTCTTATCATCAAACATAGACCAGTTGGAAATTATGTCCATGCCAGAACACTATCCTTCTAAAACGCAATCTGTATGCTCATTGACCGAGCTTTATTATTTGACTCAAACTCTAGCTTCCAACAAATTACTTCCAGGGAGCCATAAAGCATTAATGACAGAAAATTACGAGTTGGCGCTTTTGGAGGGCAAAGTGGCAGTGTTGTATTCTCGCATTGAGGAATTGAAAAGGCAAGGAAAATGGTCTTCAAGGCAACCCAAAAGATACAGTGATCCATTTGTTGCTAGAAAAGGCAAATCAGGTAAATCTCAACTGACATGGGACTATTTATTAGAAGAGGCCAAGTGGATGGCTGAGGATTTTCGCGAGGGGAGCAAGTTCAAGAAGTATTGTTGTGTAATTATTGCTCAAGCAGTACAAGATTTCTGGCAGCTTGGGAAAGAAACGACTTGCGTAAAAAGAAAGCCCATACCGCTCGAAGCAGAGATAATCGAGAGTGCAGCAGACGGGGCTGGTATTACCGATGCACAGTCAATCGATGTTGTGAGTACGTCTGTGGAACCGCTGTTGATCACTGGAGACAAAGTGGACTCTTTTGATGATACCTCCAAGAAGACGGCATCTGATGTGTTTTCGTCTGTTTTCGTTAAAAACAATTCCACCGCATATGTCGATCTCGAGGACTTGAATAAGCACGCAAGATCCATTGTCAAGTCTATACCAAATCACACTGTACTTGACGTTAACAATAAGGGAAAATCTAGAGAATTAGAGCCGCACGACCCACCTTTAACAGCAGTATCGAAACTATTTTTGCCTTTTGAAAAAGATCAGGGTTGGCACAAGCTTGTTTTGAGAAAAAGTGCAGCTGAGAGATTGGAACTGCGTAATCCACCTGAATACCAAAAGGGTGTTTTTGGAACTCAAGCGCATCGCAAGTTCCATTATCTCAAGCCTCCAAAGCCACCATTGTTGGCAAATATAGAGCTTAGGTCTCCAACGATTTGGCTGCCCGAAGATGACAAAAAGCTCATACATTACGTTGCCGAATTCTGTTTCAATTGGGACCTTATTGCGGAGCATGTTCAAGCAGCTTCTTTTGCACCTAGCTTAAGAAAGTACGAATCCAATATCGAACGAAGAACACCATGGCAATGTTTTGAGAGATATATTCAGCTTAATCAAAAGTTTCAGTTCTCGGATATGAAGGGCAGTTATGCGTTCCATGCTCAGCAATGGCTTGAACAAGCACACAAGACCCAGCTGACAACTAAGAGACGGGTGTCTCCTCTTGGAGTTGCGTCTGATTCCATGCAACGAGGTCATCGGAAGTTACGGTGGGCATCTATGTTTGATGCTATGCGTAAAGCTATGAAAAAGAGAGAGATTGCTCTTGCCAAGATGAATCATCGCAGGAGTGCCACAGATGTGCAGCAAGGTAATCAACAAGGTGCAGTACTGAATGGTGATAAACGCCCCAATCCTAGCAAAACACCAACACCAACAGAGTTGTCCAAGTTGAAGTATGAAAGAGATAAGTCGATACAACAAAACTCGAGAGCCCGGCTTATGGCAGCAGTTGCTCAACAGCAGCAGCAACAGCGTCCACAGCACATCCCACAGCACATCCCACAGCAACAACAGCAGCAGCAGCAGCAGCAGCAGCAACAACAACCAAATATACCCCAACAACCACAAACACCTCATCAGTCCCAACAACAATTACCCCAACAACAATTATCTCAGCAACAACAAATTCTCCTTCAACAGCAAATTTCACAACAAAACCAACAGCTGCTGCAGTTTACTCCACAACAGCAGCATCCTCAAATTCATCCAATGCAACAAAGCAACATGTCACTGCAAGGTCAGGCCAATCATCATCAGATTCAGCAATTGCAACAGCAGCAACAACAACACATTCAGCAATTGCAACGACAACAGCTACAGCAGCAGCAGCAACAGCGGCAGCAACAGCGACAATCACTTACCCAACAGCAGACTGCTGTCCAGCAACAGTACACACCACATCTGCAGCTGCACCTGCCCAATCTACAGCAACAACAACTATTGCAGCAACGCCCTCAACTGCAACCACAACAACTTCATGTGCAAAACCTGCAACAACAAGTTCAAAGCCGTTTCCAGAACCAACCACAATATGTTCAAGCAAACTCTCCCGAGTTTCTGTCATCTGCCCCAACACCTCGACCAGAGCAAATTTTGCAAAGAGCTCAACGTGCTGCTTTGAATGGTTTGTCGTCGCAAACTCAAGCAACGGTAAGGGATTCTCAATACCCTAAGAGCCAGGTTAAGATTCCTACGACTAAGGACGGGAAACCTTTGACAAATGAGCAAATACATCAATTATTGCAAATGGAGAAGCAAAGACGGCTTTTGCAGCAGCAGCAACAACAACAGCAGCAGCAGCAGCAACAACAGCAATTGCAGAATGTGGATTTCCTGTTATCTCCGAGTATGGGAATCGCCTCGCTACCACAAGCTCCGATCTCGCCGCAGGTTAATCAGCAACAACTGCCAGCCATTTTAAATAATGCCCAATTGCCGATTGCATCTCCCAGTATGCAATTTCTGCCGGTCAAGGCTGATGGCCAACAAAAGCGTGCAGTTTATTATCAAGGACAACCGCAACAACAGCAACAGCAACAGGCACCCCCTGTGCAATCCACTCTGCCTAATATTCAGCAAAGACCTGTGCAACAGCAAGTGCGCCAACTGCGTCCCAGGCTTCAATTTCCGCCTGCTCAGATCTCTGCAATCATCAACTCCATACAGACACAGAACCCTACGTATACAAAAGAGCAGGTAACAAAGTTGGCAGCCCAGTATTTGAATACTCTTCAGCAGCAAGCCCATAATAGAGCTAACAAGAATGCACAAGTACAAGCGAATAATGGAATGTCGCTGCAACAGGCTCAGCAATTAAGAGATGGTGGCTCTTTAGGAAGCAGCAGGGCCAGTAATACCTCTAGCCCTCAATTAAATCAAGCTAATCCTAAGAGTCAAGGTTAATAGGCAACTGTATGTATTCGTTTCATGAGTATTAATTTATCTGCTACCAATTGCAAATTAATTTTTGACTCCTGCAAAGGAGAGGACGGTAGAAGCGGAAAGACGGGAAGGCGAGAAGGCGGCGGCGGCTTGGATCCATAGTATACATTCTACTCTGTTATACCTGGTAGTACTTTATGACTCTTGTAGTATCAACGTCGATTGATGTGAACCTTAGTCCTTGGTTTTTTTATCTAAACCACACTAATCGCCAATAAATTTGGTTGAAATAGAGTTGGATTTTCGCATCAACAAAAAACGCCAACTATCCTCATCACCACGGCTTCACACACATCGCCCTCGCCCTCGCCCTCGCCCATCCCATGTCATTGACTAAAACAAACCTCGACAATATCTTGCCGCTTTTGGGTAGGGGAAAAGTCCGTGATATATACGAAGCTGATCCATCTACGCTATTGTTTGTCGCCACTGACCGTATATCTGCTTACGATGTCATAATGGAGAATGGTATCACCGATAAGGGTAAATTGTTAACCAAGCTTTCTGAGTTCTGGTTCGACTTTTTGCCCATTGAGAACCACTTGATAAAGAAAGACATTTTCAAAGAATATCCACAATTAGAAAAGTATAAAGATCAATTGCAAAATCGTGCATTGTTGGTTCGTAAGTTGAAACTCATTCCATTGGAAGTTATTGTCAGAGGATACATTACTGGCTCAGCTTGGAAAGAGTACAAGAAACTGAAAACTGTCCACGGGTTACCAATCGAAGAGGAATTGGTTGAGTCACAAGAGTTTAAGACTCCGATTTTCACCCCTTCCACAAAGGCAGAACAAGGAGAGCACGATGAAAACATATCTCCAGCTCAAGCAGCAAAAATTGTTGGACAAGATTTATGTGATAGATTGGAAAAAATTGCCATTGATTTGTATGTCAAGGCCAAAGAGTATGCAAAGACTAAAGGTATAATTATTGCTGATACAAAGTTTGAGTTTGGGTTGGATGAGAACGATAACATTGTTTTGGTCGATGAAGTGTTGACTCCTGACTCGTCAAGATTTTGGAGTGCTAAAACATACGAAGTTGGTAAGTCGCAGGATTCGTACGATAAACAATTCTTGAGAGATTGGTTAACCAGTAATGGATTGAATGGTAAAGACGGTGTTAAAATGACGGACGAAATTGTCGAAAAGACAAGAGCAAAATACATCGAAGCTTATGAGCAGTTGACTGGTGATAAATGGACATAAGAAGTTTGTTTTTTTTTTTCTTTTTTTTTTTTTGACTTATTGTCATTGATTAGTTTATTCGGTATTTACGTATCTCCATATTTTTCTGTCGTTCATATTCGTCGGTAACCCTAAACTTTGGGGCTTCGCTCGTCGTGTTTAAGTTTCTCATTCGTAAAATGCTCATGTCCTCATAATCTCGAGGGCCGCGGGGCCTTGATTTCAATCTGTCACTAACTTCTTTTTCCACTACCGACCAAAACTCTTTTTGGTACGCTAAACGTACTTCTTTTGCTTCCAAGTCTAATGCTTGTTTTTTTAGATTGAATTCTTCAATCATGGTATCTTCTATCTTATGCAATTGGTTCTCCCTGTCTTTCAACTTGTTTTCACGGTCATTCAACTTCAACTCCCTTTCTTTACACCTATTTTCCCGTAGTTGAATATATTGATCTTTTTTCTTCAATTCTTCACTCTTGTTGATTAATTCATACTTTAGGCTGTTGAGCGTCTGGTTGTACTCTTTTAGTTCCATTTCCTTCCGTAAAAATTTTATGCTCAAAGAGTTGATCAAGTCGTAGCACGTTGGACGGAGTTCGGGATCAACTGTTATGCACTCTCTTATTAGAGATCTTAGTTGGACGGAGTAAAAGTCCGACACGGGGGGGATTGTTCCTCGTTTGATTTTGGATTGAAGTTGTAAATGCGTTTTTGCTTGGAATGGAGGGTGTTGGTTACACAATTCATACAAGACACACCCCAAAGACCAGATATCACAAACTGGCAGGTATGGCTCATCCATCAAGACTTCAGGTGACATGTAATACGGTGTTCCGACATAGGTTTTGGCAAAGTCATTCGATGTAGTCAACATTTTAGCGAGTCCAAAATCACCAACTTTAACCACACCATGCTCAAGAAAAATGTTGTCTGGTTTAATGTCACGATGGATTATTACGGAATCGGAGTTGATCTGCGGCATGTTGTCATCTTCTCGCGAAGCATCGCTGAACAACTCAACTTTTGGGGCATCGGATCCGTAGTGGCACCGGTACAATGCTGACAACGTTTGCACTAAAACCTGCCATATAAATTCCTCGGGCACGTTTTCTTGATTGCTTTTAAAATCTTTTATCAAATGGGACAAATCGCCTCCCGAGCAGTACTCCATGTATATGTGTATGGTTTTAGACTCTATTATATGATCGTGTTTGAAATATCTCACAATGTTTTTATGATTCAATTCTTTAAGTATACGTAGCTCGGATATGATTTGGTTCCTCTCTTGGCCATTCATTGATTTATACTCGATTTCCTTTCGAACAAGGATTGAATTGTCGAGCTTGTTACGAACCTTTCGTACCGTGCCATAAGATCCTTTCCCTATTACTTCAAGAGGCTCGTAGTCGCTGCTCATAGTGGCTGTAGTGCAAATGTGACTACTTGTAGAACAGGAGCACGAAAAGACGACACTTTTCAAAAAGTCGCTTGATTTTGGATAAATATTCTGTCAAAAAAATATGAACCGAAATTGCTCGATTGGGTGAAAATGAAAACAATGATACAAACAAGAAACACTGCGCAAACCCCAAATACCTAATTGCGCTTTTAGCTGATGGGAAGAAGAGTGTCATGGTGAATCTACATTTGTTACATGAGCAAGCGCAAGCAACCAAGCCAGCTCTTTTAGTGGACAGAAAGAGACCAACTAAGTATTCCCACACCCACAACAAAAGAAATATGAGACTGTTTTCCAGCTCAGCCCCAAATATAGTGGAAGTTTCAGACATTGTTCTTCAACTTCAGGAGGGAAATGTCATGCTACGCGTGATTTAGCGCCTATTATTAATAGCACGAATACAAAAGATGGATATACCTTGCTAAGCACAATCAACTGGTGAACTCGTGGAAAAGTATTCTTCCTACACCAAAATAGAATATCTGTGTATATTTTTGGATTATTCCAACTACAAGCAATATAAAACAACCGCTGAAAAGAGTAACATGCACACAGTCGTGCCCCCTGCAGTAGTAGCACTGTTTCCATTTGAAGTGGTAGAACTTGACCCGGGGGAACTAGCGCTCGATTGGGAGGCGGAACTGGATTGCGATGCAGTGGCGTTTGCTTCTGATGACTCTTCTAACACGACAAACTGCAACTCTTCCTCGCCATTCATGCAATACACCTCTGTTCCGTGCGAGTGACACCCGGTGTAGTTGGACTGTGGGCTTTCTTGGCTTGGTTCAATACGTCCCTCGTTTCCTTCCCAATCAATACAGTACTGTGTATCACCATGCATATGGCAATCAGTAATGGTACTGTTTGCAGCAGCATGCTCATGATGGTGGTGTTCATCTTCGTCTGCCCTTTCAACTAAAACACTATTCCCAAAAGAGGCTTCCCCAATCACTGCGCTAGCACAAACTTCAGCTGCAAAGATCCAAACCACTGAAACGCTCCTCAAGACTGTGAACTTCATCGTATGACTTTCAGATTAGAAAAAAAAAGAAAGATGTGCTTGTCAACTCATCTGGAATCAAATATCGAGCGAGTCCGAAACTGAGCAGTTATATAGAGTTTTCATAACCATCATCATTGGCGTCTCTGAAGCTTGAGTAGCTTCATGTGCATGTAGATGCCAAGCAAAACCAATCCTGAAATAAATTAGAGTTTGGCAAGTAAATTGCTCATTTCGAACAGAGTCTTCATTTCGTCAAAGTTGACCACAGAACGGTTCTTTACTAACTCTCGATGTTATTTAGGACTCAAAGATGCAAACTGTGTTGCTTTTCTTTGAATTTCAATGGTTGCGCAGTATTCTTTGGTTGGTAATTTTTGAAGCATTGTACTGGCTTTGGTTATTTTCCAATTTCAACTTCTTGTGATTTTCCCATCCTCTCGATGCTTTCGGCTATGAAAGGTAACTGAAAACAACATATTCATCCACAAGATTGTACCCATTCAAACGAGTGTGTTTTTTTTTCTTGGTACTTTTAGCAATAACCTCCAAGGTGAAAAAAAAAACTTCCTCACCAATCCATGTCCCACCCTCCTTTTCAATCTCTTCCTAAAGCTTAAAGCGTACACCAAGAAAAAATATCGGTATTTGTGTACTCAACTAAACTAAATTCATAAATCACAAATCTCGAAAACTAACTTAAGGGTTTGACTCTCTATTTTACAGATAGAAGAACGATACAGAAGTCGAGTTCAGACAAAGACGTCCAAGCTGTTTAGAGTTCACATGATAATCTGAAGTCAATGGTCTACCATGGAATCTTAAATTTAGGCTGCCCATTGCAAGACACGAAAGAGCTATCGCGTCAAATCGTTAGACTGAATATATTCACTAAAGATACTTGTGAACTCTATCACACACACACACACACAAACACCCATGAGGGGCATAGTTCAAGGCTTCTTTTCTGTTTGTTCGGTGTGCACCGTAGGTCTAGGTGTAGATTTCTTGCGTTTAAGAAAAGATTTGCAGAGAGGTTGTATGGTTGCAAAAAGAAAAAAATAAAAAAATATGTACCATTAAGGCAGTCTATGTACAATAAATCGCTTGTGTAGCACATGCCTAAGCCCACTTTCCTAACAAACTCATAAGAATCAACCCTCCAATCAATGCAATCATTGCCAACGTAGTATGTACCACACCTGCGCGGCGCAAGCTTCCGAATAACCAGTCGTGTGCCCACATTTCAATCAAGCCTGTCCACAACAAAACACCGGCTGAGAATGAATCCAAAGTTCCCAATGCAACAATTGTTGAAGGATCATTTCCATTAAACTTGTGAAGGGTACCGATTCCAATTGCCATACCTATCGGAGTTATGATTGCAAAAACACCTGCCATGACAACCTTTGACCACACAGAGTCCCTCAATTCACTTATTCTTGATCCAAGTGCCAACCCTTCAAAGAACTGGTGAAACACAATGACAATGAATAGAGTAATGAAGTATGAATCAGCAGCGACAACCAAGGTTATACCGATCAAAGTTGAGTGGAATACAATTCCTGCTTCAAGGATTGCAACGGAAAGCTTGTCGTGCATGGATTTCGAAGATTCTGGGAGTGACACGGTTTTCTCCTCATCAGACACTGTCTTGGTTGCAACATTTGTACCTCTGTCATCTTCTGATGAATTTTCTTTGGCAGTGGGGAGTTTATCCAACCTGCGAGATAAGAACCGATAAGCAACGTACTCAATCACAAACGCAATAAAAATACCCGCCATAGTTATTGACGCTCCGGTTCCTTCGTAAACCAAATGGATACATTCGCTAGACCACATTAAAAACGCATGGGTCATTAAATGGACCAAAGCAGTGGAAATAACTACACCCGTGCCAAATTGCTTGATTATGGTAATGACGACGTTTTCAGATGATATCTTAAAGACTGAGCGTAATACCAAAGGACCAAAAGAGCCAATTGCGCTGGTGACCAATATGACGAACAAGAGCCCAATTCTTAAGGGAATGTTGTAATCTCTATCTATTCTTTCACAAGTTCCTCCATTTGCTCCAAGTACTGTGTTACCATTTTCATCGACACAATGTTCAACTCCGGCATGGAAATGGCACGAAACACCTGACGTGGAGCTTGATTCAGAAGTGGTGGTACTTGCATCTGATGACGTGTCTAACACGACAAACTGCAACTCTTCCTCGCCATTCATGCAATACACCTCTGTTCCGTGCGAGTGACACCCGGTGTAGTTGGACTGTGGGCTTTCTTGGCTTGGTTCAATACGTCCCTCGTTTCCTTCCCAATCAATACAGTACTGTGTATCACCATGCATGTGGCAATCAGTAATGGTACTGTTTGCAGCAGCATGCTCATGGTCGTCGGCCCTTTTGATCAAAACACTATATTCTTCATTCAAAGGGTTTCTCACTGTCAATGCATCAACAAAACTTTTTGCGAGGAGTCCAAATATGGAGACTCTTGCCAATACTGTGTATTTCATCTTATCGTGTTCTGTTTCAAAGAGTCATCCTGAGTGGCATATTCAGTTGAAAAGTTCTGCAAACATGTAGCTATATAGTGTCTCAATACATCGTCATAACTACTACCATCATTGTCCATGGCACATGGGAACTTTCCGTTAAAAAAAATAATAATAAAAAGGTAATGCCAAGCAAATAGTATCCTTGTATTGTAGAATTTTTCCATCAAACTTCAGAATTAGAGTTTTCAACTACTCTTATTTCATGGATGCCAGTGGCAGAGACATTGAGTAACTCTTTGTTAAATCGCCAAGAGTAAGCATCCAATACACTACTGCCGCGATTGTTTTTTCTTGGAATGGTCTGTTCGTTCAAGTTACTTGCTGAGCTGATTTGGCCATCGCTTGTGGTAATGCACAAATTTCATCTGTGAAACTCCGTATCCAGTTTGATATACATATGCCATCCGGTTCAGCGATTGTTCCGTTATAGCCTTGTTTGCCATGGTGTAACAACAAGTTTCGTGTGTAAGATGGGTATTACTTTACGGTCTTGCTAAGTATTTTTCTTGGTACCCAATAACCACCAAGGTAGAGTGGTTTTGAATTCATCTCTACAAAAAATCACATTTCACAAGAAGTGTACCAGAAAATACAGTAGCGAAGGCGTAAGGTTGTGTATCTTGCTGTATTGAAGTCGTAGACTTGTTTTCTTTTTTTTGGTATGTGAGAATTGGTGTTGAAAGCAAAATCTGTCCGAAACATGACGTACATTGGTCTATGAGATATATTAGACAGATTATTACACTTGGATGTGAACAACGCACTCATTGTTTTTCTTCTAATCTCTCAAGATTCTCAATAAATCGTAAACCGATATTTTGCATCAAATTTGCACAATATTTGTTGCTAAAAAAAAACAATTCTACAATTAGAAAAACAACTTTTTGTGTCTACACCTGTTGCGTGATGAAAACATCTCCATAACAACATCATTGTTGAGTCAATCTTTGATATACACTGTGTTGGAAACCGTCATTTAGTGAAAATACTTTCCAGAGATGTTGCAAAAAAAAAAAAACAACACAAGTACCCTGTACGTGACTTGGTTTGTGGAAGACAACGCTACCAATTTCAAACTCGTGACACGCGAAAGACACAAAATCCATTTTTTTCTAAAAAGATTCACGCGTTGAAAATAAACAAACAAAGTGAGACGGCCAATCTTGTTCTCACCACTTGATTGAAGTTGCTTCTTGTAATTCCACACAGTACCATCACATCCATCATGTCTTCCAACATAGATGTCAAGTTTGCTGGAACGGGCAACGAAAAGCAGTTTATTAGGCAGTTGGATGAAAAAGATCCTTCCACCATTAGATTCATTGATCACAACAACAAAGATTATTTCACCTGTTTACAAGGAGATGCTGAGTTGATAGCAGACGAAATATACAAAACCAGATCAGTCATTAAAACATCTGAAAAGACACAATACGTTACAATCTCACCACAAGTGTTCCAAAATGTTTTAAAGTTCTGCTTATTGGAGAAGCAATTTAGGGTTGAGATTTACCACAACCGAACTTACCAGTTGCTAGTTAGTGGCACTGCTGGTAACCTTGAAAGCATAAGCAAAGAGTACGATATAAACTTTGAATTTCAGGACAGCTCCAGCTCATCTATTGCTGCCATCAAGTTACAGGGCAACTCTGTGGGTGTTTGTATAATCGAAGACTCTCATATACATCTTTGTGAATTTGAGGATAATGAGTTGTATTCGAACTTGGAAGGATTGCTATTACAATTTGGTATAAAGGAAGTTTTATTGCCCAATTTGTCAGAGAAAAAGCTCTTGCAGGTGATCAACAAGATTGGTAACATTGTGGTGAGTACAATTTCAGCTTTTAATACCAAGAATATTGAACAAGACTTGGTTAAACTATTGGAGGAGGATAATATTCAAATGGTGTTTTCGTCAAAAGGTATGAAATTGTCGGAGTATTCGCTTTCGTTATCATGCTGCAATGCACTTGTAGCGTACTTGGAATTGCTTGATAACGACTCGAAGAATTACACCATTGATAAGTATGACTTGTCAGAATACATGAAGCTAGATTCTTCAACAATGAAAGCATTGAATGTGTTTCCAGAGTTTAAATCAACATCGATAAACTCCATATTCGAGCTCCTTAACAAGTGCAAAACTTCCGGGGGCTCGAGATTGTTGTCACAATGGTTGAAACAACCGTTGACTAGTGTTGAGGCCATTCAAGAACGTCAATCTTTGGTTCAGTTGTTGATGGAGGATGCCAGTTTGAGAGTGGCTGTACAAAATGTATTAGCACAAGTCCCCGATATCAAGAGATTACTAAAGAAAATGTCAATCACAATAGGCAAAACAGGAAATGAAAATAAGAAATTAGAGGATTTGGTGAGATTGTACCAGTTGGTGCTTGTTTTACCAGATTTGATTGAAGTTTTGAAAGGTCAAGGAGAATTAGCTACCAAGTACTGGCTCGACCCACTCGCAAAACATTACCAATCTTTGCTCAAATTTCAGGAGCTTGTGGAAACAACTGTTGATCTCAAGGGATTGAATGATCTACATTCGAATTTTGATATCAGGCCCGAATTTGATGCTTCTTTAGTCTCAATAAATGAAAAGAAGCAATCTTCGCTTGAACTGATAAAGCAGTTGCACTTGCGTGTTGCTGAGGATTTGAATATGGATCTGGAGAAAAAGTTGAAACTAGAGCAACATCCACAGCATGGATATTGCTTGAGACTCACCAGGAACGATTCAGTTGTGTTGCGTAACAACAGGAACTATATTGAATTGCAAACTGTTAAAGCAGGAGTTTACTTCACCACTGGTGAATTGAGGAAATTATCTCAAGTTTATTCAAACTCGTGCGACGAGTATAATATCAAACAGCGCGAATTGATTAGAGAAGTGCTTTCGATTTCATTAACCTATCAAGGAGTGTTTTCCGCTTTGAGTTTAGATCTTTCCCATTTAGATGTGATTACCAGTTTTGCCAATGTGGCGTTACTTGCTCCAACGACGTTTGCAAAGCCAAAATTGACACCTATGGACTCTAAAGAAAGAAAAGTCAGTCTCCATGATTCAAGACATCCTTTGCTTGAAGTGCAAGATGATGTCGAGTTTATTCCGAATGATGTGCTCATGGGCGAGAAGTTCTTCAATATAATTACGGGACCAAATATGGGTGGTAAGTCCACATACTTGAAGCAAATTGCCACTACCGGGCTCATGGCACAAGTAGGGTCATTTGTTCCTGCGCAGCCAGGTGCCGAGTTGCCCATTTTTGATGCAATTTTGTCGCGTGTTGGTGCTGGTGATTCCCAATTGAAGGGTTTGTCGACGTTTATGATTGAAATGTTGGAGACGTCGTCTATATTGGCAACGGCAACTTCAAACTCGTTGTTGATCATTGATGAATTGGGAAGGGGGACTTCCACATACGATGGGTTCGGACTTGCATGGTCTATTCTGGAGCATCTCATACAAACCAAGAAATGTTTTGCTTTATTTGCTACTCATTTCCATGAATTGAACAAACTTGCTGAAAAGTATCCTGAATCTGTTGAGAATTTGCATGTTGTTGCTTACGTTGAGAACAAGGATGATATTACATTGATGTATAAAATCGAGCCTGGTATTTCATCCAAATCATTTGGGATCAATGTTGCCGAAATGGTGAAATTTCCAAATAAAATCATCAATATGGCCAAGAGGAAAGCCGATGAGCTACAAAATAGTACAAACTTGAAAAAGAGCCGGGTTGATGGTAAGCAAATCAAGCAGGAGGTGGAGGAATTGAAGTCTGTTTTGAAGAAATGGAGAGAACAGAACCATCAAGATGTTTCCACCGCTGGTGAGAGTTTAAAAGAGTTGTTGAAGAGTACCACCAATGGGTATATTTCAGAGTTGATACAAACTTTGTAAAAAAGGCTGTGGTTTGTATTGTGTAGATCTATGCATTCTAAATAAAGTCTAAAGTAGTATTCAATGAGCAGTCACAACCCCCCTCTCCTTCTCTCCTCTTCTGTCATCATTGCGCTATTGCAATTATGGCTGCTTCGTTTTACCATTATATTGGTCCTGTCTTCTCACAAGTGCATCTTGCTCAGCCAATATCTTGATGGACTTGTGTTTTTGCAACCCGATTGGATCAATACATTTGACCACGGGCCAGCCCCAAACCCATTGGATAGTGTAATATTCATCAGTTCCAGTTAAGAAACACCTCAAGTATTCTTCAAATATTAAGCAGTAGTAAACTCCACTTCCAGTGAAAATATGCCACCATCCATGACCTTCCAATACGAACCCGTATGGTATTCCCCAGTTCCTTCTGGTGGACCTTACTTGGTCACATAAATGAATGTCCAAGTTCCATAATAAATAACCAAAAACAAACAACCCGATACCAAGAGTTGCCAACCCGTACATTTGTCGTCTGATTTTCTCATCACCAACGTGCTTGGAGCATAATTTAAAAGATTCGTAACCTGCAACGAAATTCAAGGCAGCATATGCAGTTTGGTGGATGGTGGGGTTACGAAGTTGTAAATAAACAATGGTCAAGGTTGCAGCAAACAGGAATACACTCAATCCAACAAAGAAAGATTGTCTCTTTGTTTTGAATTCACTAAAGATTGACCAAAGTGGGATGCAAGTAGTGTAAATCATAGGCAATTCATCCAATAATTGGAAACGGTATTGTAAGGTCATGTGGAAAAGCCAGGATCCTAATCCAACGAGGAAAAATCCTGCACTTGTCCATATAAATCTCTGTTCAAGATGGTTTTGAATTGCATAGTAGACGGCAAAGAGTGCCAACAACATAAAGAATGCATTTGTGGTTGTGTTGAGCATTTCGGCGATATAAGTGGATACAACGTAGTTTTCCTCGCACCAGTCAATGGTTGAAGTTGGTATTCCCCAATACCCATCTTTCTGTTCTGCCGGGTATGGCCAAGCGAAGGGCAACATTTTGCTGTTAACTGACCGAGCGGCTAATTCTACAAGGTGAAATTTCTTTGTTAGCCCTGATTGTGAGTAGCTAACGTGTTGTAGAAGTGTGAGCTAAATGCTTAAGTGCAGTGTGTGATGTTTATGATGATGATGATGATGATGATGATGATGATAGCAGTAGGGTTTTAGAAACCGACTAGTTTCAGCACTGTGTTGTATATTATCTAAGTTGCTACCACATACATACATACATGATTCGGAAGTAAAGGGAAAATAAAAAAAAACAAGAATGTGATTAACGCACGCACACGCACCGCTCTAATAAGTTGGTATTTTAGCTACGCTCGGTTTTAAAATTCGGTCAAACACAGATACTCCTGGTATAACCGAAAAGAGTAATTTTGAACTTCAACAAGAGCGTCATTCTGTTACTTCGTATTCTTATAAAGACGTAACTACAGAAACAACAGGTGCAGACAGGTGATACCTTGAAGTTGTCGCTTCCTTTTATTTATTGTTTTGTCTATCCCCCCCCGCACCGTGGTTCAAGTAGCGCAAAGTAACCAGTTTTTGTGTCGCGAGGTGTCAAGCTGGCCCTCAATATTTTTCTTGACATTGGCTATAGACCCTGTCTGTTTGAGTTCTTAGAATAGTCCACATATTTATTCATTGCAGGAAACTATTAAAGGTTAGCTATAAAGTATACAGAAGCTAATTTTCAAACCATCTGATCCAACACTCCTCGTTTATAGGCCCAGTTGTTGTGTAGGCATCACTCATGCACATCATTTCTTGATCGCTTCGAGCTCCTTTTGTATTCTCTCTACCGAATTTTATTGGCTCCAAATCCACTTTGATCTCACACCAATCGTCATCCAAAGCGGAGTGGAAATGCCAATACAAGCTGGCCACCACTAGCTTCATTTCCATCCATGCCAAGTGCATTCCGAGACACATGCGTATTCCCTTGCCAAAATGCATCATATATTTATTTTGTAGCTTCAACCTTTGTTGAAACTCTTCTTCTGTTTCCTCAGAGTACCTCAACCACCGATCAGGGATAAAGTGCTCATGCTTGGGGAAAACTGCGGGGTCTCGATGCAATGCATATGGCAAGCAGGATATGACCGTCCCTCTGGGGAGTGATACCCCTTCCACGGTGTACTCTTGATTGACAACTCTCGGCTCCGCTCCTGGAATCGAGGAGTGTACTCTTGAATTTTCCAACAATAAAGCATCCAAAAACTCAAGCTTGTCTATTTGTTCCAAATCTTCAATCACGTCGTTATGCATTGCAGGCTTGCCAAAGTGCTCGAATAGCTCTCTTTGTAACCTCTTGACCAACGATTTGTTCCCCGGCCGGGATAACTCATAGACCAAATAGCATAACTGAACAGCTGTTGTTTCGTGACCTGCAAACAAGTTGTCTGATAAGAACGAATATGCTTGGGGTCCGTTTAACCCATTCGCCTTCAATGATTCCAAAGTGGTCAAGCTTTTCCCGTTTCTGCTGAAGTGTCTCTCAGCATAATCATACAAGGACACTCTGAATTGTGATATATCTTTGACACTCTGTAAAACCATTTTAGTGGCAGCTAAATTCCAAAATTCTGGCATCAAAGTAGTCCAAAATAACATACCTGACACTTGGCGATGTTTCAAAATGATTTCGCGATCAGATGGATTATCCAACAAGTCCAGTCCGTTTGTTTTGCCCAATTCAAACTTTGAAATAACATCCATTGCATATGCTCCAAATAATGAAAACACTTCAACCCCGAGATTATTTGATCGTTGTGATTTGTTGAACCAGGCAACGTGGTGTCCTTTGGCATGTAGGTTCAATTCTGGACTCACACTTGCATAATCGGGGGTTTCACCAGTGACAGAACTTTTATAAATGTAGTCCAACAACTTCGTAGTAGACTCGATCATGACCCTCCTTGTGTCATTCTCAGGTGACATGATGTTCCCCTTGTTGTATAGTCTCATTATGATCTTCTTGTACTTCAAATGTTGTTCATTGTTTAGTGAAGCAAAGATGTTATCATGGCCGTGGTTTGTGAAGTTTGCGTAAAACGATGACTTGGGAAAGTTTTTAATGTAGATATCATTCACATACTTGAGTCCATACACGCTGACTTCTTTGGGTGATAACACAACTACTGGGCCGTATGTTTTGTGCAAGTTGTACACTTTTTGTATCCAAGTTCCTCTACGTTGATGGTTCAAAGCAGGGATTTGCGAAACTCGGTAGGTGTATGGCCCGGGAAGCTTCCAAAGCGGGGACGAAATTGGCAAGTAAATAAAATAGTGCACGAAAAGTAATCCAACAGCAGCAATGGCTGACCAGTACGGGTGCACCACTATGAAAGAGTGAGCTTGTAAAAGTATGTCCTGTAACATGGTCCGGTGACACTCCTATGACAGAGTTCATAAACCGACTAAACGAATCATCTCTCCTTATATATATATATGATCAAACCTTATCTATGATTTCCGAAAAAACAGCCAGAATTCCGCACTTTCAAATTGTAGCACAAAAATAAGGGGCAACGCGCAATCAGATAACACACAATATTTCGTCGTCGCAAAAGGCCCTTTTGAGGCGACTGCTTTAAGTATTGCAGTAAAATGCGGTGCTTTGCATTGTGGAACTTTACTCTAAATACATGTAACGGCGCGTGAGGTTTGCCGTTTGACGAACTGAGTGGCATCGTTTATTTCCCCCTCCTTCCACCCCCCCTGTCAGTTGATTCCACTACTGAAGGTCACTTACTGTGATTGAATATATGCCAAATTCAAAGCATAGGGGAGACAGGCTATTGTTTATATCCGGTTGAGATGTAGTTTCCATTGCATAATATGCAACTAGCTCAGCAGCCCTGGTGAGAAGATACTAAAATTTTACCGGTTCTATACTTACCGAGTCGTTGAGCTGCAATACTGCGTGCAACTGGATCCATCTATTTGACTGACGAGCAGCAACACAAAGGAAAGCTCGAAGTTGTAACATTTTCAGTCCTTAGGTTCTCCAGCTTCCATTTCAGTATTGTGAACTCACTCCAAGCTTTCCCGTCAACAGATTTGTTTTTTTTCGTTCATGGCAAAACGCAGTCATAAGAGGTTAGTTTATCTGAATGTTTGTTCCTCTTTCAGTTGGTCTTGTCCAGAAGGCTACGTGTACTATCAGTACCTTAAAGACACCGTTCGGTTGCAAATTACATACTTCACGTGATGTGGTGCAATTTCCCACGCTACCAACGCTTTCCAAAAAGAATGGGAAAAAATTTTACACAGTTTTTTGCATCTACGACTGTCTATCCATATAAATGAATAATTAAATAAATAAATAGATAAATGAGTAAGGGTAGCAACGCCACCAACCATTTCAAGCTGCAGTGAATTCGGTAAATTCTTTTGCAATGTGAATGCCGCACTCTGTTTTGACCTTGTTTTTCCACCTTCCACTTCTCTCGTCTTCCCCATCGGCTACAGGAACTGTGGAGTGCCAATCGCCAATCGACTTGTATCCCAAGTCTAATAGTTCATTATATGGCACATTGTTTTCATCGATGTAGCTCTTCACCGCATTAAAATCCCAATCCCAAAGCGGGTTGACTTTGAGAATATTGTTGGGTTCGTCAAACTCTAGCACCGCCAAAGACGATCTTGCCCCACCTTGTGATTTCCTTCTCCCTGTTAAAACCACATTAACGTTTAGGTCTTTGTAAGCGCGCTGTATGGGTTCCACTTTGACCAAGTAGTCGTAGTACTTATCGTTTGTTTCCCACAACTGATCGCCGTATTTGGCTACAAATTCTTGTTCAGTGGATACACCTTGTGGTTGGTACACATTGATTTTTGAGTCGGGATAACGCTGCTTGACCCGCTCCAACAAGTCATGAGTTTGAGGGAAATGATAAAGGGTATCGACAAAGATCAAATCTATTTTGCACTCGGGTATCTTTGAGATCATATCGGTGATTGCCAACCCAGTCAATCCAAAAGCAGTGGTTTGATATACATTGGGGAAAGTCAAGTAGACCCATTTGATTAGTTCTTGGGGCAGCAACTGTTGCAACCGTTCGTTCAAGAAATTTATATGTTCATTTGTGAGTTTGATAGACCTACTTTCCACAGTCATGGCCTAGGTACTGAGTAGTTGAATGGATTTGTAAGCTACAGAGAGAAGAAAATATGGTGGAAAAGTGGAAAAGTGAAAAAATAAAAAAAAAAAAAAAAAAAAAATAAAAAATAAAATAAAATTGAGTAAAGAGAGACAACTTCGATCAATGTCACGAATTGACACTTTACGACATTGAGAATGAAGAAACGCGTCACATGTATACACACACACACACGTCAAAGAGGAAAAGATTCTGACAACCACTAGATGTACCAAAGATACCAAAGGGATCTGCAACACCTGACTTTCATACTGTGCTGACCCCACTCACAGCGATGCATAAATGTCCACTCAACAACAACAACAGCAACAACAACCAAATGTGCTAAAACAGGTCTTGGCCACGACTCCCCTATTTCATCTCATTCCAAGACAGCATGTAGCTCCTTTGATTAATTTACCCCTGCTTGTGCCCCAATCAGACGAGGGTGCTTTAAACAAGCACGTCATTCACAGTATAGAGTCGTTTGACTCAGAAAGTGCTAAAAAATTTGAGCAGGAGTGCCAACAAGAGTTGTTGAACTTTACCGATCCTGAGTTGGACTCCATCAAGTTTAAGGTATCCTCATCACACACAAAGAAACACGCGCTGCCGTACCAATATTCCGGCTTTGATGCACAAATTTTGAGAAGCGAATCAATTGAGAGAGGCAACATTGTACCCAAAACAAGTGATGAAATAGTAAAGACTGGAAGATTATCCATTCGAAAACGAGCACCCACTGGAGACGATACTTATGTTCCGAAACACAACCAAAAATACTATAGAAAATTCGAAAAGGAATACATGCGATTGAACCCGACCCAGGAAGTGGTCAACTCTGGAGCCTCTGAGGATGAGTTTACTCCCATTGTCAGTATTAAACCCGAAAGTAACTTGATGAAATTAAATTTTCGAAAGTTCAATCAGTTTCTACATAGGGAGCAGCAGAATTTTACTTGGGAGGATATGGTTGTTATATGTGAAATATTAAACAAAATTGACACGTTTCTGGAAGAAGATGCTGGGGATCTACTAAAGGTGCTAGATACTTGCTATAGAAGTTTGTCTAAGGTGACTGGACAATTGCAAAATACAGATATCAAGCACATCAATGATATCAAGTCCATTATCCCAGAGTTATTATGTGGAATATTTGCAAGCAAAGCGTCACTTATCATCATCAAGTACAACATTTCAAAAGGAGTCCAAATGGCATTTGGCAGGTACACGATTGTTATTATTCGAGTCATTGAATGCGTTTATGAGCTCTTTCTTCTTCCTCTCCGAAAGATTAGTTCTGTGGATACAGATGAGAAAGAACAAAAGCTATTTTACAAGCTAATTACCGAAACAAGCAACAGGTTAAGGCAATTCTCATTATTGAGTGGCTCAATCGAAGAACAAACATTAACCAAGTTGGAGATTCTTTGCATCAATCTCATATTTGGTACGAGCTTAAATGATGAATTACCATCTCTTGTGCCAATTGATTCGCTTCAAACATCTGCCAGCTTGTGTTTAATTGCAATTTACAAGAATACCGCAGACCAGAGAACTTTTCTACTACACGAGGTACTTACCGGCTTTTCCTCCATAAATCCAAAAAAGGGAGAAGCGAAAAAATTCAAAACAAAGCGTGGTTTTGATATTCATTACTTCACCATGATTTTGAATAATTTTTCTTTCATTTTTATCGAAAGCGAAGGCTATTCCTCAGATTTCATGGATCATGTTGCTCGAGCATTGATTGAAAAAGTTCAAGGTAATGCGACTGAGCTAAGACCAAAACTTTCCTGCTTCATTTCCGATTTATTGCAAATGGCATACTTGCCTGAATGGCCAACTGCGGATTTGTTCTTGACGTCTATAGCGTCCACCTTGATTCAGGTTTTGAGCTCGCCAGAGGATCAAGTTCCCGGAGAAACCCAGTTTTTGGATATTTTGCAAGATTTGGCCGAGAACGTTCTTGGAACGCCATGTGACAATCCCCCAATGGGAGAGAAGGAGATGTTGTCAATTTTGGGGAACAGTCGGGAATTTGGTACCGGTGACGTTTTGCCTTGTTTAAGAATAAAACTTCAAACCCTCGCTGGCTTCACCCTCACCCTCGATTCGGAACTTGTCAAAAATCATGATACACTCAATCCCGGATACAAGTCCTTGATTTTAGTCAGGCTTCGTGAATTTTTTACCATAAAGTACCTCAACTTTCTCGAAACTCAAATAGGGAGTCCCAGAGCTAAAGCAAGGGCCAAATCAATAAAAGGCTTGCTTGTATTTGTGTCCAATTCCCCTCAATCACTACAATCGGCACAGTTACAAAAGCAGCTATCGTCCAGATTACAAGACTCTGCTGCCCTGGTGAGGGACGCAATGCATGAATTCCTCAATTCACATATTAAGAAAAATCCTGACGAAGCGGAAAAGTTGATTCAACCAATGTACCTAGCTATGGACGACCCGAGTGTATCCGTCAAGAAAAGAAGTATTCAGTCATGTATGGCGGTTTTTTCTTTGGTTAGCGAAGCTGCAAAGTTGCAAATCAGTGCAAAGATATTAGAAAAAATATTTGACCAAGAGGATAGCGTTCGCAATGAAGCAGTTTTGATGTTAAAGAACCGTTTCCTTTTCCAGCCCCCGGCAGTAAACTTGGTAAATCCCGGAGTGTTGGACGTTATTCGAATTGGAAAGTCAAAGGGCACAAAATTGTTGCTGTCCTTTTTCAAAGAGTATGTTTTTACCGACTCCAAAGCTGTTGGGTTTGTTGGCGGGCTAATATTGTCAGCGGTTGAGCTTGTAGAAAATGCGGACGATGTGGAGGGTGGTATGTTTTTGTTGTCAATGCTTTCGCAGATTGATCCCAGTCTAATCACACAAGATGTGTTGGTGGAGTTGAAGAGTTTTTACCTCGAAGAAGCTAATATCAACACCAGCGCCTACACTTACGCCCTCGAAATATTGAAAACCACCACATCCCACCTCGCGGGTATTCGTCCCGAATTTTCCCTTGAAATTCAGTCATTTTTATTATCTAAAATTATCAACTTTCATCAAAGAGACATGTTGTCGACCATTTCTGCCTTGTGGAACTTGAGCAGACTCAGTTCAACAGAGAGCAAGATTGCCAATGCCGTTGTTGGAACCTTAAAATGGGTGAGAAAACTGTACAATGACAAAAACTATAAACAACTTCCCAAGCTATTGCAATTGTTGGGGTGTTTCGGTAGACTCATAAAACTTCAATTATTTCAACACATTTTTGTCAAAGAAGGCTTGATGAGCGAAGGCGACAATGTCATGACCATTTTGTTCAAACATATCTTGACCTTCACCAAGCCAGAGTTCCCTCCAACGCTTCGAAAGTATGCCCTTTCAAACTTGGTCTTGGCGTGCTCGAGTCAGCCGAGGTTGATCACCCATAATGCCGTGACAACGCGCATATTGGACGCAATAAGGTCAGAAGCACCCAACGTAAAATGTGCCATCATTCAGAATCTTAATATATATTTGGACGATCATGGAACGATTGATGCAAATACACCATCGACAACCCTTGAGTCGATTCAAGGAGTAGGAAATTTACAACAGAATGTTTGTAAGTCCTTGGTCGAGATCTACTTTGAGGATATTATTGGATTGTGTACATCAAACGACCTTCAATTGGTGCTGGAAGCCTTTTTGTTTGTACGGATGTCGTTAGAAATGGGATTTGCGAACCCGATCAAGGGTATTTCCATGGCTGTCGCTTTACAAGGATCTCCAATTTTGACACTTCAAAAGGCTGCGCATGAGTTGTACAAGTATTTATTTGACAAGTACAGACCGTTGATGGACTCTCAATTTGGCGAAGGTATCAAACTAGCGTACTCTACGGGTCAAATTGCTCGGAATATGTTTGCATTGCTTTACGAGGTTGTCCTTGAATCAAAGATGTCGCGCAATAAGTTTATCAAGTCTGTGTCCAAGTATTTTGTTGTAAAACCCAGGAGCAGTCACTTGGATGAGGATTTGAAATTTATCCTTTTTGTGATTGAGCGAATGTCTTTGATCAAATTTGAAACCGTTGAAGAGGTTTACATTATATTGCACCAGTTGCAACAAGTTTTGCAAAATTACGCTCCCGATTACATAAATGATCTCCGTGAGGCTGAAGTTGGTGATGAAAACACTAGCGATTTAGGCTACTTGATCTATCTGATTTTAGATTACTACAACTTCCTTTGTGCAAAGTATGGTATCACTAGTGAAAACATAGACGGATTCAGTTCGCGTTTATTAGAGATTGATTTTCTGCGAGCTCCAACTGTTGTGAGTTCACCTATTTTACACGTGGAATGGATATTCTCCAATATGCGCAACCTTGAGTCGCTAAAGTTCGTTGTGAAGGAGATTCGAAAGTCTATATTCGTGCTGGGTGAATAAATAAAATTCAGTTTTTGTTCCCCATCAGCCGTCTCCATCCCAAGGGCAATTGGAATCCGTTTTTGGGTGGGTCAATGTCGTGTAGATCTATGCCAAATAACATATTAGAGGATGTTCCAAAATTGACATTGTCTGAGGAACCAATGTAATCGAGTTTGACTTTTGAGTCAAACGCAAACGTGGTTGGTGCATGTAGTTTTGGATGTGGACTTGTGGTATCTAATTCCAGAGGCAATGATGTAATAGTCTTCTGTTTCTCAGGAAATTGTTCCTCTTTCACAATGACTCTTTCCCCGTTATGAAACAATCTCGTGTCATTGATGAACTTGTCTCGTTTCTTTTTCCACAATGCTTGCTTTTCCAACAACTTTTCAATCTCACTGATAGTCAAGACTCTTTTCCTCTCCATTTCCTCATAATCCATCGCGTCATTGAGTTTTGTAATCGACGGAAGATGTCTGACCCAATCGTATTGCTTGAGAAGTTGCAAGCTTGTATTTAGATTATCAACTTCAATTAAATTCTTGATCTTTTCCTCGTTCAACATTTGTGTCTCCTCCTTCTTCATTTTGCGATGGAAAATGGTGTATTTCGAATCGGGCAACGGATCCACTTTCGTTCGCCTTTTCGGTAACTTCCTTGGCACTTGCTTAACCCGTGTTATTCGCAACGCTGGTGTCTCCTCGTCACTTTTGAAATACGTATACAATTGAGATTCATTGTTTGATCTGCCAAAATGTATTGGGTTGTTCAGATACAAGTAATTATTGATATCGTCAAAATTGAACAAGTTTTTGTTCACTGGTGCCTTATTGGAGTCCTTTGACCGAAGTGTTCGTGACTGCTCTTTATTCGAAGTAGACATAATGTGGGGTATTAAGTGGGAAGAAGAAGGTTTCCCTCATGATATATACAATCGCGCTTACTATTGGTGTTTTTTTTTTATATTTTTTGTTTTTTTTTTTTTGTTTTTATTTACATTTTCTACCTAAACTTAAAAAACTTGTCAGCATAACTAGGGTTGAAATCGGCACGTTTGCTAATGTACTGCCTTACGTTGTATGGCTTCATGCGAGACAATTGGCCCTCTGTAACCAAAGAGTTGACTAATTCGCTCAGCACTGTAAACAAGTTTCCAATTTCCTTCAAAATTTGAAACTTTTCAGAAAGTTCAGGAATTCCCCATTCATCGATAATTGATTGGTAACGGATTGCGTCTTTTGTTAAAACAACCCCACCAATAGAGTTGACTGAGAACTTTTTGTAGTGCTCAAGCAACAAGTTTAAAAATGCATTTCCAATGGTCAGCAAGGTGTTGAGTAAGTTATCGCCCGTTAATGCAACACTGATATTGGCGTACATTTCAGTCAAGAACTCACTGATCAATTCACAAGCTTCTGTATCATCTTCGATTGTATCGCAAAGGAAATCCTTCTTTTTTTGCTTGCTGAGAAATCCACTGAGTTGCCTCAAGGAGTAGTCCACGATATGGTCGAGTAGCTCGTTAATACTGGTCTCTTGTGCTTTCACAAACTCGTTAATCATAAACCTTGCCTTGCTTTTGGCAATTGCATCATTTGTTACACATGGGAAAATAATCTTTTTTGCGCATGCTGTCAAGCAAAACAAAATCTCCTTCTTGAACTGTATTGAATTGAGAGACCAAAAGACATTGAGACCTTGTAATTGAAGCTCTTCTCGAACAATTAACTTTGCAAAGTTGACAATCAATACTGCTAAAACATCCAATGAATGTTCCGTAGCTTCATTTGGCGCCAACTCCAATGCTCTTCCAATAGATTCGGCTGCTGTTTTCAAAAGGGTTTCAACACAGTCAATTGCTTTGAGATCATCCTCTTCAAGCTCTAGCTTGGATACTTGATCGCTAGCTCCAGCTCTCTCGCTTACTTTCGCTTTGACATATTGCGTGAACTGTGCCAACCTCTTTTTCTCTGCTGAAAATCGGGTCTGGTCATATGCTCTAGACTGGTTGAGCCTCAAGGTGTCTGATCTTGCCAAACTAGAATCGTCATTTGTATGCTCATTGAATGAGTCAGGGTCAAGTGCGTTCAAGGTAGCTTGTACCACCTCCTTTAAGTTCCTCTTTTCCCTGACGAGATATGCATTGTCAAAAAGGTATTCTTCAAACAACCCGTCATTCGCAAGCTCCAAAGTTTGCAGTACTTTTTGGTCTGCGTCGTATTCTTCCGTGATCATATAGTCCTTCATTTGGTTGGTGAAGTCGCCAACAATACCATACAATGCTTGCAAGATTCTAACATGAGCCAACAAACTCTGCTGCAATGATAGCTGCAACAAGGTTGTAACCTTTCGCTTGAGTGCTGTTTTGTATACCCTTTCAATGAATAATACGATAACCGTTTCTGGATTGGTAAAAATTTTTTTGCTCAATCTAGCTTTCGACTTTATACTAAACTTGATATTTTCAAGAAATGCGTTGATATGGGGTCCCAAGTCGTAGTTTGTGGCACTTGGGTCTGACCACTGTTCCCATTCACTCTCTTCTAATGTTTCTTCATCGTGGCTTGAGTCGACAACGAGGTCATTCTTATCCACAAACCAATTCATCAAGGTGATGCCCTGATTGTACTCGTACAATATCTGAGAAACATTGTTCATTGTCCTGATATCAAACGTTTCTCCAGAAAACTCGTCGCCTTCTGATGCTCTTTCAAACTTTTTCAACAAGTCCTCCTCCATACGTTCCCCATATGACTCCACAGTTTGGAGACACTTTAATGTGGGTGGAAGGGACTCGTCGCTTATCCTTCTCGACAAATGAATTAGATTTTTGATGTATCTAGCGCATTCCATATTGTCGTTTAATTTTGGACTTGTACGCAAGGTTTCCAAGGGAGTGTATTCACCCTTGGTGTAGAATCCGTGATACGCTCTGATTAGAAAAATTGTTTCTCTTGATTTGTCCCTTGATGTGGATATTCTATTCAAAGTAGCACCCAAGGGGTTGATTTTCCTAGACACGTCGGATATTTGGATGTCCAATTGATTGAATTTGTCGGTGGTCTTGTCAATCAGGTTGCTCAATTCGAGTACATTTTGCGAATGCTTCAATTCATATGCGTCCACTTGCTTCTGTCCTCTGATTCTTTGGTCATTTGCATCTGCACTCAAACGATTTAGCTCTCTAATCGTACTTTCAAACGATCTAATGTACGGTTTCGGGTCGAGGTATGCCTTCTTGTTTATTTCAGCACCTTTAAGAATGTGATCTTTGCTGATCTCTTCCACGAAATCATTTACCGATAGCCCATTGAGAAAATTGTCTGCGTTGAGGAGCTTCTTTATCTCTGGGTTTAAGTCGTAGATTGAAAACGAGCCACCACCACCAGCACTCATTATTCACTGCTACGGTGTGTATGGATGGAAGCAGGCGTTTTGCGATTTCGACGATTGTGTGTCAATTACTTTTTTTTTTATGTTTCGCGACATTGCGCAACATTGTTTAAGATTGTCAAACATTGTCTAAGGCTGTCTGATACAACACATCACCCTCGACCTCTTCCTACACAAGATTACACTAATACACTTTTGTCGTAGTCACCTCTGTATTAAGATATAAGTTACAAACTAATGTCTCTATAAAAAATGCAGATTAGTTAGCTCTCAAGGTCAAGTGACATTTACCACAGTATTGTCTGTCCTTCATGTTGGCCATAAAGATACCAGCACCACAGGTTGGGGATGGACATTCTCTTCTCAATCTTTCAACATTTCCATCGTTGTCAACCTTGTAGTAAGTCAAGACAGCCAACTTGTGTTTTCTGTGCTTGTGCTTGATCTTCTTTGGGGTAGTGTAGACCTTCTTCTTTCTCTTTTTACCACCACCTCTCAATCTCAACACCAAGTGCAAAGTAGATTCCTTTTGGATGTTGTAATCGGACAAGGTTCTTCCATCTTCCAATTGCTTACCAGCAAAGATCAATCTTTGTTGGTCTGGTGGGATTCCTTCCTTGTCTTGGATCTTGGACTTGACATTGTCGATGGTGTCGGATGACTCGACTTCCAAGGTAATGGTCTTACCTGTAAGGGTTTTGACGAAGATTTGCATTGTTTTTGGCTTGTCGGCAAAAGGGTGCTTCTTTCTTACCAAAAAGGTTTGTAGAGTGGCAAAAGGTGAAAATATTAAGAGAGTGTGAAAAAAGAAAAAGGAAGGGATTAAACTTATGTATGGAGAAGACAGGAGAGAAGATTGTGCGTGATGGTAAAAAAAAAAAAAAACAAGAAAACGGAAATACAAGCAGATGACCTTCACGTGATTAAGAGGGCTACAACCCTTATGTTTTTTTATTTTTTTGTGTTATTCACGTAAAATACGATATCTCCATTTGCAAGAGCATTACAACTCTGCCCCCCCCCACCTCCCCTCCCCCCACCACTGCCTGCATCTGGAATTAAAGCGCTGGAATTTATAATTGTAAAAGCTCACAAAAGCACCAATTTCTTTTTTCTTATTGGCTGAGTTACAGACTTACAAACCGTTATACGTACAATTGAAATTAAGTTTGTCCTAGACGGTCAAGTTGGGTAACACATGGCCACTATGACTTTGGGATTGAGTTCTTGGCAGGGATATGTAATTGGTTAGAATTCGATGCTGCTGCTGCCATCCTCTGTTTTTTTTTTCTCTCGAACTGTGTGTGGTTTGTAAAATAGTAGTCTCTCTGTTTTGCAATTGGTTATCTCTGAACTGACCATATCCGAAGTTGAATCTCGTGAAGAGTGATTGGTATTCTATCGAGAAGGACGGTCCCTCCAAACCCTGCTTGTTGCAATATAAATATGGCTGCAAATACCTCACAACCCTGACTCAGTCTTGTCAATAACAAACACAACTACAACCCCAAAATATGAAGGTCTCGTCTTTATTCACTACCGCCACATTGGTGTCAATTATTTCAGCTGCTCCTACTGTCACCGCTCCACCCGACACTGCGGCCACCGACGGTGCCAATTGGGCTACGTACCCTTCCGTGCCCAAGACCGCATCTATCAACGGGTTCGCTGATAGAATTTATGATCAGTTGCCTGCATGTGCTCAGCCTTGTGTTCGTGCAGATACGAGATCAACACCATGTCCTTACTGGGACACTGGTTGCTTATGTGTCATGCCTCAATTTGCTGGTCCTATTGGTAAATGTATTGCTTCAGCTTGTAAAGGAAATGATGTGCGTACTGCCACTTCCTTGGCCACATCAATCTGTTCGAGTGCCGGAGTCTGGGACCCATATTGGATGATTCCACCCACTGTCTCCCAAAGCTTGGCATCAGCAGCTACTGCTGCTTAAAGTGTATAAGACATAGCTTATATGGACAGATTGTTATTCAAGCGCCACTTCTCTGTAGACTTTAATGATGACAAGAGCTAGTTATTTCAACCTGTCCATAAGCCTGTTTAGTATTTGTATGTTCTCAGCGACCACAAGCTTATTGTCCTCCTCCTGCAAGACGGCAATTATTTTGAGTAAGTTTTCGTTAATGCTACGGCTCACCGATGATATCAATGCTAGTTCGTAAAGTATTTGCTGTTGTTCTTCATTCATGGCGGAAAAAAAAGTGTTTTGCTTTGCTTTAAAGAATAAGTTTTGAAATATTTACAAAGCTGCCACAAGACTTTTTGCTTAAATGATTCATTATATATACTATGTATATGCGATAACGAAGCTTCTATCTAATCAGCCAAAGAAAAACAACAACAACCAAAAAAGAAAAAAAAAAGAGAGAGAAAGCAAACAACTAAGAACCGGTGAACTGAAAATAGTGACAATGTTTGAGAAATGAAACTTTTGAAAATATGCAAAATAATAGAATCCAATGTGTTGTGGCTCCATAAGGTATTCAACTCTTTAATAAAACGCCGGTCTGGTCCCATTTTTCGGCTAAACGATTTAAAACACTCTCAAAGGCCAACTTTCCGGTTTGTGCATTCTGTCCAAACCTCTCAACACTCCAATGTTCCAACTTATCACACAATTTCGATACTCCCGCAAAAGCGGTAATTTCTGCACTTTGGTTGAATGTGGTCTTGTGCAATGGCAAGTCTAAATCCGGCTTGTAAATGACAGTCTCCTTGACCAATAACAAATGGTTCATGGTCAAGTTCATTGACTTCATCACCAAAGTCTTGTTGTTCAAATCAATTTCTGATACTTCCCGCACATAACTCAAAGATGCACCACCGACCAAAAAGGAAAGCCACCTTGGTATGGATTGTTTGCATCCGATCAACCTTTCGGTTCGAAGAATGTGGTCATTGACTACACTTCTGTTTAAAATATCCACCGAAACCACATGCGTTGAAAGCTCATTAGGGTACTTTTGCCAATTGGCGGCTGTTACTTGGTCCCAAGGGTAGTTGAATAAGTGGTCTGCTTGAAATATCTTCATTTTGAAAAGGCTCTGTTAAATTGAATTGGAAAATGCAAGAAGAAACAAGAGTAGAGATATAATCTCTGTATATATATCTATTGATGTATTGAATATATATCTCTTTCTTTCTCTCTCTCTCTCAGAACAATATGGAAATTTTTTTTTATTTTTTCCTTTTAAATTTCTTTTTTTTTTTTTTTTTTTTTTTTTTTTTTTTTTTTTTTTTTTTTTTTTTTTTTTCTCTCTGTTGTAATTGTTTTCATGATTTAAATGTTCCTTTTACAACCAATGATGACCATCACCACCCTTGTACACGAGACTTGATTTTTTACAGGAGAAGCCACAGCAGACGTATGCACGGATGCTTTGATACGGATATTTTTTAGACGTCTTTGTCAACCCTCTCCTTTGTAATTTTCATTGGCAGAACTTTATTCCGCTCCGCTCCCGGTTCCTTAGTGTCACAAGACAACTATTTCAACGCGGAGATTTACGGAGAAAGAGAGAAAGAGAGAGAGAGAAAAAAAAAAAATGACGGTACGCAGTGACGCAACTTTGTACTTCACGACACTTCATGTTACACGGTCATATCTCTCTAAACACAGTCTGTAGCTTTCTTTAAATCCTGCAACGCCTTCAACGCTTCTCCATTGGTGATTGACTCCTTTGCTAGTTTCACTCCATCGACCCAGTTATCACAAATACCAGATACATACGCAAGTGCTGCAGTATTCAACAAAATGTAATCAACGTAAGGATTACTGTTCTCATTGCGCACCTTATACTCTTCGTGGTCTTGCTTCAATATATGATTCAAGATCTCAGCATTCTCATCGGGAGTTCCAGACTTCACTGCTTCCAATGGGTGTTCGCGAAGGCCAAAGTCCTTTGGCGATATGCGGTCACGTTTTATCTCTCCGTCCTTTTCAACTAACCAAATCTTTGTATACCCCGTTGGCGCAATTTCGTCCAACACACATTCTCCAAAAACTACCATTGTACGCTTGTGTATGTGACTCTTTTTCGCAAGTATAGATGCAGCTTGTGCATAGCTTTCTCCTAATTTTTCACTATAGACACCCAAGATCCTCGACTGGATGGGAATAGGATTGATCAACGGGCCCAAAATGTTGAATATTGTTGGTACTCCTAACTGTGCCCTGACATTGGCTACAAGTCCCATTCCCGGGTGGAAAGATGGTGCAAATAGAAAGCAAAATTTTGATTTCTTCACTATATCAGGTAATGTCACAACATTTATCTTGGCTAAATCAACACCCAAAGATTTCAACAAGTCGCCTGATCCCGATGTCGAAGTACTGGCTTTGCCTCCGTGTTTGCATACTGGTAGCCCCATTCCTGCTGCAACAATGGCTGAGGATGTCGACACGTTAAATGTATTTTGTCCGTCTCCCCCAGTACCAACAATGTCTATGTACCCGGCATCGTCGACTAATTGATCGTCAATTGTCTCGGCAAACTCCAACACCGTGTCCACTGCAGCAGCAATGTATTCGGATTCATGATCCAACTCCCGTTGTCTCAATGACGTTAGGAATGCAGCAACTTGGATTTCTGATGCACAATCGTTGAATATGAGCCTTATCACAGATGCAAGGTCCTCGGGCGTGAAATTTGGAGGATTCAGAATTAGCGACTTGATGTAAGGCGTGAGTACCTTACTCTTGCTCGGGCTTTGTACAGTCATTGGCACTTTATTTGAAAAAAGAAAAAATGTATGATTCAGGATGATTCATCAACATTTGTCATTTTTATTATATTTTCTATTTTTAAATTTTTATTTTTTTATTTTTCCTCTACGAAGTTGCACGATTGAATAAACTGGTGGCATTGGCATCTACACAAAATCTATCTTAATACGATATTTGCACTTCTTTGTCAGCATCCATATACGAGTCGCAGATGGCCCAGCATGTGAGATCTTCAACTGAGTCGGGACTCTCAAAGTCAATTTCTAAGCTTTGCTCGAGATTTCGTATTTGGGTCTTTTTGATCGCGTACAATTGATTCAACAGTTGCAGACCGACTATTACCCACCAATTTTCCTCCTTCGTGAAAGGTAACCTGCATACGGCGTTCAAAGTTTCTAGCTCCTCGTCTCTTTCCAATATCGCTCTTATCGACCCTTGATCTAGCTTTTCAAAGGATAATTTAACATTGGGGTACTGGTTGACAAACATTGCAACTTGATTCAAATCATCATCCTTCAATTGAAGTATCTCGTCTCTCTCATCATCCTCTACGCTCATGATGTCGTACACAGTCTCCACATTATGTTCCTTACAACGTGCGAGGATTTCTTCGTTGAATTTTGGAATTTGCTTCAAGTGGTTTTCAAAAGACCAAACTTGCTGCGAAAGCATCTGCCACAAGTCCATCGCCAACATTGCGCTCAAATGACCCTCTCCGGATAGAACATCAATACTTGCATTTAGAACACGTGCGAAAATCTTCAAAACCTTGTCTTGCTCGTATTTTAGCTCAAATGGTAAATTGATTCGGGAAATAAATGCTTGCACCAAAATGAACGCTTTGTAAAACGGTGTCATGCTGGAGGCATTTTTGAGAGGCAATTTCCTTGCAATTGCACTTAACGACTCATCGGCATTTCGTACTGGTATAGATTCAAACTCAGAAGCACTGGTCACAGCAAGTAGAATGTCTTTGAGCTTGCTATTGGCGTTCAAAGTACCCAATGCATTCAATGTTTCAAAAGACAAATCGTAATGAGATGTGATTAAAGCCTTATTGGAAGGCACTATTGTCTCTTTTTCATCCTCTTCAATAAATTCTGCCTTGATCAAGTCGTCCATCAAATCTTCAATCAAATTCGACAAGTACTCAGAAACGGCAAGCGAAGAGAGGTTTTTCAATCCATAGTAGCTGGGATTACTCAACAACCGCTTGTAAAATAATGTGTAAGTCAAAAGGTCAATACAATCCTGTCTCAGTTTCAATAATCCATGCGCAATTCCATCGATAAAAAATTCGTATACGGAGGTGTCCAACAGGCTCTCCAAGGGAATACCAGAATTGATAAATGACGAATAAAACTCCGTTACTTCATCCTTGGTGTGTATGTAGACACGTCCGGGGGAAATTTGGCAACGACCGACCATGTTGTACAAGTCAACAACGCTGTAGTCAACGTCTCGGTGTTCATAGCCATCAAAGTATGCAGTTCCTTCAATGATAACATATTCTGCTGCGGGAACAATTTGAGCTGCATCCCTGGTCGTTACAATAACAGACACGTTTCCGGTTTCGTATAGGTTGAATACTATCGCTTTATCTTTGCTGGAAAACTCGTTCAATAAAAGTGCAACACCATTGTCTAAAGCGCCTCTTAGTATTTTGCTCTCTATCCCATACTCATCAAGACTTGCTTGTTTCCGTTTGGGCAAGTTCTGGGCAATTTCCATCGCCTCGCTATTTGTCCCTGCAAACACGATAGTACGCGCATTGCCAATACTCCATTTCTTGTCCTCACTAAAGTGAATTTCTTCAATTTTCTTGTCACGCAATGATGCAGGATAATTGATTATATTCCCTTTTGCTATGTTCAACCACAGTGCCACATCGCGAGAATTCAACAACGGATAAGAAATCCCCACAAGTCTGACATCGATGGTTTCCCCGTGTGATTGCAAAATTTTTATCTTTGTGATCAAGAATTCGTATACTGGATTTGCCTCAAGTTCGTGCAAATCATCTAGCACAATTAATTGAATAGTCTTTATTGCCTTCAGACTCTTCCAGCGCTTGCAAAGGGCATAAAATGGTGCAAGTGTGGCGAAAATTACCTCGTTTGTGTTGAAAGCCCTGACGTCCTTTTTTAAATCACCAGACAATTTGCTCACCTTCAAACTTCTTATCCTCGACCACTTTTTGAATTTAGCTTCAACAATAGCCTCGTTGGGATTGATGTAGATAATTCTCTTGTTTGATCGACGCAAGTGTTGAGCAATGGATAAATCGGGGCACAAGTCTTTCTGCGCTCCTGCATTGATACCCACCAAAATGTTTTCTTCATCGCAAATGGCATCATATAATTCTCTAGTGAATTCCTCCTCTTTCAAGTTGAACTCTGTATCTTCCAAAACAACAGTTTCTTCTCCGCGTTGAATAAAGTGTGACCTATCCTTTGGTGTAATTAAATCTGTAATTATTGGCCTCTTTGATGTACAGTTTACCCACTTTGTGCTCACAAATGAAATTAGCAAGTTTGGCGGTTGGGGCAGCCTCAACTTGAACTGAAACTCTAATATGTGTGGCTGGCCAATGTCCTCCTTACGCACGTGAAAGTGTCGATGTTGCATAAGCTCGTTCCCATCGCAATCTTCCAAAAACAAATCAAATGATTCCTGTCTTCCGTGAACACTCAACCAATTCCATTTGGGGATTGCCTCCACTTTCAATCTGACGTATTCATCGGCAATAGGTTGGACAGTATAGTTTAGCTCAATACGCGGGAAGGAGTGAACGAGATCCCATGCTTGTTGGGCGTTTCCTCGTAAATTCAATACTTCTGCTAGCTCCTCAGTTGTCAAGTGAAAGTACTGAAGCCATGGCAAATGCGATGATTCCGAAGCTTTTATAAGAGACTTTGGAGCCAAGTGTCCAAATTGTCTCAATGGGGAATCGCTAGCCCAAAGACGGTTGCTCACCATTTTTGACAAGTCAAGGATTGCTTTAGCTAACGATGACCACTTCTTGAGCAACGCAATCTCGTACAAGGCATGTAACAATCTAGATGCAGATTGTTTTATGTAGATCATATCGGAGATCAAGGCATACCCTTCGAGACCTAGTCTGGATATGTAAGTTTGCAACAATATGTTGATCTTTGCAAGAGGCTCTGTGGGAAGCTCCTTGATTGGGATGGGGCATTTTTCCATAAGTTTGTTGATTTCGATTCTCTCTTCTCTCCTAACTGGGATAAATTGAAACTCATCAGAGTGAGCAAACACTCTGATTATATCACCTTCGGAGTTCCAAGGTTTCAACAACTGATTGTACCTAGCCACAGTTTGATAGCTAATGTAATGATAGGAAGCAATCTTTCCAAGCTCAGTAGGCTCAACTTTGGCGCCATCATGGACCAATAACTTGTTCTCGTGAAGGATAGTGAAAGCAGCATGAATCAATTCGAGTCTCTTCACATACATTGTCGGATCTTCCTCGTTGGTTAGTGAATCTGCCCCATATAGTTTTGGTGCCTGCAACATGCGCACGTATAAGTAGGTGTAGCCCAACCAATCTATACCATCGCTTAGCGAAGAGATGTTACCAGCCACAACTTCTGCATTTACGCTATCAATCAACTTGGTCATCAACTGCGATTCAATAGGGTATTGTTGATTCAAAATAGCAAGGTAGTATTGGATACGATCTTGAGATGTGATGATGATACCTTCTCCATTCTTGTCGTACCGCGGACGTCCAGCTCTCCCCAACATTTGAAATACATCCTGTGGTGATAACTGGGTCCAGTTACCAGATTCAGGAGAGTATACATCTGTACCTTTGATTATGACTGTATGTGCAGGTAGATTCACACCCCACGCCAAAGTTGCCGTTGAAACGAGGACCTTCAAGTGACCCTGAGCAAAAAGATCTTCCACCAATGTCCTATCATCTTTGTTTAACCCCGCATGGTGAACTCCAATACCAGAAACCATAAGCCGCTGCAATTTTGTATTGGCCACTCTCTCACTTTCTTGTTGTAGTATCTCACGAGTGCTAATTTCTGTAATGATTTCCGTTTCCAGGTTTGATAATGCATCCACCAAGAACTCGGCAGTGGTTGCCGTTTCGTTCCTCGAATGAACAAATATGATCAACTGTTGATTCCGCTTCAATACATTGGATGTCTGTTCGAAACATGCTTCATTCATGGCAATTTTTTTCTTGAGAGCTTTCTGCTCCTTGATCCCCACAAACTTCTGCTCCAATGGGCACGGTCTGTAGCTCGAGTCAAAGTAAAACACCCCCTTATCGCCAGCACGAATAAATTTCGCCACATCCTGGTAATTCGGCAATGTTGCAGACAACCCCACAATCCTCAAATCCTCGCTGGCGCGTACAATCCTTGACACTATTCCTTCCAATACTGGTCCTCTCAAATCGTGCAACAAATGAATTTCGTCAATTATCAACAACTTTACTACTTTAAGATAGTCATGATCTTTTCTGGTTATAATGTCCCATTTCTCCGGAGTAGTGACAATCACATTGGTTTCAGATATTTGCTGTTGCGATAATGAAGAGTCACCAGTTAACTCATTCACCACTAAGCCATAGGCGGAGGTTAACCGTCGCTGAAACTCTCTCATTTGTTCCTGTACCAAAGCTTTTAAAGGGGCAATGTAGACTATCTTGAACTTTTTCGCATCAATGCGATTATTGACTCGATAGTTCTCTATAGTACGCAACATCGTCAACATTGCCACATTGGTTTTACCAGCACCTGTAGGAGCACAAATCAACAAGTTTTCGTTCGAATCGAAAGCCATTGGGTAGATTTTCGATTGTATGCGGTTGAATGTTGACGCTTCATTGTTAGGGAATGCCTCTTGAGCCCATGGTGGTAATGTGCTGATGGGTAGAAGATCGTCATCGCTTGGTGGGGCTGCGCTTGGAGGTACAGTGATGACGTCATAGTTGGGCATTTTTTCCTGGTAGGTTCCCTTTGGCAATGCTACATTTAGCTCGTCGCTACTCTTTTCTTCGTATAGTAAACGTCTTTTTAGTTGCTTTATTGTAAGCTCTTCTTTGTTTCCTATTAGCTCTAGGATAAGTGGATCTAGGTGAAGTTTTTGCATTTCCGTTATTACTTGAGCTTTGTTTTCAGTTGTTAGTTTTCTCGAGTATACAATTCTCCATCGGTTCAATAGTATCAGTGACGTCACTTTTGGGAAACGTTTGGTAATGTCGTTGTCGCTTAATTTTCCATTACTCAATGCTTTGTATATGTCCTCTGCTTCCGCGACCTCCTCTTTGAAAGTTTTCCAGTCGTAAACACGGTCTAGGATAAGTTTCCCCTCGTTCTCCTTCGTCTTCTCCTTCTCCTCTTCTTGCTCCTCTTCTTGCTCCAGTTCCTCGCCAGACTCTGCATCGGGTTCGTCTCCTTCAGACTCTTCAACTTCAATGGCAATAGCCCCTGCACCGTTCGCGTCCAGTACACGATGCTTCAGTAGGGCCAGTTTATAATCATTTGCCAAGTTGATCAATTCGCCAAACTCCTCATCTCCAATGGAGTCGCTTAAAAGTTCATTTGTTTCCTTTCTCTTTGTAGCTACGCTGATATCTGAGCCCAAAATATCTAGCAAAATCTCCACTGCTGAATTGATTATCTCTGGACTCGCATCGAGAAAGTGGTTACGTATCCTGCTGAGGAATGTGTCATAAGTTTGGTCGTAGTCGGGCATCTGTTTTTTTTGAAGGAAGAGCTTACTATAACATTATTTTAATTTTCTTTTTTGTTTGTTTTTTTTTTTTTCTTTGGTCTTTACAATTTTATCTTGCGAAAATATATATATATCCTAATACACCTTATTCAAAAAATCATTCTTTTTGAAATCCCATGAATCGTCAGAGATTCTTCCTCTCAATACTGGAATTTCGGATCCTTTAACATAAACATCTTCAAACAAGATATCCATTCTAGCATCTGGTGGAGCATCAGCTTCGGCAGCAGCAACTTGTTCATCAACGTACTTTCTAGCAGCCTTGTCGTATGCCTTGACTTCATCTTCAGTGGCGATGTTTTTATCCAACAAGACAGCCTTCAATCCTGCAATTGGATCGTTACGAGATCTCATGTGTTGGACTTCTTCTCTGGTTCTGTATGTGGTACCTGGATCTGACATGGAATGGCCACCGTATCTATAAGTTTCGTATTCCAATACTAATGGTCCATTGCCTTGCGACGCCCAATCCTTGGCGAATTTGGCACCCTGGTAGGAAGCCAAAACATCCATACCATTGATTTTCAAGCCGGGAATGTATTGACCTCTCTTGTAGTATTCGGTCATGGCAGAACTTCTAGCAGCAGCAGTTCCCATACCATATTTGTTGTTTTCACAAACAAAAATGACTGGCAAATTCCACAATTTGGCCATGTTGAATGCTTCAAATACTTGGCCCTGGTTAGATGCACCATCACCATAAAGATTAAAACAAACTGATCTTTCCCCTCTATACTTTTGAGCAAAAGCCAAGCCAGCACCCAATGGGACTTGAGCACCAACAATACCATTACCACCATAAAAACCCTTGGTAAACATGTGCATAGATCCACCTTTGCCGTAGGAGATACCTGACCTTCTTCCCATCAATTCAGCCAAGATGGACTTGACTGAGGCACCCCTAATATGAGCAAACCCATGACATCTGTATGAAGTGATCACAGTATCTTGGTGGTTGATTGCGTTTTCAATACCAACAGCAACAGCTTCTTGACCAACAGACAAGTGGCAGAAACCTCTAATCTTCTTTGCCTTGTACAATGCATCGGCTGCCATTTCCATTCTTCTGATGACAATCATATCCTTATACATTTGTAACAAGGTTTCTTTTTCGGTTTCAAACTCCAAAGATGGTGGTTCCAAGTCGTATGGCTCAAACGATGATTCTGGTAGAGTGATTGACACCAAATCACTGCCACCAGAAACTGGTTCTGCATGGGCGTCAGCAGCAGCATATGATCTCTTCGAAGTATAGTTGCTCATAGTGAGCACATTTGAGCAAGTGGACTTTCTCATCAATCTCAAAGTTGAGGCTGATGTAGTGATGAGACGACTCATTGTAGAGGGGAAGGAGGGGGGTGACGGGATGTGTTTGTACTTGTAGTTGTAATGAATAGGTATAAGGAGCCAATTGAGTTCTTTTTCTCTACTCTTGTTGCTGTTTGGTTGATTTAGTATATTTTTTTCTCTCTCTCTCGTCTCTCCCAACAAAAAAATCTCCGAGACAGAGACAGACAGTGAGTGAGAAGAGTGAGAAGAGTGAAAAGAGTGAGAAGAGTGAGAAAGATTTAATTTTTTCTTTTGTGTTGCAATGGTTGACAGTGCTCCGCACGGAGATTAATTGCCGAGATTTCAACAACGACACAACTTTGAATGGTTATAAACGGCGATGGATGGAAGAGGACAGCTCAATCAAAAGTAAGTGGTGTTTCCACTGCAGTGTCGATGAAGAAAAGTTCCTTGGGGGGGTGGGGGGCTAGGGCTAGGCGAGAGAGATGACGAAGACCTTGCGAGTGTGTGTGTGTGTGTACCTGTACCGCTTCGGAGGCATTGTAGCAGGAATCCCAATTTATACAAGGCGGTTACTGAAACATCTTGCATTGGTACCCTCTAACTTGCTTATAGTGGTGCTCCAAGCTTGTCTGTCTACTTTCTGCCAATGTCGTCTGCTGTTTTGCCTCTTGGTGTGCGGCTTTGTCCAAATTGACAAATCTGAAACATCAAACTAAAGATAGTCCCCTTGTTTCTCTTCTTCTTCATCGTCATCATCATTGAACTGAATATGTCACACTGTTCTTCTTATCGCACGGCTTCTCAGCTATTGTGTCTCATAAGTAATAGGCCGAATGTTTGCTGTATCGTCAGATAGCTCGAGCAGGAGAACTGTGTCTGCACCACTAGTACAATCAAAGACCCCACGTTCGTCTGAACCATCACCCTCCAAAAAGAGGTGGAGAGAAATATTGAGGCCGGGGAAAACGTACACCCCAAAACCATCGGCCCAGCTCAAACGCAATGCAGGTTACGGTGGCAGCTTCATGCCGTTGGATGACTCAAGAGCAGATAAAACACCATTCCCTCCCATGTCTATACAAGAGCCGATGCTAACACCACCGTATCTATCTACCCCCAGCTTGGAGGTGCCTAGCAAGTTTGAAAGAGGTTGCAGCACCGCAGGCACAACCCCTCAAAGTATCAATTCTTTTGAAAGTCCCGGCAAGAATGAGAACTTTTCTCACACTGGTGGGTTGAATCTGTCCTTTGTCAATATCTTGAATAACAACTTGCCCCATTTGATGAAAAGGAAAGACAGTCAGGAATCTTCTACAAGAACTTCAATCTCGACAAAAAATCTGCAAGATAACACATGTTTTATCTGCTCGGAATTGTTGCTGAATGTCTTGCAAAGTGAAAGAGTTTTGAAATTGAACTGCGGAGATCTGGTACATTTTGAATGTTTTAAAACAGCATTTGATAAGGAGCTAGCTGGTGGTAAAAACAATGAACCGAACTTGGAGTTGCCAAACCTATGTCATGGTTCAATTTGCAAGGGGCAACGACTGGTTACAATCGATATTCGAAATTTGAACTCACTTTTCAAAAGGCCATATACATCAGCACTCACACCAAAACGGCCAGCTCCTCAACCAAAGGCTAGTCCTGAATCAAAAGTGAAGTTGCAAAGTGTCAACTTTAAGGCATTGAAATCCACATTGAGCCACACTCATCTTGAGCTTTCAAGGCGCAGTTCGCTCAGGAATCGAGATACAATGACATCAAGCATACGGTCTCCTTCGCCAGTGAATACAATATCAACAACCATGACGGACTCATATAACATCAACGGGTTTGATAATGGCCAAAGTGCTGAAACTGTTGTCAACCAGCTAATGCAGTACTTGTTGACAAACTGTACCACCTTAAATTTTGCCAAATTGTCACAGTTGGGGATGTTGAGGACAGCTGACCAATTACAAACCAAAATCGAAGATGGGCCTTTCAAGGAGAAGTATTGTTACCTTTTTGAAAATTCCGTGGTAATTTGGGACAGCACAAGCGAAGCGTTTTTCATTCCAGTCAACAGTGCAAAGATTTCATGCAAGGGCTCCATAGTGACCATAACCCCAACTGTGGGTAATGTGTTGCATCTTTCACTTCAATCCCACCTCAGCTCAGTTATTGAAAAATGGGCCATTGTATTGATGGATCTTTCTGTTGATGTTCCCGGCTGCAAAATTACAAACACAATAGATTTAGCGCCAAAAGCACAAAGTGTTTTTGGAGGATTCTTGAATACAATGAGTCCAATTATGGATCTGCCGAATGACTTTCCACATGGAGTAGACTCCCTTGCAACAAGAACAAATGAGGCGAAGGTGAATGACGGAGATAGTGATTCTGATGCCGATTCTGATGAGGAGCTCATACAGCGTGCTTTGAAGGAGAAACTGATCGATTTGAAGGAGTTACATAGTTTGATATCGGAAGTAGATCAGATGTTATAGATTAATACGCGCGCAGCAATTTAAGAAAAAAAAAAGAAAAAGAAAAGGAAAAAGAAAATAATACGCCGACTTTATCCCCGACAGCAGTCAACTCGCTACTCTCTCTATCTATCTCTCTCTCTCTATGGCCTGCCAAATATTGTTCAGGTTGTCTAACCTTGGAGAGCCTGTGAATAATGAAAATGTTGCCAATGGTGTGTTGAGCTTGCCGTCGAGTGATTATGCTGAAAATTACAAACCTGGAGACCCGATTTTCAATTTGCAATTCCAGTTGAATGCCGCAAGTAAAGTGGCAAGAAAGGGGGTTTTCCATACAAATGCTCCTCCCACATATAAAGACGAATTTGACAGATACAAGTACTACGACCAGTCCATTGAGTCCTCCTTCCATGAAGACATTTCTTTTACTATTCCATTGTACAGGCCAGGAGCGTACAACTACTACATTTCCTATGAGGACGAAAATGGGAACGACCGGGAGACTGGAAAATATTATTTCAATGTCCCGCCTTACTTTGCAATCAATGGGAAATTTGTTCCCTTTAATGCAATCAACGTTGAGACTGTGGTTTCCAAATGGATTGGACTGTACGACCGCTGGCCAAAGTTTTTTGAAAACATAAAGGCAAAAGGGTACAATATGATTCATTTCACGCCTTTGCAAGAACGAGGTGAATCAGACTCCCCGTACTCGATTTTTGACCAGTTGAAGTGGGATCCCAATATTTTTCCTGACCAAGAGAAAGCTGTTGAGCAGATTCATAAAGTGTTGCATGAGAACGGTTTGTTGAGCTTGACGGATGTCGTTTGGAACCACACTGCTAATAATTCAGAGTGGTTGAAAGATGCCCCTGATTCGGGCTACAGTGCATACACCGCTCCACACTTGATCCCTGCTATCGAGTTGGATGGTGCATTATTGGAATTTAGTGAAAAGTTGGAGGAATTGAACTTGCCAACTACTATCGAGAATGAATCAGATTTGGGTAAGGTTATGGAAGGAATCAAGTCTAAGGTATTGGATGGGTTGAAGTTATGGGAGTATTACGTTTTCAATCGGAACCAGACCTTGTCCGAGTTGCAAGAAACATACAACAAACAAAAGTCATCCATCCATGGTATCGAAATACCTGACAATGTTGACAAGAGCAACATTGACCTGTTGTCGAAATTTGTGTTGGAGACGGCAAACACCCACGCTAAGCCAATCTTGGGCCACAGATTTGAAAACAAACTAGACACCAAAAAGTTTTTATCTATCTTGGTTGCATTGTCTGATGAAGTTGGCAGTATTATTGACAAAGCTGGCGAGGTAGTTGATCAAATCAATGCTCCTTTGTACAGGGAGTACGACGATGACTTGGGGACTATTCAACAGCAGATTGAAGACAGAATCCGCTTTTTAAGATTAGCTGACAATGGTCCAAAGTGGGGAAAAGTCACAAAAGCGCTTCCTATTACAGAGCCTTACTTTACAAGATTCACCGATAAGGATGGCAAGAAACAAGCCTTGGCCAATAATGGTTGGATTTGGGGCGGGAACCCGTTGGTGGATTTTGCATCCGACCAATCGAAAGCATACTTGCGAAGAGAGGTGATTGTATGGGGCGATTGTGTCAAGTTGAGATACGGGTCAAGGTATGAAGACTCTCCCCAGTTGTGGGATAGAATGATCAAGTACACCAGGGAAATGGCAAAAGTGTTTACAGGATTCAGAATTGACAATTGCCACAGCACGCCGTTGCATGTTGGAGAAAGATTGTTGGATGAGGCAAGAAAAGTGAATCCAAACTTGTATGTCATTGCTGAACTATTCTCCGGCTCCGAGGAAATGGACAAGATTTTTGTTGAGAGATTGGCAATAAACTCATTGATCAGGGAAGCAATGCAGGCTTGGAGTGTTGGTGAGTTGTCTTCGTTGGTCCACAAGCATGGTGGACGCCCCATTGGTTCATTGACTTGGTTACCATTAAGTGACTTTTCCTACCCAGCGGAGAAGGAGCCCGAATTGCGCAAAACAAAGGAAGGATACACGGAATTGGACATCCCACAAGTTTTGACCAGTACTGCGCCGCATGCCATCTTCATGGACTGTACCCATGACAACGAGACTCCGGCTCAGAAGAGAACAGTTGAGGATACTTTGCCCAATGCCGCGCTTGTGGCGTTCTGTTCATCGGCCATTGGTTCTGTGTATGGATACGATGAGTGCTATCCCCATTTGCTTAATGTCGTCAGTGAAAACAGATTGTACGATTTGGATGACACTAATGGAATTGTGAAGGTGAAGTCGAGATTGAATGCTATTCGTAAACAACTTGCAGAAGAAAGTGAGGATATTGCTCGTGATCACGAAATGTATATTCATCACGAGGGGCAGTATATTACTATTCAACGCTACAATGCAAGGACTGGGAAAGGGTGGTTTCTCATTGCAAGAAGTAAATTTTATGCAAACGAAACAGAGCAGATTTTGTCTCCTTCCGTTCTTGGTGGAACCAAGGTGAAACATGAGTTTAGTTATGTTTTGAAGAAAACAGGTGAGTACCAAAAGGATGACAAGTTTTTGAAAGGGATTCCTACTGAAGTGGTGGATATTGAAGCGCCACATGTTGAGGAAAAGAATGGTGATAGCATTATCCAAGTGAATGGTAGTTTTATTCCAGGATCTATTTCAGTATTTTCGACAGAAATTCCCGGTGTTGACATCAAGTTGGATGAATATGTGAGAGAAGGGGCCCTTGAAGCTGCATTGGATTTGAACTTGTACGATTTGAATGCTGTGCTCTATAGAAGTGCTCCCGAGGAACTAGATGCTAGCGGAGGCAAGGAAAGCGTCTATAATATTCCTCAATATGGCGATTTGGTTTATGCTGGTCTTGAAGGTTGGCAAACTGCATTGAAGCATGTAATTTGGTCTAACAACTTGGGCCATCAAATTTGTAATCACTTGCGTGATGGTGCGTGGGCTTTGGATTATGTTGTGCAAAGGTTGGACAAGTACAAGAATGAACGCTTAGGCAAGTTTCAAAAATGGTTGAAGGATCGATTTGATGCAGTTAAAAAGGTTCCTTACTATTTGAGACCTCATTACTTTTGTTTGGTTGTTGGGATTGCATATGAGGCAGCTAGGTTTAGAGCATTGAGACAGTTGAGCAAGCCAATTCAAAAAGCCACCAATTTTGTTCAAAGTTTGGCATTGACAAGCGTGCAAATGACTGGTTTTATGAACAATACGTCTCTTGTACCAGACAAGTCGGTTGCGTGTTTGGCAGCAGGATTGCCACATTTCAGCAATGATTACATGAGATGCTGGGGAAGAGATGTTTTCATTTCCTTTAGAGGTCTTTTGATTGTCCCTGAAAGGTATAATGATGCAAAAGAGCATATACTTGGATTTGCCAAGACCTTGAAGCACGGATTGATTCCGAATTTGTTGGATGCAGGTAGAAATCCTAGGTACAACGCTAGGGATGCTGCGTGGTTCTTTTTGCAAGCTATTCAGGAGTATGTGCTCCATGCACCTAATGGGGAAAAAATTTTGGATGAAAAGGTTTCCAGAAGATTTCCCTTGGATGATACGTATGTTACCGTTGATGACCCTATTGCATTCAGCTATGAGACATCAATCAGAGATGTAATTTTTGAAATTTTCCAACGTCATGCAAAAGGCATAAAGTACAGAGAGGCCAATGCAGGGCCCAATCTTGACTCGCAAATGAAGGATGAGGGATTCAATGTTGAAGTGGGGATCGATTGGGAGTCTGGGTTTGTACACGGCGGCTCGCAATTTAATTGTGGTACCTGGATGGACAAGATGGGTGAAAGTGAACGTGCTCATAATAAGGGGGTACCCGGAACGCCTAGAGACGGTGCTGCTGTCGAGTTGCAAGGTTTGCTAAAGAGTGCATTGAGGTGGGTCATCGACTTGAACAAGCAAGGTAAGTTTGAGTACACTGAAGTGGAAAAGGGCAATGGAGAGAAAATCTCCTTCAAAGAGTGGGACAAGTTGTTGCAGGACAATTTTGAGAAGCGATTTTATGTACCTGTGAATGCAAGTGATGATGGCATATATGATATTGACTCTTCGTTGGTCAATAGGAGGGGCATCTACAAAGACTTGTACCATACAGGAAAACCTTATGAAGATTACCAATTACGTCCAAATTTCCCAATTGCAATGTGTGTGGCTCCAGAGTTGTTCACTCCAGAACTAGCATTGACTGCGATAAACAATGCTGACGAAATTATAAGAGGACCCGTTGGTATGAGGACATTGGACCCACTGGATTACAACTATCGGCCATACTATAACAACTCCATTGACAATGATGACTTTGCCACGTCTAAAGGCCGCAACTACCATCAAGGACCAGAGTGGGTGTGGAACTATGGCTACTTTTTGAGAGCGTTTTTGTATTTCCATTTGAAAGGAAGCGATGGCACGATTGAGTTGTTTACATTGCTTAATGACAGGATTCAACATCATATTAACTGGATAAAGGAGAGCCCCTGGGCTGGGTTGACAGAGTTGACCAACAAGGACGGTGAATTTTGTGGAGACTCTAGTCCAACTCAAGCGTGGAGTAGTTCCTGCTTGTTGGATTTGTACTTCGATATCTATAGATACGTATAGAATAGATTCTTTTTTTTTTTTTTCCTCCTTTTACTCCTCTAAAAGTATAATAAACGATTTGGCAGATATGTGACCAAGGAGGATAAGATTTTTAGTGCCTGCCTAATTGAGTCTCTTACCTCGCGACAGAAGCTCCCCCCTCCCCCCTCGGGGTTCACCATCGGCGAAGGATCAATAATAGACATTGACTGGCATGTCTACACATCGCCATATTCCATATGACCACTCCAGTTCTAGATGGTCTTTTAATTACTCGTGGTCAATGCACGTAAACTTTCAAGTGCACGAAAAGGTCGAGTTGATTCCTTGAATTACCATGTCTCAACCGATTGTGTTTTGTCGGAGTGTCGGCAATTTCAATCTCTTTGAAGGACTCTGGAAATTAGATGTTCCAGCAGTGTTTTTAGCGTATTTTCACCAGAATGTGTCGGTTAAGAACTTCGTGTCACGTCTTTTAATATATGACTTTCAGTTACTTTTGAATTTCACTCCACATACAAAAACCTGTACCTAACACGTTTAGCGCGCAGTAACATCACTATCCATTGTATCGTATTCTGTGTCTAGCTCATCGATGCTAAGAGTCTCATTGCAACTTTCGTCATCACTTCCAGTGTCACCTTGCTCACTATCTGTAGATTCATTGTTACTGTTGTCAGTATCACTGTCGCTGCCATTGAAATCAGCAATACTGTACGAAAAAAGCCTCTTCGATTTTGTTTTTAGGTTGGAATCATTTGACGGTTGGTTGTTATTGAAGGTATCAACACCTTGTCTATCCAGTTTCTTCAAGGCGTTTTCAGAGGTCGAGACACTGCCCCATACTGGAGCGTTTTGGGATCTGGCTAATGATTCGAGTGCATTCAAGTTTTTGTTGCCAGCATATTTGGAGAAACTCGAAGCATGTTTTTTGGCGACAAGAAAGGAGTCCCACTCGGATACATCTCTGCCCTCTTTCGCAGTTGCGTCCTCGGCTTCATCTATCGCAGTTGCGTCCTCGGCTTCATCTATCGCATTTGCGTCCTCGGCTTCATCTATCGCAGTTGCGTCCTCGGCTTCATCTATCGCAGTTGCGTCCTCGGCTTCATCTCTCTGTCCATTACTCGTCACTTTCTCTTTTATAGCACGAGTAAGAACAAACTGTTTCAACTTTCGAGCCCTCTTGTTTTCCTCAGCAATTCTCTGCAACGAATGCCTTTGTAACATTTCTTTCAACTCCCTCTGAAAATTATTTGTCAAGGTATCAATTTCCGCCTGCCTTCCAACTTCAGCATCTGTGTGGGATTCCATTAAGTCATTCAATTGTGTTTGGAGCGCTTTTTGTGTACTTTTGTCAAGTTTGACTGGTCTTGCTTTCTTGCTGCGAACTTGGTCCAGGGACCGTATGATTAATTCTTCAACACTCTTGTCGATGTAGCCTCGATCTTTCTTTAACCATTCCACCAATTTTGAATGATAAGACGTCAACTCTTTAATGATATGCTTTTTGCTCATACGGTTTGGACCAGGGTCGCCGTTGGCATCTTGGAGCCTTCGAGATCTTCTTACCTTCTTGGGCAGAGTTTGGCTCCCTCGTTTCCCTTTAATGGGCATTGGGTATTCAGAGGAGTAGAATTTGTTTTCTTTTTTCTATTTTTTTTTTTATGGAATCTTCACACAAAACTATGTGACATTGCGTCAATTTCGAGTGCAGTCTTATGCACTCAATGTATCTATTCGTTTCTGAATCTACAATATCTGGTACATAGTTTACAGAAAAGAGACACTTTCAGAAAATATTACGCAGCACACAGCGACAATATCAAGCAAATTCAGCAAAGTATTGCGACCTAACCTGTTATCAACGATGCCGCTGCACCTTTATACGTCCAAATTTGTTGGCGGGCGTCAACGTTAAGCGCTAACAAAAAGAGAAACTTGGGACAAGGAGAGTTTGTGTGAGAAGTTGGTGGGATATTTCAAGTTGCACACACTATTGGATGGAGGTGGTGAATGTCTCTGTGGAGCTAGTAGTCTATG